TTGTACTAATGTTTAAGTGACCATTGAGCAGTTCTTGGCAATACATCTTACCACAGGTGCACTATGAGTTGATCGATCTACCAAAAACGCCTACATCTCTAAAGACTTGAGAAGGATCCATCTTTGACTCCGCCCTTAATGAACTTAATCTTCTCAGCTAGGGGCTTGGCATACAAATGGCATGATTCCTCATCCTCTCCATCAAATGAAAAAGTCTTAGTGAGTTCGTGCTTCCCTCTCTCTCCCCTTCAAATTTAAAGAAAAAGCGTAAGGTCCAAGTAACCGGGGATTCGGTGGCAAACACCATCAATACTCGCGTCTGTGGAAGATCCAAGCAAAACCTCTATAATAAAGAGAAGGAGTTGAATAAAAAAAATACTTCGCTACCCTAAAAAAGGGATGAATCAACTCAAAGAAGTGAGAAGAGAGAGAGGAGAAACATGGAGTAAAAGACAAGTGCCAAACAAGGGGATGAGAAAGAATCTAAAAGCCGGCTGATCGATACTCCCTAGTTGAGACCACACCTTTAGAAATGAAAGGAGTCAAGGGTGGCGAATTGGATTGTCCAAGGAGAGGTGGACCGCTTTGGGAAAATCGCAAAACTCATGGTATGTACTTTGTTCTTAATTCAAAACTTGCCAATGCTGTTTCATGTGGATTACTAAAGCATAAGTCAATTTGGATTTCCAAAAGATTTGAGAGTTCTCACGTTTTCAAACCTCTTTTCCTGCTTAGTTTGCTTGGGGACAAGCAAAAGGCTAAGTCTGGGGGAGTTGATATCACCATATTTTACATGATTTTACTATATAATTACTATGTTTTCAAACGGTTTTTGCAAGATTCTTTGCCTTTAGAGGTAGTTTTCTTGTATTTGTGGGATTTGAAGTCTTTGTAGGTGAAATAATCAAAAAGGATGCAAAAAGGAGTAAAAGAGCCCTAAATCAAGATCCATGCAAGTTTCCAAGTCAAGAAGATCATTTTATCTCCAAGTGTTAGTTCTCGCTGCGCGCAGAACGAAGCTTCGGAAGTTTGGCCGCGCGCGGAGGAGTTCCCGACGTCCAAAAGTTACGATCTTGATATGGAAAGATAGATACTTGAGTCATGCATCACGTCGAAGTGGAATGAAGCCATTTGGATCAACTATGAGGCCTAGACTTATTTTCTACCGAGACATGTCCGGTAAGCGAGTAAACGAAGCCCATGGAGGATTTGGAGTGTCTAATGGCCCGAGCAGCAGCGCCAAAGGCCTTGATCGAATAGAGAAGAGGCCTGGCTAATGTTTGGAGCTTTCCTTGGTACAATGTCGGCCCATACACGACGTGGAGAAGAAGGCTCGGCGCATGGAAACTTTCCTTTTCCGGCATGAAGAAAACCCTACGCGACTTCGCCCATATATACATGTTTTTAGCCGCTGAGAAAGAGTCGAGAGTGTCAAGAGTGTGCGCCGTGAGAAGAAGAGTTCAGAGGAAGAAGGAAGCCCTAGGAGATCGTCCAAGAAGAAGGAGGCGCCGCTCAACTCGTTCATCTTTTTCATTGTTTCCATTTCTTAAACTTGATTTTAAGAGTTTTAAAGAAGGAGAATCCGACTTTGTTCATCAATAGAGAAGCTTTCTTCATCCCTTTATCTCTTTTAATACTTGCATAATGTTTACAATCTTGCTTTGTGCTTGTTTGCATCATGGCCGAGTAGATCTCTTAGTTAGGCCGAGGAGATCTATGGTGGCCGTGATGATTTGATTGTGTTGAATTGGGATTTATCTTATGGATCTTCACCTTTACTTGAGCTTAATGCATGATTACTCTATACATCTAGTAATCTGATCTTAGAGAAATAGAACCACGACAGTGCTGAATCTAGATCTCAAAACTAGTATTTGGTGAGCAATAGATCATAGCCAACGAAAGCTGAGTTATGGTTTATTGTGAACAATTGAATCTTGAACCTTTAATGCATGTTTGCAATTCTAATAGCCAACGAAAGCTGAGTATATTAGGTTGTTTAAACATAGTGGTTGGAGCCACGACAGTGGAAAAACTATACTTAGTGATTTAAGTTCAAGAACGGCTATAATGAATCTCTTTCACTTGACTTCTTTGTTAAGTTTGTTGCATCTCGGCGATCTACCATTGTCTAGTGTTTCCCCTTATTGATCTCATCCATTTCCATTATTCATTATGCCAAAACTCTCAAACCATATTTTGCTTTAGCTTGCTTCAACTCTTACTCTTGTAGCACAATCGATAGGTCCTTGTGGATTCGATCCCATACTATACTTACCTCGTTGCTGTGCACTTGCAGGTACTTAAGTTGGGTAAAACTTGAAGACAAACCCAGCTTGCATCAGTAGAGCGTGAACAAGAAATCCCACCTAAAGTGCATCTTGTATTACTGGTCTGGTTCTGATATCAAAGTTGCTGAGGGTCGTATACTGTCTTCAGATCCTGAGGATTTCATCAATGACATTCCATTAGGGCCTAACTCTGTGAAGGTGCTGGTAGAAACTGCAATCATGACGGAGGCTTTTCTGTGGAGACCTGCACCTGACATGTTTACAGTTGCACAAGCGGTTGGAGAAATTATTGCTTGGCCTCAATGTTCTGCTCTACTCATAGACAATGGCGTCGAATCAGAAGACATTGCTCTGAAGGTAACTTTTTCTTATTTAGTAGACACATGAAGACTTTTGTAATCCTTGCTTAATCTTTTCTGCATGTTTTTGATAGAGCCCCAACGCCAGTTCTGTAAACCTCTGCAAGCTAATGGATTGGTCAACAAATGATGAAGAGTTCGTGGCTGAGGGCAGATGGCAGTCTACTGATCCTAAAGCGACAGTTAATGGACTGCCTCTTGGTCCAAATGCGGTTAAGGTATTTGTGGATGTCGTCCACTATCCTGACACATTTCTATGGAGGCCAACAGCAGAACTTTCAAACATGGAGGACTCTCTCAAATCGTTCGTAGCATGGCCAGTTAACAGGGTTGATTTCGGTGGGGAAATGCCAAAGACACCAGTAATATCATCTCCGACGATGTTTACTGCAGTAACTCCACCAGCTCCGGCAAAGAATCCGCAGCAGACTCCTACATGTTCTCCTGATGATCAGGTATCTCATTTAATACTAACTAGATTTACCTAAATCTCCGTAGGATATGTATCTCACTCTATAGTCAATTACTTTCTGCCCGGCTGTTAGTACCACTTTCTAAGGGGCTTTCAGGAGTATGTAATCTTCACTCTATAGTCCAAAATATCTACTCTTGATATCTCTATAAGCACGGCATAACATGACTAAAGAAACCTCATGCGTCATGAAACATCTACTAATGCTATACTTGCACCATGGACTCATTCGACATAAATTCGAGAGGAATCCCGATACACCGTACGGCTCAGATACGTCTCTTACCGAGAATGGATCCACCAAGAAAGAGAAACCCGTCGATAGTGGAAGGGTCGCCGAAGGTCGATGGTCTTCAGATGACCCAGACCTGACAGTACACTTTGTTCCATTAGGACATGATGGAGTTCGTGTATGGGTGGATGTAGTTAAGGTGAGTGATGCAGAGGTGTGGAGGCCTTCTTCCTATATTGAATGTATGGAAGACGCATTAGGCAGTACAATAGCATGGCCTAAGGAGAAGGTGGTCATCGTCTAATCTGCTGTAAGACATCTCTCCAATCTCGTTTCATCACATCTGTTTGTGATTGTAATGACTACAATGTTGTTTTAATATTCAATAAGACTTGTGTTGAGACTTGTATGATATTTGGAGATTGAGATATTGTGTTGAGAAATCTGGATTTGGTTTAATGTACTTGGTTCTCTCAGTGGAAAATAATATTTGGTTCTTGAAGCAATAATATTTGGGTTTCAAATTTTAGCTTTCAAAAGTTGCTACACAAGAGTTTTAGATAGGACAAAAACGGCGTCACTATACACCATATACATTGCAAGGTAAATTACCTATTGCATTATTTAACTTAGCACTAAATACGAGCCACGATACGATCTCAAATAGCGTATTATAAAGGCTATGGCATGATATAACTTAGCACTCAATACATGCCACGATATACTTTCTAATAGCGAACAATAAAGCTTATAATATCATCTAGAATAGCGTTAAAATGTGCTATTACAATACAGAATATAGCGTCATATCAACGCTATAGTAGAAAAACATATAATAGCATACCTTAAAAAGCGCTATTGTATGTGGGGACCCTAACATAGCTCCGGCTACCACAGCGTCTATGAAAACGCCATCAAACATCATTGATAGCGTTAATACGGTGCTGTCAATGGCCATATTTCTTGTAGTGGCAAGAACAGGCTGAGAAGGCAGTCATTGAGACATTAGGCTTGGGCCGAACAACGCAGCACCTGCTCGTCCGGCTACTTCGTTATTGGGAGGTCTTCAGCGTGAACAACCCTCTCCACTTTAAAGGAATTGTTCTCCTCATGATCGACGAACAGGTATTAAATGGGTTTGTTATAATGTCTTAGAAATTAAGAAAAATGCTATGTAATGGTGATGAATCTTGATTGTGATGGGGATTGATTATGTTTTGCATAGTAAGGCTGAAGACTTTGTTAATAACTCTGTTTTTGATGCTTGTTTGATATTTCACAGAAATGCCATGTGAAGAAGAAGGATATTAGGAAGTTTCTTGATGGTATCTATGTGAGCGAGAAGGGCAAGATCGCTGTTGAAGAATGAAGCTATTGAAATGCTATATTAGTTTTATATGGTGGAACTGTGAGATTGTCCTAGCTTTTTGTTCACATTCTATCTTCATGGATTGTAGTTTTTGTTTCCTTTGGATCTTTGATGATGCAAACTCATTATCCGTTATGTTTCGGTTTTTTATTTATACTCTGTTATTGCAAAAGTTTTTGAGACATCTTCTTAATTATTAATTACTCTTCTCTGTATTTATGATCTGCCTGTTGTTAGGAATTGTTGTGTGCTATATTCTATGTGATTGAACTTGGAAGAATCTCAATTTTTATATTCTTCAATCTTGCCAACAATCTGACTGATTCTTATATACTTTCATTCAGGCAACAAGTCCAGACTGAATGGGTAGATTTTTGAAATGTACATTTTGGCATCTGCTTCTACTTCTTTTGTGTTTCAATAAAGATGAAAATTTATCATAAAAGAATGCTTTACACCGTCTTGCTTCATTCATGAGAAATGTTATTACTTCTTATTATTCTTGTGAGAAGAATCATAAGAGTTTTAACTTCGATGCAGTCTGTGAATTTCCAACGAGAATGGCAACTCCTCTAAGGAAGAGACTAATGTGGGACTTCAAGAGACTGCAGAAAGACCCACCCGTTGGGATAAGTGGAGCTCCACAAGATAACAGTATCATGCATTGGAACGCTCTCATCTTTGGGTACGAATCTTGAACCATTTGTGTGTGTGTTTCTGTGTTTTTGTTTGTCTTGGCTGCGTAAACTAAATTTCACTGTCTTTGACTTTGTAGATCTGACGACAGTCCATGGGATGGAGGTAAGATCTTTCTATACTTATTTTAGCTTATGAGTTCAAAACTAATAGCTAAACTAAACCCAAATTTGTAACTTGTTGTACTTTCAAGTTGACTCTTCAGTTCACCGAGGACTATCCAAACAAACCTCCAGTAGTCCGGTTTATTTCAAGGATGTTTCATCCAAACTGTAAGCTCAACAATCATTCAATGGACAACATAGTCAAAGACCAATACACAAGTAGTTTCGGGTTTGATATTTGAAGTTTTGATGCAGTTTACGCTGATGGAAGCATTTGCTTGGATATCTTACAAAACCAATGGAGCCCAATATACGACGTTGCTGCAATTCTCACATCGATACAGGTTTTGTTTTGACTTCTGAATCTTTTTGCATTGTAGGTTTATGCTATGCTATGCACAAAGTAACTCCAAGACTTTCGTTTTGTTTTGGTGTTTGTGCAGTACAGTCTCTGCTATGTGACCCAAACCCTAATTCGCCAGCAAACTCGGAGGCTGCAAGGTTGTTCAGTGAGAACAAGCGAGAGTATAACAGGAAAGTAATGGAGGTCGTGGAGCAGAGCTATGTATTTTTTCTTCACATTCCATTTTTCTTCTTTGATTTCTTTTTCCTAGTGTTCAAGTTTTCTTTTTCCTCTCGAAGTTTCTCATCTTCTTTTCCATCATCTTCTTTTCTCTTACTCATATTTTTCGTTCTTGTTTACGTTTTGTATTTCACTTATCAATTCATTCGATAGTTAAATTTTGTAATGATTGTTTTTTTCTCCCTCTTATTCTTTTTCAGTGATCCCATCTTTTTTTTTCTTCATTTTTTTATTTTTTTGTAATCATCTTTTTTTTTGCTTCTTCTTTTTCCAATTTTTATTCTTCAATCATTTATTGTGTCGTCATATCCTCCAACTAACTATTCTTATTTTTCTTTATAATTTTCTTTACATTATTTTTCCGGTTTATCTTCTTCCTCATTCCCCTTCTCTCTATCTTTATCATCTTCGTCTTCTCTCACATCATCTTATTCTATTTTTTATTTATCTCTTATTTGTCTTCTTTCCCTTCACATTTTATTTTTTCTTCTTTGTTTTCTTTTTCCTCTTCGAGTTTTTTTTCTTCTTCTCGAAGTTTCACATCTTCTTATCCAATGTATTCTTTTATTTTACTCGTGTTTCTATTCCTTCTTATCTATATCTTATATTTCACTTATCAATTCATTCGATAGTTTATATTTTGAAGGATTCGTGAAATAGTTTTTATCTTTATATAGTCGAATCCACATCATAACTCCCCCTAAAACACACACCTGAATTTCATATTACAAATTAGTTCTTGATTTGTTTTTTTTTGTAATTGTCGTTTTCTTATCCCTTTTATTTTTTTATAGTGATCTCATCTTCTTCTTTTTTCTTCTATTTTTTTATTCGTTTTTATCATCATTTATTTTTTCTGCTTCTTCTTCAATTTCCAATTTTTATTCTTCAATCGTTAATTGTGTCTTCATATCCTCCGACTCACTATTCTTCTTTTTCTTTCTAATTTTCTTTACATTCTATTTCCGATTTTTCTGCTTCCTCATTCCCCTCTCTCTCTATCTTTATCATCTTCGTCTTCTCTTACATCATCTTATTATAGTCTTTATTTATTTTTTCTTTGTCTTTTTTTTCTTCACATTCCATTTATTCTTCTTTGATTTCTTTTTCCTAGTGTTCAAGTTTTCTTCTTCCTCTCTGAAACAACCAACATTTTTTTTTTTTAAATATTAATCAATTCTAGCGAAGGTCTTAAAAATAAATTAAATAAATAAAATATCAATAACAAATAAATCAGCTCAGCGGAAGCAAATAATAATTAAACAAGTCTAGCAAAATAATGCAAAACAATAAAACAGTAAACATCCTATCATCCCCCTCTTCAGCCTTGATTCCGCGATCACACAAATCTTTTACCTGCAACACATTGGAATGGAGTTGCGTAAGTATTTAATAAATACTTAGTGAGGCAATCACTCTGCCTACGAGCCATTTACGCAATTTACTAGATATTTAATAATATTTATAAACTCCAATAATTATTAAATACCATTTTCCAATTATTAAATAATTTTTAATAATTAAAACTCAATTTCTCAATTATTAAATAATTCTCATAATTAAATAATAATTTTCCATATTTTAAAATAATTAAAATTTTAAACCAATTAATTAAATAAATATTATTTAATTAATTAAATCCGAATTAAATCTATTTAATTCCATTAAACCAATTAAATTCAATTAAACCAATATAAACCAATTAAATTCAATTGAACCAAGATAAACCAGAATCAAATCAATTAAATTCAATTAAACCAATAAACCAGATTAAACCACACAAACACACAATTCATCACATGAACAACCAAAATATCATGAAAAATAACAATTAAAACATAAACTCATCAAGAACAACCACAAACCAAATCTAATCTAGCAAATCACGGACCCACAGTCATGCACTCACCTTGACAATTGATTGAAACTGAAGGAAAAAGGAAAGACGATGAACAGAATCGCGGATGAACAGTAACATGAACAGTACCGATGAACAGTACCCCGATGAACAGTAAACTCGAAAATCTCTCCAAAAACTCAACTTTTCTCCTCTACAGCATCTGAACTCGAAAATTCTCCAAAGAGAAGACGGCTGCACTCTTTAAACTTGATTTTAGGGCTTTCTCCACTAAACCGACCCAAACCAATTCACTTAAATTGAACCGACAAAACAATTATTTTTGGTTTATGGATGTTACACTCTCGAAGTTTCTCATCTTCTTTTCTCTTACTCAGGTTTTTCGTTCTTATTTACGTTTTGTATTTCAGTTATCAATTCATTTGATAGTCTAGATTTAGTTAATTTACAAATTCAATTAATATAAGATTAGTGCATTTTCTTTTTAATTATTTTTCTTATTTTTGTAATGTGTTTATTTTCCAAGGAAGTAATAGCTTAACATTTTGTTAATTTGATATGAACTTATAAATTGTGAAAGCACAAAAAAATTAGTTAAATTTTGTAATGATTGTTTTCTTCACCCTCTTATTCTTTTTCAGTGATCCCATCTTTTTTTTCTTCCATTTTTTATTCTTTGTCATCATCTTTTTTTTTTGCTTATTCTTTTTCAAATTTTTGTTCTTCAATCTTTCTTATGTCGTCATATCCTCCAACTTACTGTTCTTCTTTCTTTCTAATTTTCTTTATATTCTTTTTCGGTTTATCTTCTTCCTCATTCCCCCTTCTCTCTATCTTTATCATCTTTTTCTTCTCTGACATCATCTTATTCTAGTTTTTATTTATCTCTTATTTGTCTTCTTTCCCTTCACATTTTATTTTTCTTCTTTGTTTTCTTTTTCCTCTTCGAGTTTTCTCTTCTTCTCGAAGTTTCTCATCTTCTTATTCACCGGCTTCTTTTATTATACTCGTGTTTTTATTCCTTCTTGTCTTATATTTCACTTATCAATTCATTTGAAAGTTTAGATTTTGAAGGATTCGTGAAATAGTTTTTAGCTTTATATAGTCGAGATCTTTTAAAAATCTATTTTATTTGTGTTGTTATCTTTTAATAATAGACTTGCTTTTATTGTTTTAGTTTTTTCTCTTTATGAGTGTATTTTAGAATGGTAGATATAAATTTATAATCAATGATTTTTAATTTTGATATATTTTTATTCTAATTCAAAGTTTTAAAAATGCACCAGAAATTAAACCCTACACCCATCAATATAAACCCTAAACCCTAAACTCAAATCCCACATTATAAACTCCCCTCCCCCTAATTAAAGAACCTACACCCTAAACCCAAATCCACATTATAACTCCCCCTGAAACACACACCTGAATCTCACATTACAAATTAGTTCTTGATTTGTTTTTTAATTTTTTTTAATAATTTTTTTTTGTTGTAATTGTTTTTTCTTATCCCTTTTATTCTTCTATAGTGATCTCATCTTCTTCTTTTTCTTCTATTTTTTTATTCGTTGTCATCATCTTATTTTTCTGCTTCTTCTTCAATTTCTAATTTCTATTCTTCAATCGTTTCTTGTGTCTTCATATCCTCCAACTCACTATTCTTCTTTTTCTTTCTAATTTTCTTTACATTTTATTTTCGACTTTTTTTCTTCCTCATTCCCCCGCTCTCTATTTTTATCATCTTCGTCTTCTCTTATATCATCTTATTATAGTTTTTATTTATTTATTCTTTGTCTTTTTTCTTCATATTCCATTTTTTCTTCTTTGATTTCTTTTTCCTAGTGTTCAAGTTTTCTTCTTCTTCTCGAAGTTTCTCATCTTCTTTTCCTCAGTCTTCTTTTATTATACTTGTGTTTTTATTCCTTCTTGTTTACGTCTTATATTTCACTTATCAATTCATTTGATTTTTTATATTTTCAGGGATTCGGAAATAGTTTTTATCTTTATATAGTCGAGATCTTTTAAAAATCTATTTAATTTGTGTTGTTTTCTTTTGATTATGGATTTTCTTTAATTGTTTTAGTTTTTTCTATTTGTGAATGTATTTTAAAATGATAGATATAAATTTATAATCAGTGATTTTTAATTTTAATATACTTCTATAATAATTCAAAATTTTTATAATGCACCAGAAACTAAACCCTACACTCATCAATATAAACCCTAAACTCAAACCCCACATTATAATCCCCCTCCCCCTAATTAAAAAACCAGAACCCACATTATAACTCCCCCTTAAACCGCACACTTGAACCTCACATTACAAATTAGTTCTGGATTTGCTTTTATTATTATTTTATTTATAAAAGTTTTTTTTTCTTTTTTGTAATGGTTGTTTTCTTCTCTCTTTTATTCTTCTCTAGTAATCTCATTTTCTTCTTTTTTTCTTCAATTTTTTTATTCGCTGTGATCCTTTTATTATTTTTGCTATTTTGTTACTTTCAAAAGATACAACAAAAAAATCAATTTCTTAGAAAGAAAGATATTTTCAGGTATCCGTTTTCAGGAGCTTTGCAGCTGTGGACTCATGGCATTTATTGAGTTCTTCTGTTGCGAGCTACTTTAAATCAGAAGCTCTTTTGTCATCTTGTTCAGATTTGGCTGCAGAATCTGTTGTTGAGACCATCACCCGAGTTTTTTCTTCTCGGACATCATTCCTAGGTAGTACCTTTGTCGTTCTATCCGCAGTTGGAGGTTTATTTAAATTTGTAGGGATATGAAAAGAACAATGTTGTGATCCAAATTCATAATACAATTTAGAATCACTTTCACATTTTCCACTATATGCAGCTTCATAAATCCAAAAAGCTCAAACACAGACATAAAAACCAAAATTATAGGCAAAGGTATATACTCATATAGAGCTGTGTGCATGCTTGTAGAGATGTTTATGTACTTTCATTTGGTTTTGTGTTTTTATTCTTCATTTTTTATCTTTTGATTTTTCCAACTTCTTTATCCTTCACATATTTTTCAATTCTTTTCTTCTTTTGTTTTTTCCATCTTGTTTTCCAATTTTTATCTTTTCCTTATTTTTATTCAGCTTTTTTCTTCTTATTTCATCTTCAAAAAAAGAAAAAATAAAGAAGCAACATAGTTATTGTAAGAGAACTAATATTAAAGTTTACCATGGATGCAAACATAAAAAGTTTACCATGGTACTTTAGTTTTCATGGCTTTATGTCATAAGTATTTTATCTTATGTTTTTTTCTTCAGTTATACTTCTTTCATCAAAAAAAAGAAAAAACAAAGAAGAAACATAGCTATTGTAATAGAACTAATATTAAAGTTTACCATGGATGCAAGTATAAAAAGTTTACCATGGTACTTTAGCTTTTCATGGCTTTATTTCATAAGTATTTTATCTTATGTTTTTTTTCCAGTTATACTTCTTTCATCTTCTTTATTTTATTTGTCTTCTATAACAATTTTCTGGTTTTCTTGAATCCTTCTCATTCCAATCAATATCAATGGCCTTACATCAGTTGTTTACCTCCGACAAACACATTGTCGTTTCTATTCAGTTGGTTTTATCTTTCCCTCTCTAAGATCTCTTCGTTTACCTCACTTCAAAACCTTGGTATCTCCAACACCAGTTTCACTGGAACTATAACTCTTAACTTCATTGTTTCTCAAGATGGTGGTGTTTCTTGTGGAAATCAATTTGCATCTGATTTCGGATAGAGGATCGTTTGGGTTGTGTTTCGTAATCACAACCAAGGTTGTCTCTTTGTCTTAATTAATTTATCAGAATTTTAAAATAAGTTAATCAAAGTCCAGAGGAGAAACCCTTTTCTTTTTAGCACTTTCCTCCATGCTACCAAGCCTTCACATACAAGACAGTAGGACACCGAACTTTATACAGAGGCAAGCAAATGAATAAAAGTATTAGGAAATGCGAATCAGCGAATCGAGTTTTTTTAGTAAACTCTTTATGATAAAAAAATCTATAAAGACCAAGATGTAAAAAAAATTAAAACTTACCACTCATGAGCTAGAACATGTCAATGAAAGTAATTCTAAATTCAATTCCAAACAAAGTTATAACATGGTCGGGTTATCCACATTAATAATGCTGAGTAAGAGAGTACCACAAAAATAAAGAGTTCTTCAATGAGGTCTTTGAACAGCTGGACAGCTTTTTCCTTGTACATGGTACGAAACAAAATACGTTAATTTAAAAAAAAAAACCGATAAGTTAGAGTAACAAAACAAAGCATTTTAACGTGGACACAAAACATATATTTTTGAAGAAAAGAAACAAAAAAAAATTTAAAAGAAATATATCGGAGCAACTCGATGAACTTCTTACATCCTTCTTAGCCTATTTGAATAGAAATTATCTCAATGACCATATATTTTTCTTGTGTTTATACAATCTGGACGATAATGTATATATATAAATAAGAAAAAGAGAGAGAGTTTCGTTTGAATGAGATCAACAACGTGATTAAAATTTACCATTATTTGCGCGATCCACTTTGTCTTAACAAAGATGCAAACACTTTCTATCTCGTTTTCTATGTGAGGAACACCGGGTCTTTGTGAAATTCTGCAGCAACAAAAAAGGACAAATAGATTTGGGTTTAATCAGTTACCATCACAAACACATGATAATACAAAAAAAAAGGAATAAGAAACACACCCATCGGACTTAGATTTTGATGGTAAATCTAAAATAGATGTGACTATCTTTATCGTTGTGATGGTAAAATACACACCCATTGACGTGAAATCCACCGCTTGATCATGTTGTGGATATCATCGCAGACGTGACTTGCTTTATCAAAGAATTGCAGAAAAATAAGTCTATTAAACCTTAAAACAGCATGATGCATGCAAACCGATCTCCGAATAACGTTTCTCCACGTTGTGGATATCATCACAGAGGTGATCAAGCCGTGAGCCCTTTTGTTAGCTACATGGTGAGCACTTTTATGGGTTAAGTGGTGATCCGTATAGAGATGGAAATTTCAGAAAAAGAGGACCAAAACGATTGGCTTAATCAGCACGATGCACAATCCTAGCAAAAAATATTTCAGTACGGTGGAATTTATTAACAGATACATGGATTGAGCTTATATAATCCCAATACGTAGATGATAGGCAATCTTGTTCACCCCAGCTATTGTAACCCACAAGTAATCAAAAATCAAAGATCTTCAAAGAGACTACATCATAATTATCACGGCGGAGACCGCTTAATATCACTCCTTTTTCTTGTGGCGGATGTTTGTATTTATAGGTTAAGATTGATTAAGTTATTAGGGTTTCTGCGTAAATCTTTATGATATTAATTTCAGATTGATTGATTATGATTAGCAAGAAGGAAAAATAAAATTTTATTTATTTATTATGTTTTTTAGTGTTTCATTTTTTTTTTAAGTATTGATTTTTAAAAGGAGATTTTAATTAAAAGGAAATTTTTATTGATTAATAAAAAGGAAATTTAAAAGATATTGCTAAGATTTTCATTAAGGATAGTTATGTAATTCTGAGGCTGAGAGTTAACGTGGTGCCTCCATTCGAAATTTCTGACTTCGCAAATAATAGTATAATCATACAAAATTGATCTATAGAGGCTATATTATAAGATGTCACCCTTTTATTACAATATTAACAAACAAAAAACTTAGAATTTTTTTTCTCTAACTAAATAATATAAAAACTGAATTACTTTATGAAATTAATATTATATTACATTTATAAACAATATTAAAATAGATCACGCACATTTGGGTATATATTAATTAGATCTTGCTCTATTGTTACTCTTTTATGTGAAGTCATTCGGGTAATCAAAATCTTTCAGGTAATTTTGGGTAATCAAAAGCTCTCGGGCATCAAAAAATTTTGGGTAATCAAAATCTTTCGAGTAATAATTGTTTTTGGGTAATCAACATCTTTCGGTAGTCAAAAGCTATCTGGTAATCAAAAACTTAGGTTTAGATTATATCTATCATACAAAACTGACATACTGTATAGAAGTTAATAAAAAAAAAATGGTGTACATTATTTTCAAAATCAAATATAAAAAAAATATATAAATACTCATGCAGCGTACGAAAATAAATTATGTTCCCACAAGATAGTGTTAAACAAAATTTCAAAATAATAATACAGTTCTTTTATATCACAAATTCTTCATCTAAATTTAACAACAAACTTTGAATAAACATTCAAAAAAAAAAAATTTGATTTGGATTTCATTACTGAGTTCTTTAAATGATATTAGATTATATGGATTGTGAACAATATATTAACATAGAATAAATGTAATAATTCTGATATAATTGACAACAAATTTATAATACACATGCGCGAGTTAGGTTTAAATATAGGTATGCTTAGTTTTTGTAATCCTAATAAAATTATGAGCTAATTTCTATAGCGGATGAAGAGTTGTTCCATAAGAATCTAGAAAGAGGATTACTTTTGAAAAGTTTCTAAAGAAGAAAACTTGTTCATAGACCAATTGAGCCGTCTTATAAAGGCCCAATAATATTTTTCAGCTCAAGTAGGTTTTCTTGTAGGCTGAAGATATTCTCTCTCTTCCCACTCTGCTACTATCTGCTCTGTATCTTCGGACATCGGAATAAGAAGACCTAGAAAGTATAAATTCTCACTTGCAGAGTCGCAGGTATGGCTTCTATGCTCAGTAAGAACTCTCGGTTGGGGTTACGCCATTGCCGTTTCTATTTGGAATTTGAATCTCTGTGTCTCTATTTGATTCCTTCCATATCGGTGGTGCCAATAGTCTGTTCTTATTTCCCTTAACGATGAGTAAAGGCTTCAAACATTGGGCTTCACCGGAGGGAATACTTAGGATTTGTCTTAGAAAGCTGACACTTGACTGAAAAATTCTTCAACTTAGAATCGGTTTCTTCGTGTTCCGTTTAACAGTTGTACTTGAAGATGCATTGCATTAGGAGCTCAATTCTGCAACACTTGAGACTGAGAATCAATGGAAGACCCGCCGATAGTGTTTTCAAGAGTATTGGTATGAATTTCTCATCAGGAGATGATGGAGGCCAAGATCAAATCTTGAGTAAGGTTATTGAACTGGTGAAGAAGTACGACAAAACCAATGCCTCTAAGGTAAAACTAAAACTGCTGCTCTATCTTCTTTTTGTTATTTGTGATCAAAAAGTTGTAACACGGCTTAGTTACTGAGTTACAGGTAACTGAAAGGGCTGATTTCCAGAAAGATTTGTCGATGGATAGCTTAGACAGGGTGGAGATAGTGATGGCCATTGAAGAAGAGTTTTCAATTGAGATCCCTGAAGACAAAGCAGATAAGCTTACTTGTTGTGGTGATGTTGCTACCTACATCGTTTCTGAAACTCTTCCCAAGCCCTCATCAGAGTCTTGACTTGTCTTCATTGTTCAGGGTTGATCAAAGGGTCTCTAAAGACTTGATTTGTGTCTTTCATCTCTTGTTATTAGTGCTGCTAAACATTTCATCTTCTTTAATTACCAAAAACACACACATGACGCAAACATCGTATCATATGTTCTTTAATTACACAGTGAACATGAAAAACAATGTATATAGAGAGAGAGAGAGAGACTCAACTAGGTTCTGTGACTGAAGCGCCAGCTAAACTAGAGAGGACTATAAAAACAAATGCTTTTCACAAGTAGTATCTTCAAGAACCTTTTGCTTGATTATGATCTTGAACTGTTGCTCTGTAACCTGATCTTCCCTGAGGTGTACACACGTAAGCCGTTGGTGGAGGAGACACGTTTGATACGTTTGTGTATATTGGTACAAGTGTGGTAGCATCTGTAGCGCTTAGGCACATTTACTGGCTTGATGAAACAAGTGTTTTCAAGGTCTGGAATTGCGTGGAGCTGGGAAGGAAGATCGATTTCAAACTCTCCCACATCGTCAGTAACAGCCTTAATCCATTTAGATCTCCTTTTGTGTCCAGTGTGACACTTGATGGCAACAGTAGCACCTGTGAAGGAGATTCATGTAAGTTTTTCAGCTGGAAGACAAAAAGAATAGGTGGAGATTGATTAACCTGGAATGGCGATGGGACGAAGCTGAGGACGTGAAGTGTTTTCGCAGAGAAGAGATCCGGTGATGATCACGGAGGAGAGTTTCTGTTCACCGTAGCCAGCCATCTCCACCATCTCTGCTCTGCTCCATATCTTCCCCGTAGCTGCAAATGCTCCGTCGAACAAGAAGAAGAATAACAAGAAGCAACGGAGGATGAAGAAGCTTCCCATTTTTTTTAAAAAAAGCAAAGAAAATAGGTTTCTTTGGATATGAATACGTTTTGATTTTATTTAAGAAATGGAAGAAGCATGAATCATATATACAAGCTAAAAAAGAGGAAGGATTTAAGGCAAGAGACCCTTTGCGTGGCTTCAGCTCTGTACGGCAGCCTTTAATTTTCTTTTCTTAGTTATATAAAATATTTCTATTTAGATATAGAAAACAATATTCATGGCTGACCTTAGATGATAGGGTCAATATAGAACTCAAATCTTTGAATTGAATCAATATTATCAACCGTCGTTGAAAGAGAAAGAGAGACGGCACTTGCAAGCAATTACTTGGTGGTTTGCCTACTCTTTCATTAAACTTCTTCTTCGTATATACAGTATAAATATTTATAAAATTTGGTGCAACGTTTGTATTGTAATGTGACATTCCTCCTTTTTTATAATTAATTATTTCGTCTAAGCTACAATTCTGCGATGGAGTGGGAACCAAAGAATCAAGCCTACCCCCAACTGTACTCTACTCTCAAGTCTCACCCACATCTCAGCTTTCAACAAAAACAAAGATTCATTCACTTTTTTGTTGATTTGGTCGTCGCCACGTGGCGGAATATGTAATCTGAACGGAGTCAGCATCACTCTGTGCCTTGGGTTTAAGGTTTTGTTGACCAACCACCTTTTCTTAAATTATTATACAAAACTGAAAAAGCAGAAGGATAATAGTATGGGCCAAAAGGAGCATAACTAGTTATTTCACCTTTAATGGGCCTTAAGTAATGATCTTCAACGACCCGTTGTAGGTTAATGACAACCACTAATTATGACATTAGGAGTATCATTAATACAGGTGGAACAGGTGATTACAGTAAGTTAAACCAATCACGGGGTTAGAAAAGCAAGCAACAATGGTTGGGCCCATCGAAGAAGATCAAGACCGTCAAATGTGGGCAACAAGACCCTACTTTTTCGAACAGCTGTCTGATCTGATTGGTCGATGCAGTTTGATGGCAGTGAACCCCACCACACCCACATCCAACCCCAAATGTAAAAGAGAAAATTAAAAGAAAAAAGGTGAAATTGACCGATAGGTCGTTGAGTGGCAGTTACCCTCTGTCTCCCGAACGCGTCTCTCTCCGCTCCGTGTCTTCCACGCGCGGATTCGACCCGTTGTCTGTATCGACCACTCTCTTCTTCTGCGCGTGTGTCTTATCTCCTAGAGACAAAAGGTGGCCCGGGTCCACTAACGGTCCACAACACGTGGCAGAGCCTTAAAGGCCTATTTATCTCTCATTACAATCCGACGGTTGAGCACGTACCCAGCTGTCAGAACCTTATCAGTAAATGGACGGTTAATATAAACTCACGTGTCGGTGAACAGAAGTCGTGCTTCCTCGCTTTATATAAACGCCGGCGACTCCTTCACCACTGTGTACAATACCAGCCGACACTTTTTGTTGCTTGCTAAAACCCTAATCTCTCCAGTCAAGTCAACAGCGATGATGATTATCTCTCTGTAATTGAGAAAGTGTAAAGTTTCAATCTTTAATTTCGAGAATGGGGGATTCCGATAGGGATTCCGGGGGAGGGCAAAATGGGAACAACCAGAACGGACAGTCGTCGTTGTCTCCCAGAGAGCAAGACAGGTTCCTGCCGATCGCTAACGTGAGCCGGATCATGAAGAAGGCTTTGCCCGCAAACGCCAAGATCTCCAAAGATGCCAAAGAGACGATGCAGGAGTGCGTCTCGGAGTTCATTAGCTTCGTCACCGGAGAGGCGTCGGATAAGTGTCAGAAGGAGAAGAGGAAGACGATAAACGGAGACGATTTGCTCTGGGCTATGACAACTCTAGGGTTCGAGGATTACGTTGAGCCATTGAAAGTTTACTTGCAGAGGTTTAGGGAGATCGAAGGGGAGAGGACTGGACTTGGGAGGCCACAAACCGGCGGTGAAGCCGGAGAGCACCAGAGAGATGCTGTCGGCGATGGCGGTGGGTTCTACGGTGGGGGGATGCAGTATCACCAGCATCATCAGTTTCTTCACCAGCAGAATCACATGTATGGAGCCACAGGCGGCGGAGGTGGCGGGGATGGTGGAGGTGGAGCTGCTTCCGGTAGGACAAGGACTTAAGAGACCAGTGAAGTGGATCTCTGTATATAGATACATATATATATATATACACGTGCCTATTCTTACCAAGAAAAATTTCTACAAGTATCATCATCATGTTGGTTATGTAAAATTAAAATCAGATGTGCATTAGATTTTGCGGCTGTGTAAAGAGCGTTTGAACAATAGGATTCGCTAACGGATCTTGTCCGTTTAATCTCTGTAGCATATAACTATTGGATATTTGGATTGCATTGAATGCAAATGTTTTTACATATGGAATGGTATAATGTTCTGGTGAGAGTTAAGAAGAAGATTCAGGTGTCAAAACATTGCTCTGTTTGTTAAAAAAAGAAGGTCAATGGCGGGAAGGGAGGTCGCGGCTGTTGAAGTACAAGTTGCCTTGAAGATCAGGCGCAGAGACGCGGAGAGGAGTGAAGCCTTGGTAGTCTCCGTTGGCTTTAGCAGAGCAAATGTCTGTCATATATCTCAACAGCTCATGACTCTGTACGAATGGCTGCTTCGTGTATTCCTCCCATGGCATCCACTGATACAGAAAAGAGATGATGAGGTTTGTGAGTGTTTTGGAGGGCTGAGAGTGGAGATGGAAAAAATGTTACCTGAGCTGCTTCGATCTCTGACTCCTGTGCATTGATCTCCAAAGAAAGGGGCTTTAACATGCATACGAAGAACAAATCTGACTTTTCAAAGAAAGCTTTGTGGGTCTGTCTGCCATAATAAAACAGAATAAGAGTCAGTTTCAGTTATGTTGCAAATTATAAGCAGATGATGCGGTTGGATCTTTGAGCTGTAACCTGAAGGCCAATATTTGGACGAATTCTGTATCCACCTAAGAACAAATATGATCAAGAGAGATTAGCTCTTGGTCTCATGTAAAACGTAAAGGTGATGCATGAAGATAAGCTTAGCTTACTCCGGTCTCTTCTTTAACCTCTCTGACCGACCCATCATGGATGTCTTCACCCTGAGTCGAGTCAAGAAATGAAAGAGCGCATCAGAGAGCTGAACACAAGCCATGTAATATTGTAATAAGATTCAAATAAGAAGCAACACACCTCGTTCACTACTCCGGTGGGGAACTTCCAGAAACCTAGTCCTTGAAATCTTCCTATCTTCTCTTGAACCACCAGCACCTTGGGATCCAAATACAGAAACAGAGATGATTGAGATCAGTCTTGGAAGATGTTCCAAAAAAACACAACGCTGTGAAAAAGCCTCATCTCATCTACACCTCTTTCTTGTGGTTAATGACAAAGGCAGCTATGCCGACACGGTGAGATGCATTGGGAGGAAGCGTATGTTCTTCTTTAGGAATCCAATACACAAGCATCAAATAGTCTTTCTCCGCGTGATGAAACCAGAATCCCTCCTACAAACCCGAATAACAGTTAAGTAACACAAAGGCAGGGAGTTGAAGCAATCTTGTTGCAGGTTTAGTATGCAGGAAACAAAACCTTAACAGCAGTTTCAGCTAGACCAATAAGCTGCCTTGGCAATTTGATCCAAACTCCCTTCTTTCCCTGCATTTATCATACACATTAACTACATTCACCATCTCTCCGCCAAATTGAGCAATGGTGGGAAAAAGGAATACACTTTCTTTGCAGCAAATTAACAGAAACTCTCTGGTCCGCATTAGAAATTAGAGTACAGTAATTTTCAAAAGGATCCAACTTTTTCAATGATTCTATGCAACAATCACAAACTGGTATCAATCTCGGATTCCTTACCATTAGACATATTTCTATGATTCTATCAATTTATTGGAATTGAATAGAACAGGAACCGAATGCAGATTACGAATTTTTTTTATTTTGATCCTAACAGGAGGAAGAGAGAAGAGAACCTGAATAGTCCAGTTAGAGAGAGAGGATCGGAGAAGTACAGAGAAGGAAGAAGGATCCATGGGATGAGTCATCTCCGCCACGACGCCACCGTACTTGTCTTCAACAGCCGGAAGCAGTGTAACGCTGTTTGCCTCCTCGGCGGACATGGGGTTTGTGGAGGAAGAAGCGGACATGAATCTGTTCCTCGTTGTGGAGCAACTGTGAAACGCAGAGAATCTATCAGCCGGAAAACGGAGATGCCCATTAGCCGGCTTCATCAACAATTTCACAAAACCATAGCTTTTCGCCAAAACGCAACTCATAATTCGTTGTTGAGGAAAAAAACAAACACAGTTACGCAAGATTTGCCTTTTTAGTTTCTCAATTCTCAACGTCAAACTTCATTTGTAAAATAACAGAACAAATCGAAACTAATCTGAAAGTTGTCAAATTACTAAATGGGTCACATGGATCAAGCGTTGGAAACCTGTTTTGCACTCACGCACTTCCCTTTCCCCTGAATTAGTGATGAAATCAATGAAAAGGAACCAACTTTCTGCATTCAACCAAGTTTTCTGGATTTTTACGACACGGTCAATAAATATAATCACGAATATTCTCAGTCAATAATTTGATTATGTACACGTTTCTTCATTTCTCGCATGAATGAAGAAATTACAGAGTATGTCGGTATCTCCGCGGGCTGCGCTGAGCCACACGCCAAAAGTATTTTGCACAAAACATATTCGGGTCGGGTCGAAGAACGGGTGAGACAACGACTGAAGTGAGGATAAAATAGAAGTTATCTTGCTCGTATGAGGGCATAAAGGTAAACATAAAGGGCGCACTAAAGTTTTTTTTTTACCCTTTGAACTGCTTTTACTTGGCCGTGTCTCTAACCTTTCACGCCGCTCATTTTGATTTTTACCTTTCCTAATGGAGCTTCTCGCCGGCGACTGTCGGAAACGAGTCGGCGATGACTTTCCCGAGGATGTTGACCCATTCGACGGCTCAGACGGCGGCTGCGACTGGATGTACGGTAGTCGTGAATCGGGGTCCCTGAGAATGAGACCTAACGGAGACGACGACGCTTTGGCTACGCTCGCGGAGTTAGCGCCGCCTCCTCAGAAACTGAAGCCCATCAGGTGCGGCGGTAAGCCTCCCTTGGAGGATCGACATCCTCTGGATATTCTCGCCGGAACCCTAGATAGGCTTCCGGAGATGGGGTTTCTCGGAGACGGCTGCTTCGAGGCTGCGTTGGGATCCAAGATTGCTGACGTGGAGAAAAGCGGTCAATTGACGCGTGGGTTTGAAAAAACTGACGAAATGAAGCTCGAAGGTCGTCTCTCCGGACATGGCACTTCTTGGGATGGTGTGTCTCGGAGGTAAGCAGCAGAAATCCAAAAATAAATAAATATAAGAGCTTTGTGCATGTAGGTTTGGTCACACACTCACACTGCAGTTTTTTGTAGAAATTTTTGATCTCTTACTGTGAAAAGTAATAACTTTTTCCACGTTTATTAGAAAGAAGCTTGTTTGGTAGAGCTAAACACATTTCTTCTCTTGATGTTTGCTCTATTTACTTCGGCTTGCAGTATCATACAATTTTATATTGGTTGCATTCAACTTCGTAGATAGCTAACAGATTGATGTGGCGTCATTACAACCATTTATTTATCCGGTTCTGAATCTTGTTTATACCACTTTTAAGCATTACTAGTCTACAGAATTGTTCTTGAATGGTGCCAGCAAAGATCGGTTTATATTTGGTCTTACCACCTTTTAGGATTAGTAGTAGGATATGAACATTTCTTGCTTTTGCAGCTCGTCTGTTGATAGCGACGACAGCGAAAGCGACTCTTCCCCGGGCGTTCGCAAGGGTAAAAGAAAGCGGGAAACGAGGGAGAAGATGGAGCATTTCTTGGAGAAGGTGGTGGGGAGTATGATGAAGCGGCAAGAGAAGATGCACAAGCAGTTGATTAAGGTGATGGAGAAGATGGAGCGTGAGAGAGTACGGCGTGAGGAAGCTTGGAGGCAGCAGGAAACAGAGAGGATGAGACAGAACGAAGAGGAACGGAGACAAGAGATGGCACGCAGCTTGTCTCTCATCACTTTCATCAAAACTGTCGTTGGTGAAGAGATTGAGATCCCTAAATTCTGTGATCAACCACCTCAGAAGCTTCTCCAACATAGTGAATCCGCTCAGAGACAAGGACAAGGAGAGACGAAGTTTGGTTATTCAAGCGGGACAAGATGGCCGCCAGAGGAAGTGAAGGCGTTGATAGCTAGCAGAAGCGAAGTGGACGAGCAGACAGGGGTTCACAAGGGAGCTATATGGGATGAGATATCAGCGAAGATGAAGGAGAGAGGGTACGATAGATCTCCAAAGAAGTGTAAGGAGAAGTGGGAGAACATGAACAAGTACTACAAGAGAGTCATGGAAGGTGGGAAGAAACAGTCTGGGCAAAGCAAGACTCGCTCCTACTTTGAGCAACTAGGGAATCTGTACAAGACCAACTCAGCTAGTGCAGAACAACAAGAGTGAAAGATTAGGTGTTTGTCACGCAAAACGGAAGCTTGTAGATTATTGATATTATCTCTCGAGTTTAATTTGATTTTTGGTGTAGTTAAGTTAGGTAACTCTACGTCTCTACGAGTTTGTACTGTATTTGTATGGTATTGAGTTTAGAAGGTTGGAAATAAAGACAATAAAACGTTTGGTGATTGGGATCTTGTAACGGCTATGGGAAACGAGAAGGATCCATTCCCTCGGTCACATCGACTGTTGCTGACACGTTGTGGAACTTGTGAGGTCTACAACTACAAATGCCGACACTTGCCAAAATATACTACTTTTCTTTCCTCCATCTCATCCTCTTCTTTTTCTTCAAATGCTTCAAAATCTCGAGCATTGGATTAATTTATTTATATATTTACAAACCCATAGTGGTGAATCTGAAGAAGGGATATGGAACGTGGAGGCTTCCATGGTTACCGCAAGTTGTCCCTCAACACCACCACTCCTTCTGAACCAGGTAGTGCCATTTTCAGTTGCATGCGAAATCATTTCTTGCAATTCCTCCATTATCATGTTTTCATGACGAGAAGTAAATGAAACAAAAGTACTTTTAAGCTTTTGCCAGTCTCAGACTCCCATGTGCTAATGCACACACTTTTGTTTTATATTTTTGGGTTTGCCAGCGAAGTTTTTGATGGCAGAGGGGAGCATGCAACTCACAGAACTCAACCAGCCTAGCAAAACCGCTAATGGCGGTGAAGAGGAGTGCACGGTGAGAGAGCAAGACAGGTTCATGCCTATAGCCAATGTGATACGGATCATGCGGAGGATCTTGCCTGCTCACGCCAAGATCTCAGACGACTCCAAGGAGACGATCCAAGAGTGTGTCTCGGAGTACATCAGCTTCATAACAGGGGAGGCCAACGAGCGGTGCCAGCGGGAACAGCGCAAGACCATCACTGCTGAGGATGTCTTGTGGGCAATGAGCAAGCTCGGTTTTGATGACTACATCGAACCCATCACCTTGTACCTCCACCGCTACAGAGAGTTGGAGGGTGACAGAGGGATCAGCTGCAGTTCTGGATCTGTTAGTATGAGCAACGGCTTGGTCGTCAAGAGGCCTAATGGTAACACCATGCCCGAGTATGGAGCCTACGGGGCTGTGCCAGGGATTCACATGGCGCAGTACCATTATCGTCATCAGAACGGGTTTGTTTACAATGGTACTGAACCTAATTCCAAAATGGGTGGTTCGTCATCGGAACTATTTCCGGCTCAGCAACATAAGTACTGAGAAGAATGGGATAATAACGTTAACAGCATGATGCTTCGTCTATATTTATCTTCTTCTTGTGTTTTCATTTGAGTTTTTCTTTTCTTTTGTGGTAAAGTATGTCAATAAAGCATTAGGTTTGCAAACAGCATGCGTCTGATCTTTCTCTTAATATTATAACGAAAATTTGTAGTGAACAACATATAATTATAAAGGGACTAAATATTCCATGTTCCAATTCTCAACTTCAGAAATCAGTTTTCAACGGAAATAGAAACAGCTCCTCATATGCAAAATCTTCATCTAGCTACCACTTTCCGGAGGAACTTCAATGCATACCTTTTTCCTCTCCACAACATCATGTTTCTCTGCATCACCCTCTTTCTCTTGATGCTCTTCGGAAAGAGGTTCCGATTTCGAACAGTCAACAGGCTCAGCTCCGGTTCTTTTCCTCTGAGGGATCACAGTGAAGAAGGATGTTTTCCAGTCCCTCGTCTCCAGAAACTTGACAAGTATCTCCAAAACTTGGTTCACAGTGAGAACCTAAATCAATAAAAAGAAAACAACTCAATAGAGGCAATGATGCAGCAAACGCATTGGAGCTCAATGGAGAGGACTTTTGTGGCCAATGAAGATGAACATACCTGAGAACTTGACATTTTCATATACTCTCCAATGGGAAGCTTAGCTGTTTTAATGCCTTGTTCTTGTGCCTTGTTCATGGTGATCCCTTTGAACCGGTTCCGATCCACCAAGCCACCGATAATGTAAATATCCTTTGGGTCCAGGTCATCCAAAACAGTTTCGGAGTCGGCCGTAAGGTACACCAAATTCTCTTTCCGATCAGCCATGGCCTCAATGTAACACTGACTTTCCTTCTCTATGAACCATTTCTCAAAACCTGGAAGCTTATCAAGCTGAGTACTCATCTCCCCTTGCACTCCTGTCAGCCATAGATGACACGGCGAAGTGCTTCTCCCATTCGCCGCATAGCAATACATTATCTGAATATTTCAAGCATTCAAAACAATCTTCACCGATCAATGATTACACAAGAATCATCCAAAGTTTGAAGCTTTGCATACAAATTGTTGAAACTCACCTGCTGAACAAGGCTGGAAATCTCAGACTCGGACATGAGATGTGCGAAATCAACATCTATGACGACGTTTTGGCCGATTGCTTTGGCTAGAGTGAGACGCTCCTTCTTCTTCTCTTTCTCCTCGGACCTCTTGTCCATTCTCTCCTTCCGGAGACTCTTCCTCGACTCAATCAGCTTCAGCCTCTCTTCCTCCGTAGCATTCGCTAACGTTTCTTCCCATTCCTTGAGCTTCCTCTCCCCTTCCTTCCTCTTCTGCTCCTTCTCCTGTGCCTTCTTCTCAGCTTTCTTCGCTTCGTATCTCTGCTGCTTCAGTTGCTTCTTCTGCGCATTCTTAGACAGTGGTTTCTGCTCCTCCGCAAGCGCAATTTCAACCGGAGCCGGTTCCGAATCCGGTTTAGTCTGGTTATCGTTGCTGCCGTTGTCGACATTTTCCGTCGCCGCCGCCATTGCAGAGAGAGCAAGGTTCCAAGGAAAGTGAAACGGAATGTGTCACTAAAAAACGACGTCGTCTATTACAAAAGCTTGTGGAAATGGGCCTACACCGGCCCATCCACGAAAGGGTTTTTAATTGAGTTGGGGGCAAAGTGTAAATAGAAGAGAGAGCGAGGGGCATAAATATAAAAACAAGTACAAATGCGGAAGCGATGAGAGACACAAACCCGTAAGTCAGCAAATCGGCCTGTTGTTTCGAGAGAGCGCTCAGATCGGATGTGTTCGAAAGAGAGTGACTCTTGATTCTTCAACACCAAAGAAAACCAAAGAAAGAAAGAAAAGCCCCTTTTCTTCGCTCTCTCTTCTCCATCGTCGTTTATGGTTGCTAGGCTCTTCTAAAGAGAAGAGCACATCGCCGGTAAAAGAGTTATCGGTTTCACTCGCCATGGCACTAAAGCCAGAGGAGCAGTTGAAAGAGTTCGGATCGAAGCTTGACCCACCTCCTTCGTCCAAGGATTCTTTGCTCAAACTCTTTAAGGTTCTTTTCCCCATCTCTAATTCTTCTGCAATTTGTCCTCATTTTCTCAAAGTTTTCGTTTGGAGGGAGTTTTTCAGCTTTGGTCCCTGTTTAAATTCTACGAAATTGGTCGACTTAGAAAATTTTAAGCCGTGTAGGTCTTCCGCTGTGTGTAATGTTCGTTAGTAGAGCTAGTGTTTATTCTTTGGAGTTGCGTTAGGGTTTGTTTGTAACTTGTTTTCGTCGCTTTCCCTTCCTATAGATTGTTTTCTCAAAATTAGGTCACCCATAAAGGAATGGAGTCTGCTTCATTCTCTATGAAAGATGCATATGAATTAGCCACTTACACTTGTCTCGAAATTGAATTGTATGGCTTTCCTCTAACTACATTTACAATTTTTTTTTTTTTCTTACAATGCCAAATTCATTGTGTATAACTGCTTATATTCTCAATTTTTTGATATGCCTGATGTCCTTGAGTTCTCGCTATGTTGGAATTGAATTGCACTATCTTTTAGATACATGCAAAAGCCAAAAGTTACCCCAGTTTTCATTTCTATGTTTATCAGAGAGATATCTACATTGACTAAGATGTTTGTTTATCAATCACTTGGTGGAAATGTGATTTGCTTTTGATTGGTATAATTTGAGGTGACTTGGTTCGGTTACTTTAGTAAGATACCTCTCTCCTTCAAAAGCAATTCCTGTTTTCCAACTGATACTGTGTGTGACTAATGGTAGTGCTCATTTGAATGTTGATTTCAAAAACTCTCAGTCTCGTTAACTTGTGTGTTGCTACATGCAGGAAGCTGCTGTTTGTCTTTCTGAGTTGGAGCAGTCTCCACCACCAGCAGTGCTCAAGTCCATTCAGCCTTTTCTTGATGCAGTTATTAAACCTGAGATTCTCAAGCATCAAGACAAGGATGTCAAGCTTCTAGTTGCAAGCTGTGTTTCTGAGATAACTCGTGTTACAGCACCAGAAGCGCCTTACAGTGATAGTATCATGAAGGTCGCTTGTCCTGTATTTTCCTCTCCAACCGAGACCACTGTCATGTTCTCTGCTGATTTTTTCCGTCTCTTGATCTTGTTTCAGGATATTTTTCAACTGATTGTGAGCGCTTTTTCTGGGTTGAATGATGTCGGTGGACCATCATTTGGAAGGAGGGTTGTCATTTTAGAAACGGTTGCAAAGTACAGGTCATGTGTCGTGATGTTGGATCTTGAATGCGATGATCTGGTGAAAGAAGTATTTACTACATTTCTTGATGTTGCTAGGTGAGTTTCACTTTAAGCTATATCAAGTATATGCTTTGGCTGGTAATGCAAGATATAAATGCTATCTATGTTTTTTTCTTTTGGGCCTCGTACTGAAAGATTGTTTTATTGCCATATATGCAGAGATGACCATCCAGAGGTTGTTTTCTCATCAATGCAAAATATAATGATTGTTCTCTTGGAAGAAAGTGAAGATGTGCAAGAGCAGCTCTTACTAATTTTACTCTCCAAATTGGGCAGAAATAGAACTGTGAGCTTTCTGCCACTGCTGGCTCGGGCCACTGATATTATTGTAATTTAGGATTAGCTGTTGTATGGAATAGCAGACTGCTCATTTTCTACACTTATGATTACAGGACGTTACTGATGCTGCAAGAAGACTTGCTATGAAAGTCATAGAGCAGTGTGCACCAAAAGTGGAAACTGACATAAAACAGTTCCTTATCTCATCAATGTCTGGAGAGAGCCGATATTCCAGCAGTCAAATTGACTACCATGAGGTTATCTATGATTTGTACCGCTGTGCTCCTCAGGCTCTATCCGGAGTTGCACCATATCTCACTGGAGAGCTTTTGGTATTTTTTTTTTTTGGTCTTTTGCCTCTATTTTGCATGTCAAACACCAACATGACTCTTGAACCATGCATCAGTATTTTTGTTGTTGTGTATTTTATTTGAACAGTCACTTTTATCTTTTGCTGTTTCAAATTATCTTTTCGAATAGGTTCGTATTGAACAATACATAATGGGTACTATTAATACATACAGGCTGATAAATTGGAAACTCGTTTGAAAGTGGTTGGATTGGTTGGAGAGTTGTTTTCCTTGCCTGGACGTGTCATCTCCGAAGAGTTCAATTCAATATTTCTGGAGTTTCTGAAAAGGCTGACTGATAGAGTAGTTGAAGTAAGGATGGTCATCCTTGACCATATTAAGAATTGCTTGCTCTCAGATCCTTCGAGAGCTGAGGCGTCTCAAATTATATGTAAGTCTTTCTTTATCATGCGGCTCATGCCATTAGTATTCATTAGAATTGACTAATCTTTTAGTGTTAATCCTTTTGTAGCTGCTCTTCGTGACCGGCTCTTGGATTATGATGAGAATATCCGCAAACAAGTTGTTGCTGTTATTTGTGATGTGGCTGTGCATGCGCTGACGTCGATTCCGATTGACACTATAAAGTTAGTCGCTGAACGGCTTCGAGACAAAGCTGTACGTTTTCTGTATTCAGTCTTGATGTCTCAGATAGTTGCATGCTAACATTTGAAGATATTGTAACTCATGCTTCTTTGTCTAAATCAGATACCCGTTAAAACATACACAATGGAGAGGTTGACTGAATTGTTCCGGGTATATTGCTTACGGTGTGCTGAAGGGAAGGCAGGCACTGGCGACTTTGATTGGATTCCTGTAAAAATTTTGAGATGTCTCTATGACAAAGATTTCAGGTAGAGACAGTACCTTTTCTTATACTTTTACGCTGTTCGCTTAAATCTAAATTGGATATGATCATTACCTTCCGAATATATATTCTGAATTATGTATATTGTGTTGCAGATCAGATACAATCGAATATATTCTATGCAGCTCATTGTTTCCAAGTGATTTCTCCGTTAAAGATAAAGTTAAGCATTGGATAGAAATATTTTCCGGGTTTGATGAAGTGGAGACAAAAGCTTTTGAGAAGATAATGGAGCAAAGACAAAGGTGTGATTGATGATTTTTCTTAGCACTTAATACTTCTGCATGATCTACATCATCCCACCTTTTCCTTTTTGGTATTGAAGATTGATCTTGTAGAAATTTCTTCTTGGTCTTTAGGATACAGCAAGAAATGCAAAAATATTTGTCCTTCAAGCAGATGCAACAGGTTCGACCAAACGCAATTGAAGAACTTTTTTCTCTGTTCTCGGTTGGACTTTTTTTGGTTCCTTTTATTTTCACCATATGTAACCTTATTTCTGTTTGAACGCAGAATGCTGATGTTCCCGAGATGCAGAAAAAGATTCAATTTGGATTCAGAGTTATGTCTCGTGCATTTTCTGATCCCTCAAAGACTGAGCAGAACTTTTTGATTCTTGATCAACTCAAAGATGCAAATATTTGGAAGATGTTGAATAATCTGGTCGATCCCAGCACTAGCATAATGCAGGCGTCCAAGATTCGAGTGAGAATTACAACTTTGTATTAACATTTAGATTGACTTTCGATAACTTTATAACTGGTTTTTGGTTTTAATTGTGTGCAGGATGATATGCTTAGAATACTTTCTGAAAAGCATCGTCTCTATGAATTTCTCGGCACTCTCTCCATAAAGTGTTCGTATCTGTTGTTCAGCAAGGAATATGTGAAAGAGATATTAGCGGAAGTCTCTGCTAGAAAGTCTTCTAAAAGTAGTTTGGGCATTCAATCTTGCATGGACTTCTTAGGGGTAATCACTCATCTGACATATCGAATCAAATCTTACTAGCTTTCCTTCAGGATTTTTTTTAAGCATCTTTTATAGCCGATTACATCCCATGCTCATGTGCTTGTTTACCTTTACTGATTACCCCATCCACCATATTGATGCTTGTGCATTGATTTTTTAGCTTCTCGCAAGTTTCTGTCCATCACTGTTTGACGGAGCTGAAGAAGAACTGATAGGTTTTCTTAAAGATGAGGATGAAATGATAAAGGAAGGTACTCTAAAAATTCTGGCTAAGGCAGGTGGTACTATTCGGGAGAATCTCATTGTTTTAGCAAGGTGAAAGTCTCAACTTCTCAATATGTACATCGTCAAGCATGATTTCACGTCATTTGTCAGTTGCCTGCTTTTTCTGATTATAATGTTTCTCCTATTGTCCATTTAAAGTTCTGTGGATCTATTACTGGAGAGGATCTGTATAGAAGGTAACCGTAGGCAGGCCAAGTATGCTGTGAATGCACTAGCATCAATAACAAAGGATGATGGCCTGAAGTCCCTCTCTGTTCTGTACAAGGTGAAAGTTCTGTTTTCTCATTCATATTTTCCAAATTTATCACTGAGATATAGTTGATAAATTAGCATGTGGAAATTCTGGTTTAATTCTTGATTCGTAGGGACTCGTGGACATGCTGGAGGACAAGGGACATCAGCCAGCTGTTCTTCAGTGCCTTGGTTGCATAGCGCAGATTGCAATCCCGGTTTTTGAGACTAGGGAAACCGAAGTCGTAGAGTTTATTAAAAGCAAAATCCTCAATTGTGAAAGTGTATGTATTACTAATGTTTTATTTTCTGCCAAACCTCACTATCTGTCTTTCACTCGTTTCCGGTTTTCTTATCATTTTTTTATTGAAAGACACTTAAACCTCTTTGCAGGAAGCTGTAGATGACAAAAAGTTATCTTGGGATGACAAAAGTGAAATTTGTCAACTGAAGGTTGGTATCTGACGAAAGTTTTTTATATAACTGATTGCAAATATATGTTTGACCATATATTAAAGTTGATCAAGTAATTTCTCTGTTGGCCAGTTAATTTTCTTAACTCTTTTTATTTATTTAACAGATATATGGGATCAAGACTTTGGTTAAGAGCTACTTGCCTTTCAAGGATGCTCATCTTCGTACGGGTGTTGATGACCTTCTTGGATTACTAAAAAACATTCTTTCCTTTGGTGAAGTATCTGAAGATCTAAAATCAAGGTTAGTAGACATTAATGCTCAAACATGCTAAGAGGTTCTTTTTTATAAAAAAATCGAAGGCACTCATGCTCAACCTCTCCACAGTTCTGTTGACAAGGCCCATTTGAAACTTGCTGCTGCAAAGGCAGTCCTCCGTCTGTCTAGGCACTGGGACGAGAAGATACCGATTGATATCTTCCATTTAACACTAAAAACGCCGGAGGTACCTTCCTTCAACTTGGTTTTCCATTCGCTCCTTCCCAGCCAATCCTACGTCTGATCTGTGTTCTGTTTTAACATTTTTTCTTAACGTCTCCTGTAGATATCATTTCCTACGGCCAAGAAAATATTCCTTGGGAAAGTTCACCAGTATATAAAGGATCGGGTTTTGGAGACAAAGTATGCCTGTTCATTTTTATTTGATATCACCGGATCAAATGTTCTCGTATCAGAGGAGGTATGTTATCTCCCTTTATTTGAAACACACATATATGGTGTTTCTGAGTTGAGAATGTTAACAATCTAGCTAAACTATGCTTCTGGATTGGCATGACAGGAGAAACAGAACCTAGCCGATATCATTCAACATTCTTACCAAACAAAAATGCGGAAAGTCTCTGCTCAGACTGATGCAAATTCCGTTTCTCTATACCCTCAACATATCCTTCCTTACTTGGTTCACGCACTTGCGCATCATTCTTGTCCTGACGTCGAGAAATGCAAAGATGTGAAGGAATATGAAATGATATATCGGTAATTTGTGGTTTACGTACCACTTCTCTCTTTTTATAACTGTGCAACTAGCGATTCAGGAGTAACTTTTTCGCTGATATTTATACTTGCTGTTTCCAATCGTTTATTTCAGCCAATTATACGTGATCATTTCTATGTTACTCCATAAAGAGGAAGACGGAAAGGCTGAAGATGTTGATAAGGAACAGGAGTGCGTTCCCTCCCTTATCTCCATCTTCCAAAGTATTAAACAGTCAGCTGATGTCACTGATGCAACAAAGTCAAAGGTTGGTAAAAGATCTCCTTGACCTGGTTCTGTTTTATCATGACTATTTTTGATAATCATGGTGCCCTGAAGCTAACATTCTCATAATTTATATTAACAGAATTCAGATGCGATCTGTGAGCTTGGGCTGTCAGTAATCAATCACTTAACTAAGAAAGAGCCTGATGTACAAGGGACATTCACGCCTGTATCGCTGCCTCCAATGCTGTACAAACTTTCTGAGAAAAATGAAGGTGATAAGGCTCAGGTAAGAAGCCATAACTTGTTCATGGTTCAAATTTATTCGATGCGCTTGCTTCAAGTAATTGTTGGCAATCTGAGCTGTTAGTATCTTTGCTCGTCTATTTACTCTGTTTAACCTCGTATTTTTTTCCTGGTCTGCGTTTGCTAACACATGACATATTGTTTCAACAGGTTGGTGAAGAGAAATTGTGGCTAGCTGATGAAACTGTCTTGGCACACTTCTGTTCTCTCAAGTTGGAGGGTCGTGCTGATTCATCTGTATGTTATCCAATTTTAAAATCTGAGTCGCAGTATCTTGGGATCTCTGTGTTTATTGATATCTGTCCTTTCAGGTGATACCCCAAACTTCAGAGAATGAGGGTATGAATGATGAGGAAAGTGATGGGAATGAAATCCCTTTGGGTAAAATTGTCGAGCGTTTGAGAGCTCAGAGTAGAAAGGGAAAAAAGAAGAAATCTGTTCCAGCTGAAGACAAGGATGATAAAAAGGATGTGGATGTTTTGAAAATGGTGAGGGAGATTAATCTGGATATGCGAACGCTGGATAAATTTGAATCCAGTAATGGACACAAAAATTCCTCTGGAGAGAGAGCAGACACAAGTCAAAGGGATCAGAAGGCTAACAAAAAGAGTGCTGGTGGCGCAACATCAGTAGTTTCAGTCCCTAAACGCCGGAGATCGTCTTCTGGCCATAGTCCTTTCAAGTTCTCAAATAGTGGTCCTAAAGTTCCACTGGAAGCTTCTAATGAAGAGAGAGATATGGACAAAAATGTATCCTTGGACTCGACTGATGAAAATTCAAACCAGGAAAAAGGATTCGAAAGAATTTCTTCCCGAACGAAAAAGAAAAGCTTCAGATCAAAATTAATGAAACCAGAATCTGGTTGGAGTCTCAATGATATGGAAAATCAAAGCGAAGATGGCAACTGCAGTGAGAAGGTAAAAATCACCAAAAGCATTGTACCGCTTATTTCATTGAACTCTAGCTCAAATTATTGATATGCAAAATTTATTTTACACGGAAGCAGAGTAGGTCAGCAGAAAGTGGTGATAGATTGAAGTCTGCCTCTGTATCAATGAAGAAGGCAAAAAGAAAAAGCTTCCCAGGACTGGCTAAGGTGCGGAGGTTTACCTTCCATTGATGTTTATCTGTGTTACTTTCGTGTTAATTGACATTGTGATACCAAATATCTAAAGTCTGACCTGTTTTCTTGTCCAGTGCTCCACAGCAGAAAAGAAAATGGTTACTGATGAACTAATTGGTTGCAGAATAGATGTTTGGTGGCCTATGGATAAACGGTAAGCATTTTTCCTCGGATTGACAGTTGATCTCATTGTAGTATTTCCTTTGAAATCCTTCGGACTTATATTACTTTGACAGCCATGCAAAGCTACGCTATGAAGGAATTAATTTGTTTCCTTGTTCTTAATAACATTTTGTTACTCGGAACACATCTGATGCAATCATTTATTTCCAGCAAAATATGGTATTGTTTTTCTGAGTTAATCTAACCAGAAGTTGTATCTTGATGAAATCAATAGGTTTTATGAAGGCACAATAAAGTCTTATGATTCCACAAAACATAAACACGTGGTAAGCTTTCAGCACTTTGCTTGTTTTTCTTCTTGGGTTAGTTGGTCCATGTAACTCTGTAATTTATCCATATGATATCGTAGATACTTTATGAGGATGGAGATGTCGAAGTACTTCGCCTAGATAAAGAACGGTGGGAGCTCATAGACGCTGGTGGAAAGCCCACAAAGGTTTTAAGATTTTCTGCTTTTTGGGTTCTGTTGTCAATCTGTCTTCAATATTTCTTTTTTCATCTGCCGAGTTCGTTCCTGTTAGCTTAAAAAGATATCCTTACACTATTTCTACCTTGTGCAGAAGTCCAATAAATCAAAGCGAGGTTCTAATAAGAAAGGGTAAGACGTACTCTCTGCAACTGAAGATAATGCATCTCTCTGTAGTCCATTCGATCTCGTTTTTTTTCTTGAGCCTTATATGACACAGAAATCTTGTTCTTTTGTTTTATTGTTTTGTTTCTTTTAGATCGTCTGACAGTAAGCGTAAGAATTCAGATGGGTTACAGAGGGATGAAGATCCAATTGCTACTACGTAAGTGAAGTTCTGTCATCAGAAGTCCAGATACGAGCTCGTTCTTCTGCTTTTTGTTTATATTTGTGTATCTTCTGCACTCTTGTTAAACTCCTTTTTTCTGACTGTTGTTAGGCCAAAAGGGAAAAGAACGCCAAAGAAAGGTACACCAAGAAGTCTTGCTTTAGAACATGAGAAACCAGAGAGCCGAACCAAGAAAAAGCGATCTTCTGCTACGCGAGGTAAGCTCGAATGGACTGTTTCTAAATTCTTTCAAATGTACTTTCATGCACGTACACATACTTAAACAGTGTTAAGTAATCTTATTACACAATGCAATGTTTTTGGTCTCTTAAGTTATTTATATTTTGAAATGATTCAGTCGGTGAAGTTGCTGAAAAACCAAATGGGAAGAGAATGAAATCAACCACAGAGGACCCGAAATATAGTGGGGAGGCTGGCGAAGAGAAATCAGAGTCGGAAGGAAAGTCTGTGAAAGAAGGCGAGGATGATGAGGAAGTTGGTTTCCAGGAGGCAAAATCAGAGTCGAGTGGGGACCCTGAGGAGAAAGAAACTGATGTCGACAACTCAGATTCTGAGGAGAAAAAAGAAAACAATGATATGGAGGCAGAAGCCGAAGACGAGATCTCTGACAATGAGACTCTTGTAATTACCTACCTTTATCTTAATATACTTAAAGAGCAGGATAACAGTTAGATAAGTAGAGAGTTCTGATATGTGTATACTTTGTTTGAATGTGTGCAGGGAGCGTGGAAGAGTAAAGTTGTTAAGTCAAGCTCGAGGAAAGCAGCATAGATGCCATAATGTAGAAGAAAACACGCAAAGAAATGGCGGTGGTGTATGTCCCCAAGTATTGGTGGTCTCTCTGGATTGGCGTGGTGTATATGTGGTAAAAATGTGAGATTTGTAGGGTTAGTGATACATACATGTTCTAACCACCATGATGGAATGAATAATAGGCAAAAGAAGCTCCTCCCAGATGCTTAAGTGCTCTCATGTATTGTAGTCTCTCTGTGTGTTTATTTATAGGGTTGTTTCATGTTTTCTTCTGTAATATTTTACAACTTACATTCCTTGACCCAAAGTGCTCTTCTCTTCTGAACTCAATTAGCTAGTTTGCCACTTTCTTATAACTTTACCTTTGCCAGGTATTCCTGTAGTATCCACAATATTGTTGGTCCTTGATCCTCTTTATGTTTAGTTTACTCTGATTTTATTGGGTTTTTTTTATCCTTTTTCGTAAGTCTACATTTTTCAAATAACAAGAACATGGTTTAATCAGTCCAGAGATCAATTAGTCAATGGATGAACAACATTTTGATTTATCCACTCAAATGTCCTGCTCTCTTTTACCAAAAACTTGGGTTTGACCGAAGCCAATCGCATCTACTTCCCAAAGTTCTCCAACCCCAAGTTTGACAAGACTTTTTTCCGTTTCTTAAACTTGTTTAAAACGCCATACTAAACCTTCTTAAAAAGAAGACTACAAGCAGCAGCAGTCAGAACTCAGAAGTAGAGGAGGAAGATAATATCTTTGCAACTGGTCATTTGTTGGTCTATATATATATATATTATCTGAGTTTAGCTTTATATTTCTATATGCAACCAAATCAAGATTAGATTATCTTGCCGTTAGACACTGCTCTTTGATGTTCTTCTCTTTTGTTTTGTTTCCATAAAGTTGTTCTTTTTGTAGTGCAGAGATTGAACATATCATTCATTGCCTGTACTCATTAAGAAGAATGGTTGTTGTTTCTTGTTATTCTAACAATTTCGTTTGGAATTTGATTACTTTTCTAATGCATGAAACTTTTTCATGCAAGGGTTCACCCATCAATCTACTACTAAACAAGAAAAATTATTTCCACAAAAAAGTAGATTTATCTGCGAATAATATTGTTTAACTCAGTCATGGCCTATGTAATTAGATATAGAATACATAAACAACCTCTTTCTCTGCTGTTTTCTGAATGGAACAGTTAGGCACTTAGTGAAACTGATATGATAGACGATAGCTTGAATTTCTTTATCTTTGCCGAGTCTCGTGGCTGAAAGACAACTTCAGTGCTCGACCTTACGGTCACTTCCTTCGACTCTGATCCCGAACTACCATCACTTCTGTAGTCCCTATACGAGTACAAAACCTGCAACCTCGATGGAGCTGCAAAGGCCATTAATTTTCAATTAGTTTTCTGTCATTTTTACAGTCAGGAGTCGGAATCACATCCTGGGGAATGAAAGCCAAGTGCATTAAGCTCTCAACTGTTCCAAACGTCAATCTATGCATTTTTGCAACATGTAAACACAGCCCTGAAGGCAAATGGAAAAAAGAACCTTCCAGTTTGCGTTTACAACTAGAACAATGAACTTTGTTTCAAAATGCTAAAAATTGCAAATCAAAACACAAACTCAAACAAACAATTAATAGAGGTGAAAAGAAAGAGAAAGTACCAAACCCAAGCATGCTTGTACTCTGAATAGAGATAGAGTCGATTTTCGATCTTTTGATATGTCTCAAAGCCAGAGTGTCTTCCTGCTTTCCTTTGAACTCAAGGAATTCCCCTAACACGATTTTACTGCTTTTAAGTTCCACCCTGCATCATAATCAATCCTTTAAAGAAAACTCTTTTGAGCAGAACTACTTCAGGAAAACAAAATGTAAAATGGAATGTAAATAAAGATAAGAGGTCCAACCTATCCCACATTGGTGCCGTGCCAAGTATGAAATTAAGTTTTTGATTTGGAGATTCCTGCATCTCCTTCCCCGTGCCGAATGCGCCTTTTACCCAACCAGAAAGTTTATTTCTTGATACTGGTTTCAGATGTTGCCACTCTTCGTAGGTAATTACCTCACTCGGGAATGCATGCATTGTACTGAAAGAAACAGGAACATATGTTTTTGTACCATAAGGAAAATCATGAATGTCTTGTATAATTATTGCAAAGATGAAAATACTGACGGTAGCAAGGATAACAATACATACCGGAAACTTGGATTGGGAATTACAACTTTGCAAGACAGATTTCCTTCTAGTAAAGTAACTCCTCTCTGTTCAAGATACGATTCAAGAACTGAAGCTTGTTTCTTAACCTCGGCCAGCTGAGACAAAAACACATCTATAAGTTAGGAACTAAGTCGCGCACAGATGGATGATAAAGGTCAGCTTTGCTATGTCAAGACAAAACTCTGGACATTTGATTCAAGAAACATATCCTTATGATCTCATATTCACTCCAAGGACGATCCAGAAGACAAGAAAGGAGAACAAAGAGCATTCTTCTAAACAACAAAAAGGTTTATGTTTCACCGAGTCCTATAAGCCTCCACAAGTACCACAATGAGATTATTATGCAACAAGAATAGCAACAAGAATCACACACTTAACTGATTCATGTAAAGCAAAACATAAGAAACAGAATGAAACAAGATAAACTTACTGGATCAGGATAAGTATCAGTTCTATGATGCTTCCCACCTTCACAAACCCAGCTTCCATCACTCTTTACCGTGACAATCCCAGATAGATTTCTGACACCGATCACCATAACGTCTCTAAAACCATCATATCGTTTCAATCAAGTCAACACATATCGTTTCTCACCTCGAAACAGAGAGAAAAAAAAAAGTGAGAAACTTTACCCTTTAGTGACGAGAACAACATCGATGTCCTGCCTAGAAGCAGTATCTGCATCTGGAATTCGAAGCCCTACGTAAGCTTTTCCACCATAAAGCTTCTCAAGTCTGCGAATCCAATTGTAGCATAGTCCAAAAAAAAGTAAAATCAATTCAGAACACAAAATCTGAAAAGTTCAAGGAATCGAGAATCGAGGATCGAGTCGGTGGTACCTGTGAGCAACGGAGAAGAGAGCGGTGGAATCGGAAGTCTCGACATCGGAAAACTCGTCGTTGTAGAAGAAACGACGAACGATTTGGTAAATTACAAGACCACAGATGATCTCCACCCACATCGTTTCCTCTTGGATTGTGAGAAGAGAGAGAGACGCTTGAAAATAAAGAAATTGAAAAACTTAAGTAACAAATATCTCTATTATATTATTTGAGAAAAAGAGAAGCCTGAAAAAAAGAGCTTTATTTACGAAGATTGCCACTAAATTAATGAGTTAAAGTGTTTGGAAACACGGTTAACAGGGATAATTTCAGAGGAAAAAAACCGCGTGGGTCTGAGTTAAGGTAATGAAAAAAGAGCATTCAAATGTAAATTAAAATAATTGTGACTTTTGTTTATATGATATACAACTCTGATTATTAAACTTTTTGATTTCGTGAAATTATATATTTAAGGAACACAAATCCATGCATGGTTTTGTGAAGGAGCATGTTTCCTCTTATATTTCTATATGATTATGATTATGATTATGATTATGTTTGTATTAACTAATCATACATTTTTTTCTTTTTTAGCTTTTGAAGGAAAACGGCTGATTCCTACCTCAACTAGAATTATAGGCACTAATCCCTACCCCAACTCTTTAGGTGTACCAATCTATATATTAACTACAAAAATTCATCCATTTCATATCCAAACTAAAACTCTTTTTGGCTAAAACGAGCATTGACTAATGTTTTGTTAATCAACTCAAAACATCATTTGCCACGTAGTTTTCTTTTTTTTTACATAACTCAAAACAATGTCTTTTTAATATTTTCAGAAAATTGCTTCATAGGGAATTCGAACCAGTGCTATAAGAAGAAAAGGAAGATAACCACTTGTCTACATAGACATTATTGTTAACTTTTACATCTTATATATATATATATATATAATAAAAGTAAACACATATATAGTTTTAATGATTTTGTTTAAATGTTACAAACTACTGGCTCTCAATGTTATGTTTTAATAGTCATTTCTCCAATACCTATTTAACAGTTAAATCAAACTAATTCAATTTTCGGATTTAAAATAATATAATTATATTAATTTTTAACCAAAATTCAGATAATAACTAATATTATGCATTTATAATGATTTAATATAAATTATATTAAATGGACTCAAACTTTTATTATAATTTATATTAAAATTATTATATTATTCACCAGTTTGAATGTATAATTTTGGTTATTATCGGAACACTAGTTAACAGTTTAATATAAATTCTATATAAAATCATATATTTATAATATTTTTTTTTCTTAGTAACAACTAAAAGATATGTCATAAGTCAGCTGGTTACAATGTTTTTCTTTTGAAAACCGATTTTTTTCAAATTTGAAAAATTAAAATAATTCAGATTAATAGTGAAATAGATATTTATGGCTGTTAAAACATAAAATTAAGAGCTAATAATTTGCAACATTTAAACAAAATCATTAAAACTATATTTGTGTTTTCTTTATATATATATAATGTAGAAGTTAACAATAATGTCTATGTAGGCTAGTGGTCATCTTCCTTTTCTTCTTCCCTCGAGAGTGATGTCGTTTTGAGTTCTGTAAAAAAAAAAAATCTACGTGGCAGATGATGTGTCATGCTGAGTCATCTCCGTTAACAGAAAATCGGAGTTGACTAACAAAACGTTAGTCAATGCTTGTCGGGTATGAAATGGATGATTTTTTGTAGTTAAGGTATAGATTGATACACCTAAAAAGTTGGGGTAGAGATTAGTGCCTATAATTCTAGTTAAGGTAGGAATCGGCCGTTTTCCCGCTTCTGAAAGATCAACTATACATACAAACTGTATGATGTAATTTTCAAAGTCCATACGAACATACCTGATCAACAAGATACTCTTCTAAGACCGTTCACTTCTAAAAAATTCAACTCTGAATATCCAAATAAAATATGTTTGTGATAATGTATGTGTAACTGTGTATTTGTATTAACAAATCCAGGTTCAGCAAAGACGTTGGATAGCGCAGAAACAATTTTTCAAAACTGTATCATCTAAGGGACAAAGTTTTTGACTCAGACTTGCATTGGAACCCTTTTTTATCATAACAACAGTAACGACGAACTGTGATGAGTTTTAGCTGCTACTGTTTGCAGACATCTTCTCTAAGGTATTCATTGAATCTACCTTGCTTTAAGAGTTTTAGCTGCTACCGTTTACATTTTTACAAGATTCTGCGGGATAATATACCTTGAGGAAATGAATATTGGTGAACAATATTTCTGATCACAAAGGTAACATTGATGGGAAAAGCATAGAGCCAAAGACCTTATGAATTTATGAATTTCATCTGATTATATGATTCTGTCTATATATCTGTATAACTGATTATACGATTCTGCTCTTATGAATTTCATCTGCAGTAGAAGACCTCTCATCATCAGTTATTTCTGATCACAAAGGTAACAATATTTTAAATCCCATTTGCTTAGTTAATATGATAAGTTTGTTTTTCAGTATATGCACCGGTTAACATATTTTTTTCATGTATTTAGCTGAGAGGTATATACATTACAAACCATAAACAACAAAAATATATTTTGCCACTCACACGGTCCATTTAAACCTCACGCGTATGTGGATTTATATGACAATGCATTTAAATGTTCAAATACGTATATGTTTTGATATATTTTTATATGGTTGTCTATATGTATCTGTATACTGATTCTTTAGTTTTGGACATATACATATCTTTTGATATGTTTTTAAATACATCGCTATACATATTTGTAGAAAAGCATATAAAAACATATGAACTGGTATACAACTAAAACCATTGCCATATAGAAACTCTATAAATTAATAATATCGAGAATTTGATATTTTATTAATTTATAGAGTTATTAATATATGGATTTGAATTAAAAAGTATTTTTCAAAAAAAGAAAATTCAATATTAATAATATTTTAAATTTTCCTTCAAATTAAATAAAGAATTTTTCTTTATACGTATATTTTCTTAACTTAATGTTTTTATATTTACTTTATTGTTTACATTTTCTCATACTTGCCATATTGTTTTAAATTCATTTTTCTTTTGATTTCCATTTTTGTTTAGTGTGTGAGAGATTCATATTTTATTAGTTAGATATCTTAGATATATATATTAAAAAAAATTATATGATAATTATTAATTTCACTACAAGAAAACATAGCCAAATCCTACCAAAATTTCTACGAAAAGTTTGGTAGAAAAATATTATTACCAATTTCTTACGAAATTATGACGAAAATGAAAAATTGAAGAAACTTGGTAGAAAATCTCCTACGAACTAAAGTCGTCAGAAAGCCGTCAATTTTATTTAACCAGTTTCCTACCAAGTTATTGTCCGTAAAAAACTTGGTAAGCAAATGGTAGGAATTCAGTTGAAAATTTTTAACAGTTGAAAAGGTTGAAAATTCGTCAAGAATTTATTACCACTTTCTTAACACTTTTCTACGAACTATGATTTTCAATATTAAATAAATCGTAGTGAATCCGTAGGAAAAATAGTAAAGCAATAAAGCCAGTCAATTCTGGAAGGCCTGTCGAAAAATGGAAGTCTTCCTCTAAGTCTCAAACCCTAGTCGCCTCCTTAATAAGATTCAAGGAAGAAGATGATTGTGGAAAATAAATATGTTTGAAGTGGCTGAGCCTGAGCAGTTTCTCCCTTCCCTTGCTTCCTAACACTAAACGTGACCACCATCAAGCGACTTCCTCCGATGACTCTTGTATCTTCCCTTTCAATTTCTTCACCAATTTTAGGGAAAACATGAGTAAAGAAGGGTTTATGAAGATCCAGGTTTGCTTACCATGTTTTTTCATCTTTTTATGTTTATATTCTTACAGTAATATGAGACTTTACTCTATTTTTTTTTTGTAGACTCATTGTGATGGTTTTAAGCAAAAGTGAAGAAAAACTTGCAGAAAATTCAAGGTAAAAAACATTTCTTTCAGAATTTTACTTTCTCTAGTTTAACTTTCTGAGTTTTTTTTCAGATTTGGCTTTTGAAATCTGGGGAGTTTTTTAAGGGAAATAGGACAGAGAAAGGATAAAACTTCAGAGGAAAAGCAGGAGAAAAACCAGCATAGAGAGATGATTTCAAAGCTTAGATAGATTGGATGTAATTTCAATTTTATAATTTGTTCTAGACTTTTTAGGATTTGTTTTCTGTATTGTTCAAATATTTTATTTTAATTGTTAATTGATAGTAATTTCTTAATTGTATATTTAAATTTCGAAATAATTTTATTTTTAAAAATAATTTTATTATAATTTTATTATGGTTGTAGGAATATGATCACATATGGGTCAAGAATTCCCCTACAAATTATCTACCAGTTTCCTACCAACATTTCTAACGAAATTTCCTACAAAATATTTCGTAGGAATTTGCCTAAAGCTGTGTTTGATTTGCCTACTATATTTCGGTTTTTGGGACGGGAATGAGAAATTTGGGAAACCAAAGATGATACCCGAAGTATTCCCTTATTAAAACGGGACGAGAAATAACGGGAATGGGAAGAGCACGAGAAATTTTGAGAATGAAAAATTAATTCCCGAAGTCATACTAAATCAGGAAAATTGAAGATATTTTGGGAAATTACATGAAAATAAGAAAAAATACGGAAAATTATGAAAATATGGTCAAAATTTGGATATTTAAGAAAATAAAATATCTGTTTCAATTTTTTATTTTTTAAAACGGGAAAATCGGGAAGTCTAGTACCCTTCCCGAACCCTTCCTGTACCGTTTGAATAAAAGAAATGTTTCCAAACGGGAAATTCCGTTCAAACCAATAAGGAAAGGGTTCAGAAAGGGTATGGGATTTTCCGATTTTCCCGTTTAAAACATTAAAAATTGAAAATTATATATATATATATTATTTTTTTTAAAAATATTTCAATTTTCCCCACATTTTCCCATAATTTCCTGTATTTTCCATATTTTCCCCGTAATTTCTCAAAATATCTTCAATTTCCCGAAGTAAGACTCTGGGAATTAATATTTTATTCTCAAATTTCCCGTTTTATTCCCATTCCTGTTATTTCCGTCCCGTTATAATAAGGAAATACTTCGGGTATTATCTTTGTTTTCCCAAATTTCTTATTCCTGTCCCATTTCTGTTAATTCTCGTCCCAAAAACTGAAATGCACTGGGCTAATCAAAACACAGTTTTTTTATACGAGGACTCTTTTTGCAAAAAAAAATAGTTTGAGGTTTTTTTTGTACAAAAACATTTTTTTTTTAAGATTCTGACAACGCCACGTCATCAATATAGACATGGGCTATATTGCGGGTGACTTTAGAAGTGAGTGGTTTGACTTGTATTTTTTTTCTTGCAAAAATAATTTAGTTTGAGGTTTTTTTTGTACAAAACCCTATAAACTACATATTTTACCTCATCTATCATAGTTCCATAAAACAACTTGTATCTTACTGTTTAGAAAGCTAAGAATATCTCAAGAGTGTAATTAAAAACCTTGTGTTTATTTTTAAACATAACTGGAAGCTCCTGGAAACAGACAAGTTTGTGTACAAAGGCTTTATTTTCTCTTTCAGATGAAAGTTTGTGAAGTGAGAAAAGAGAAGCGAAGTCGAAGTGGAAGAAGCAATGAGCTATATTAATCTCATGGAGAAGACAAAGATGAAGAGGCAGCTCAATCAATTAAGTTTGGCAATTGTTGACGATCTGCCGGATCTGGTTTGAAACCGTAAGAACATGGAATATTTGAAGAAACATCAATAGAGGAAGATTAAGAAAAAGAATATCATACCAAAGCTCCTCATAGGCAATATTTGGGTTGCTAACGATCTTAGTAGAATAGTAGTAGAGTTATAGCTATCCAAAATGATTTTGTGTTTTTTTTTTATAAGTAAAAACTAAGCGTCATATGTCCTCCTCTCTAAAATTGATGTGTCAGTACGATGGAGAGAGATGAACAAGTTTTATATAAAAGATATACGAAATTATCCACAATAACTCATTTTTTTAAAACTATGCAAGTAGAAAATCTATCCAAGACTCCACCTCTTAGCCAATCATGTATGCTTAGATTCAACTAAAATTTGAAAAATTAGATTAGATTTGAAAACAATATAAAACAAATTACAAAATTAGTGATTTCATTAATGATATTTAGGTAATCGTCTTCGTGATAGCGAATAAGCGAGTTTCATTACTCAAAATTATTTTGCAAATAATATCATAGAAAAACACTTATTTTATCAAAAAAAAATGAAAAACGTTTGGTGTTTTGTGAGTGTTACACCAAAATATGGCGTGATACTGATTACAAAATGTTAGAGATATAGTCAACGATACCATCTTTATGACATATATTCTCTTGCTCTGTTTTAGGAATGTTTTGTATTTAGTTTACTCTAGAACCTTTCCTCTCTTGTATAAATAACTGCATGTATCATCTCTCTGCAAATATATCGAATCACCTTTATTCAACATGGTATCAGATCAAACGATACCCTAAATTTTTTTCTCCTTCTCTCTTGTGCTCTATTTGCCGCCGCCTCTGTTCTTCTCTTCTCTTCTTTCTTTTATAAACACATATCTCTCTTCTCCTCTACCTCTGCTCTTTCTCTGTCATCATGGCTGCAACTGCAAATGTCATTGTTTGACCAGGCACATGCACTCCTCAATATCAATATGGTGAATATCACCAAACTCAACTCTACCAATTACCTCACATGGAGCGTCCAAGTTCATGCCCTCTTGGATGGCTATGATCTTGATGGACATCTCGATGGCTCCACTCTCTCACCTTCTCAAACAATCACAATCGCAGGCACCTCAACGCCGAATCCTGCATACACAAAGTGGAAGAGACAAGACAAACTGATTTTCAGTGCACTCCTTGGTACACTTACACCATCGATCCAAACCGTAGTCACCAAATCAACCTTGTTCAAAGAGATGTGGAAGACCATTGCTGCCACATATGCCAAACCTAGTCGAGGACACATTCAACAGCTCAAACATCAACTCAGGCAACATACAAAAGGAGATAAATCGATTGATGAGTACATTCAGGGGTTAATGACACGATTTGATCAACTTGCACTTCTTGGGAAACCAGTTGAGCATGAAGATCAAATTGAGTACATCCTTGAAGGCCTCCCTGAAGATTATAAGCCAGTAGAGGAATAAAGTGAAGGTCGCGATCTCTCTCCGACGATCACAAAGGTACATGAAAAACTTCTTACAAAGGAAGCCAAGTTGTTGTCACATGTTCCTGTTGTGTCTGCTGTTACACCTGTCACAGCCAATATCGCTGCTACATCCTCTCGTCCAGGTGGCAACCGGAATCAATCTCATCAACAACAACACTGGCAACCTAACAACCATTACCACAACCAGCAGCCTCGACCAGACAATCACAATGGCAGGGGCTATCAAGGCAAGTGTCAGCTCTGTGGAGTATTTGGTCACAATGCCAAAAGATGTACCCAACTCCCGCAACCTCGCTACGCTCCAGCAAACAGTTTCCTTCCAACACCATCTCGTCCCTGGCAACCTAGAGAAAATGTGGCTATTTACCCTCAGCATCCGACAAATACGTGGCTGATGGATAGTGGAGCTACTCACCACACCACATGACAAGTGACATGCACAATCTGTCACACAATCAGCTATACAATAGGAATGATGCGGTTCTAATTGGTGATGGTTCAGGCCTTTCCATCACACACAATGGTTCCCTTTCACTACCTTCTCATTCTAGACCTCTAAATTTCAATAGTGTTCTCTATATTCCTCATATTCACAAAAATCTCATTTCTGTATATCGTTTGTGCAACTCTAATCAGGTTTCGGTTGAATTCTTTCCTGCTCACTTTCAGGTGAAGGATCTGACCTCGGGAATCCCATTGATACAAGGGCATACCAAGGATGAGCTGTATGAGTGGCCAGTCTCACCTTCTACTATCACTTCCTTTTTTGCTTCTACCAGTCCGAAGCTATCTACCAATGACTGGCATCACCGTCTCAGACATCCCTCTACTACTATTCTTCAAAACATTATTTCGAAATTTTCTTTACCTTGCACTAAATCTGTAACTCAAACTTCTCTTTGCTCAGATTGTGCTATTAATAAATCTCATAAGCTGCCTTTTTCGCAAACTACTATTATCTCCTCTCGTCCGTGGGAATATATTTTTATAGATGTGTGGAGCTCTCCTATGCTCTCTGTTGACAACTACAAGTACTATCTAGTACTAGTTGATCATTACTCAAGATATACCTAAATTTACCCTCTGAAATTGAAGTCGCAGGTTAAAGAGACGTTCACAACTTTCAAAGCATTGGTGGAGAATCGGCTCAACACACGCATTGGCACCTTATACTCGGATAACGGAGGCGAGTTCGTGGCTCTCCGGTCCTTTCTTGCCAGCTCCGTCATCTCTCACCTCACCTCACCACCACACAATCCGGAGACCAATGGCGTTTCCGAACAAAAGCACCGTCATATTGTCGAAACAAGACTTACCCTACTCTCTCATGCCTTTATTCCAGAAACTTATTGGTCCTATGTGTTTACCACTGCAGTTTACATGATAAATCGACAGCCAACTCAAGTGCTCAATATGGATTCACTATTTCAACGACTCTTTGGTGTTGCTCCCAACTATTCCAAATTACGCACCTTCGGTTGTCTCCGCTTCCCATGGTTACGCCCTTACACCAATCACAAACTTGAAGATCGCTCCACACCATGCGTCTTCATTGGTTACTCTTAGACACAAAGTGCCGATTTGTGTCTTCAACCTGCCACAGGCCGAATCTACATCTCACGCATGTTCATTTTTATGAGGCAGTCTTCCCCTTTCAGAAAAAGACTCTCACGCCGTCTGCAAATCCTCATCTTCGCTCCGAAAACTCATCTTCTCCTCCCGTTTCCACCATCTTACTTCCATCGACGAGACCTCCTCCTGCCTCCGCAATCGCTCCGTCACCAGCACCTGGTTTCACAGATCCTCACCACATAGTTCCGTCGGCTCTCCTGCTACCAGATTCCGACTCCGGTGCCCACACCGTCGAATGCTCAACACCCCCCGATTCAATCGGGTCTTCCTTGCCGTCCACACAAAGTCACCATCTCGCACATAAAGCCCACAACGCTGAGGCCCAATCCTCTTCTACACTCAGCCCATACACTCAGCCCAGAAACACAACAAGCCCACTCTTCTTCTTCTACGGCCCATACTGAAAGCCCATCTTCATCACAACTGTCTTCTCCGTCGTCGTTATCTGCGATGGATCCCGACGCTTCACCTCCACATATTCAACCACCACCATCAAATCCCCAACCGACGAATCCTCAACCGACAATTCCGCCACCGGAAACCACCACCAAATGACCACTCGCCGGAAAAATCACATCTCCAAGCCAAATCCAAAATATAACTACTCTGCCCTCTTAGCGACCTCCTTCCCAACTGAGCCAAGGACCCTCAACCAAGCACCCAAGGACCGGCGATGGAGAGGCGCCATGTCCACTGAAATTGATGCATTTGCTGTTAATCGTACCTTTAATTTAGTACCTCTGAACCTCAATTTAATGTCGTTGGATGTCGTTGGGTATACACTAATAATATTTTCTCCACATATGCTCATAACAAATGTAAGGCGCGGCTCGTTGCCAAAGGATACAACCAGGAGCATGGATCTGACTATATCGGCACCTTCAGTCCAGTGGTCAAAGGCACGACCATTCACACTGTTCTTGACATCACCGTCTCCCGCTCATGGCCTCTCTTACAACTCGACGTCAACAATGCCTTTCTCCAAGGCACTTTAACGGAGGAAGTTTATATGGACCAGCCTCCAGGGTTTGTCGATGCTGATCACCCTGATTATGTGTGTCGCCTCAACAAAGCGGTTTACGGATTGAAACAAGCACCCCGCGCCTGGTACACCGAACTCAGCACTTTTCTTGTTAGTCTCGGATTCACCAACTCTTTAGTAGATACATCTATGTTTGTCTTGAAGACTGGCGTTGACTTTATCTATCTCTTAGTCTATGTGGATGACATCCTCATCACTGGAAGCAGCACACCAGGGATCAATCGAGTGCTTCAACAGATAGCTGAGAGGTTCTAAGTCAAAGACCCTGAAGATTTACACTATTTCCTTGGTCTTGAAGCTCACCGTACCTCCGCTGGTCTCCATCTCTCTCAATGAAAGTATGTCCTAGACCTGCTACACCGCTACCCATGGCGTCTTCACCTAAATTGACTCTCACGTCGGGCAAGCCATTAGCTGATCCTAAAGAGGATCACCAACTGGTGGGAAGTCTCCAATACCTGCAATTCACACGTTTAGACATCGCCTTTGCAGTCAACAAACTATCTCAGTTCATGCATTGTCCCACTGATCTTCATCACCAAGCAGCCAAACAGGTCCTCCGCTACTTGGCCGGCACACCAACTCATGGTATTTACTTCTCCTCCTCCAACAGCCTTACTCTTCATGCCTATTCTGATGCTTATTGGGTTGGTGATACTCTTGATTATGCATCCACCAATGCATACATTTTTTACCTTGGGAATCACCCTATCTCTTGGACCGCAAAGAAACTAAAGGGTGTTGCTCGTTCTTCTATGGAGGCTGAATATCGAGCAGTAGCTAACACAGTTGCTGATATTCAATGGATCTGTAACATTCTCACAGAACTCGGCGTTCTTCTTCCCTCCACTCCAATTGTCTTCTGTGACAATGTGGGAGTTATATTCTTATGTGAAAATCCGGTGTTTCATTCTCGGATGAAGCATATAGCTCTTGACTATCATTTTGTTCATGGGTATATTCAAGATGGTGCCTTACGTGTTGCTCACGTTAACACAACAGATCAACTTGATGATGCTCTCACCAAACCGCTCCCTCGCGCTCAATTTCTTGAACTATGAAACAAGATTGGAGTGCATCAATCCCCTCTATCTTGAGGGGGCGTGTTAGAAATATAGTCAACAATACCATTTTTATGATATATATTCTCTTGCTCTGTTTTAGGAATGTTCTGTATTTAGGTTTCTAGAACCTTCCCTCTCTCTTGTATACTTCTTCTGTCATATATTATAAGCAGTTTAGATAAATGTATCTGCAAAAAAAATGAATGTATTTGAATGCGATTGAATCCAAATACATTCACCTTTTTGCAGATATATTTTCTCAAGCTGCTTATAATATAAGACAGAGGGAGTAAATAACTGCATGTATCATCTCTACAAATATATTGAATCATCTTTATTCAACACAAAATACCAAAACCTTAAATATGGTGTGTAGTTTGCTATGTGATTGGAGATAATCCCACACCAAATTTATCGTTTGGGTTTGAGAAGCACTAACAGTTTAACAGTGTTTAGATTATTAGAAGTAACAATCTGGTTGTTGCATAAGATGAACGGGAACCAAAGCCATTAGCGAAATTTGGTTACCAAGATAAATTTCTCTTTTAAATAATTTAATGTATCAATTCAGACAAAAGGTCAAAAAACTTGATTCAAAATATCAGGGGCCAAAAGGAAAAGAAAGCAATGGGGTCTCTCAGTCAATAAATGGCTTTACAGATTAGACCGAGTCAAAGCGTGTCAGAGGCCAATCTCTCATTTCAAGCAGATAAATAATCTTATACTTTTACCTTTTTTTTTTTTTTTTTTTTTTGTCACGAATCTTATACTTTTACCAATACCTCTAATTCTATGAAAACAAAACACTGACTAATGAGGATTAGGTTTTACCTGATTTTTGCAGTAATTTAATTAATTTGCATCTACGTTGTCCAAAAATCACAACTTTATGTTAAAGCGTAAAACCTTTGGTCAAACATTCTTTTGCAACTTCGAGAGTCCGGGGACCATCGAATTTGTCTTTATGACAACATGTGTTTTCAATTGAAAACAAACAAATGATACTGTAAATTTGCATTCCTCGCTCCATTCATATCTACGAAGCAAGTAGCTGTCAATCTCAAGAAGAGAGAACCCTTGGCCTTTTGCCTTTGCTCATCCTCACGGCTGGTAAAGTAATTTCTCCTTCTGTTAAAGGCAGCTGTGTCGCTGTCCACTTCCGTTTCTCATTTATTGATTTTTCTTGGTTTTTCCCTAAAGTTCTCAAATTTCTCAGTGAAACTTCCTTTTCAGTTAGTACCATTCTTCGCTGCTTTACTCATTCTTTAGGTTTTCATTTTTCATTTGTTTTCTTATTTAGTTTGGTATACTTGAGCTTTTGTTCTAATCCACAAAGTTTATGCCTTTTGTTTCTCAAAAAACCTCACATCGGTTTGTAGTTTCTTGCAGAGTCTTCTGTGTTTCTTGAACTTCTGATTGCCCTCTGCATACTCAACAGGTAGATTGGCGGCATTTGATTCTCTCTGAGTTGCTTGAAAATCTCTATTGTCAACAGATCAAGTGTGAATCTTTGAATTTCCTTTCCAGAACTTTGTTTTGCATATCAATAAGCTAAAACCAAGTAACTCCCAACCTGGTGATTTTCCCTATAAATTTGGGCCTTTGCGTGGTTTTTGCTTCTGTGTATTGATGTTGGACTACTCGTGTTTCCTTCTCTTTTTCTCGGTTTCTTGGTTGTCACTTGTCATATTCAATTGATTGTCTAATAAAAGACAGTTGCTTCATGTGTGTTACTTATTCATGCGGAGTGTGTAAACTTGCTTGTGTGTTTGTGTTTGTAAGATCTGAAATGGGCGAGCCAATAGGATCGCTCCAGGTGACAGTAATTCGAGGAAAGAAACTGGTGATCCGAGACTTCAAGTCAAGTGATCCTTACGTGATACTCAAATTGGGAAATGAGGTAAGTTTAGTAATAACCTGAAACACTGCTCGCTGTCTTGTTTAATGAGTTTTGAGGATGCTGACATTAGTCGATGTGATTTTTTTAATGTCTTGAAAACCAGTCAGCAAAGACCAAAGTGATAAACAATTGCCTGAATCCTGAGTGGGATGAGGAACTGAGCTTTACACTGAAAGATCCTGCAGCAGTTCTCCAATTGGTTTGCTTTTATATATAATCTTCCTTTTTGTGACCATCATGACATGATTCATGCTGAGTGCTGAGATGGTTTTGATGGATGATGGGGTTGCAGGAAGTGTTTGATAAAGATAGGTTCAAGTCAGATGACAAGATGGGCCATGCCTCTCTCAGCCTTCAACCGCTCATTTCAGTCGCCAGACTGAGGCACATAGTCCGCGTGTCCTCTGGTGAGACAACGCTTAGGAAAGTGCTGCCAGATTCTGATAACTGCTTATCTCGGGAGAGCACAATCAGTTGCATAGACGGAGAGGTTGTGCAGAGCGTGTGGCTCAAGTTGTGCGCTGTTGAATCTGGCGAGGTTGAGTTGAAGATCAAGTTGATTGATCCTCCTGGAAACAACAAGTAGTAGCATTAGGGCTTTTTTTATGAATGAGCACATGTGCGCTATGTAATTGTAGTTTGTAGCAAGCACCATTGTATGGTATTTCTTTCCAAATGAATGTGAAAAACGAGGCTTTTAAGGCTTTAAAGCTTTTGGCTTTGTGCCTTTGAATCTTATCACCATGTTTAGAAATCTGTTGCCTTAATTGCTGCCTGATTTTGTCCCTTTTTTGCAAGTTTTTACTAGGAAGGTACATAAATGTTAGTTTTTTTCCTGTAATTTCCATCAAAACAATGTTCAGGGGAACATTATCATTTGTTTGTTTTCAATGTTCAGGGAACATTGTTTTGATGGAAATTACAGGAAAAAACTAACATTTATGTACCTTCCAAGTAAAAACTTGCAAAAAAGGGACAAAATCAGGCAGCAATCAAATCATACATACCAAAGGTGGCGATGGTGATAAAACCGACGTACACTATCTTACGTGCACACTTGTTTTCTATCTCTTTCTCTCTTTTCTCTCTCTTACGTTTCCTCGTAATCTTAACACATAAGCCTGATCGTCCTTATCTGCCACCAAAACACCTTATAGGTGCTGCGTTTTTCACCCGGAACCAAAGTTGTCATCTTTATATTGCAGTTCTCTTGATTCTCATCTCTGGTTTTCTTTTAGGCTCCGCATAATATCTTAGGTTGGCTTCCATGGCTTCCTCTGTCTCTGATGTTTCTATACAGCCTCGAGGTTCTTTCTTCTTTTTATCTTCTTTACGAATCCCTCCAGCCCCAGTTTCTGTTTCTTGCTTTAGGATTTTGGCTACTTGTAATTGAATTTTCCGGGTGGCGCAGATGTTTGTGTTGTGGGAGTGGCGAGAACGCCTATGGGAGGCTTTCTTGGCTCCCTCTCTTCTTTGACTGCCACAAGACTTGGTTCCATAGCCATTGAAGGTAGTATTATTATTTAATCTCTCTTTGATTAAGCCAAGTTTACATTCTCTTACTGCTTCACACTCCACTCACAGCTGCACTTAAAAGAGCAAATGTTGATCCTGCTCTTGTGGAAGAGGTCTTCTTTGGAAACGTCTTAACTGCAAATCTCGGGCAAGCACCAGCAAGACAGGCCGCACTTGGTGCTGGGATTCCTTATTCAGTGATCTGCACTACTGTCAACAAAGTCTGTGCTGCAGGAATGAAATGTATGTAACCTTTTTATTATCATAACTCCAAAACATCACTTGAGCTTTACACATGAATAATACTTTTGCTTCACCTGTGTTACCTCAGCTGTTATGCTAGCGGCTCAAAGTATCCAGCTTGGAGTGAATGATGTTGTTGTGGCTGGTGGAATGGAGAGCATGTCAAACGTACCTAAGTACCTCCCGGACGCAAGGTGCTTTTTTTTTTTAGTTTCCTTACTTCAAACTTGTGAAAAACAAACCCCAATAGAGGCAGTTTCGCTCTGTTTCCTCATTTTTCTTTCCTCTGATTTCTGTGAGCAGAAGAGGTTCACGATTAGGCAATGATACTATTGTTGACGGTATGACGAAAGATGGACTTTGGGATGTGTACAATGACTTTGGAATGGGAGTTTGTGGAGAGCTATGCGCTGACCAGTACCGTATTACAAGAGAGGAACAGGTCACTCATCTTCAACCTTGATCTGTCTTTTCAGTTTCTTCCCTAACTGATAAAACTCTTTCTTCTTTTTTGTAGGATGCTTATGCTATCCAGAGCTTTGAGCGTGGCATTGCTGCACAAAACGCTCGGTTGTTCGCTTGGGAGATTGTTCCGGTACACCTCTTCTTTCTCAAGAATTCACTTTATGGCCACTGTGATGGAATATTGTTAATACTCTCTCATGTTGATAGGTCCAAGTTCCTACTGGAAGAGGGAGGCCTTCAGTAGTTGTTGACAAAGATGAAGGACTTGGGAAGGTAAAAAAATGGTTTAGGAACCGCTGCTTTGCTTAGAATAGCAGCCTTGATTGACTTAAACTCTGTTTGGCATGAACCAGTTTGATGCTGCAAAGTTAAAGAAGCTTAGACCAAACTTCAAGGAGGATGGTGGAACAGTCACTGCTGGAAATGCATCAAGTATAAGGTCCTCTTTGCTTTCTTGTGTTTTTCCTCTACAAGGATTTTGTGTTGTTTGCTTCCAACAGCCACTTACTGTATATGGCTATTCTTTACAGTGATGGTGCGGCAGCGTTAGTGCTGGTGAGTGGAGAGAAGGCTCTGGAGCTTGGACTGCATGTCATTGCTAAGATTAGAGGATACGCTGATGCTGCTCAGGCACCTGAGTTGTTCACAACCACGCCGGCTCTTGCTATTCCTAAAGCTATAAAGCGTGCTGGTTTAGATGCATCACAAGTTGATTACTATGAGATAAACGAAGCCTTCTCTGTAATCTCTCTTACTGAGCCCTCAGTGTTATAATCTTGTTGGTTAAAAATATTGACTGTTTTGACTTGTTTCCCCCACTACAGGTTGTAGCTCTGGCCAACCAGAAACTGCTGGGATTAGATCCTGTGAGTCCTGAAACAAGTAGAGTTATGGATGGTACAGTCTTTTTCTGTAAGTGTCTCTGATAATGAATGTTAAACAGGAACGACTGAATGTGCATGGAGGAGCTGTTTCACTAGGACATCCAATAGGATGCAGTGGTGCTCGTATCTTGGTCACTTTATTGGGGGTAAGTCATAAGAGCAGGTAACAATGGTCTTATACTGAATCCACCCTGAAAACTTGTGGTTGAATCCATTCTGATTTCAGGTGTTGAGAGCAAAGAAGGGAAAATACGGAGTGGCGTCAATATGCAACGGAGGAGGAGGAGCATCGACCGTTGTCCTCGAGTTCATGTAAGCTCCCTCTTTAACTCTGGTAAGTATATCCTTAAGCTACTAATGCTTCCCAACAGAATACTTTTATTAATATCAACTTCTTGATTTGTTTCCAGGTCGGAGAAGACAATCGGATACTCGGCACTCTGAAGCCAAAATATTTTGTTTTAGAACACAAAGCTTGGTTTAACTTTGTGTTTAGTTGAGAGATGCAATAAAAAGTGTGTTAGAAATGAAAACTTATATTGACACACTCTCAAGTGAGTTTTACCTTTCCCAACAACTCTGATGTGTAAGATAAGTCTAACTAACAAGTGAGATCAAAGACCAGCATTCACCCAGAAGCCCAGATGCTTAGAGAACTGAGAGGTTAATTTCTGTTTTACTTATTCCGAAACCACAAACAAATTTGCCACAAATGTCGTCTATGCAGAAGATCAGATAACACTATACGTAAAGCCAAGAATACATTCAAGTTGAAGATTTATTCTCTTTTCTTCGTTTTACATTTGCATGGCTAAGGGGAGAGAACAAAGCTCAGTACTCACTTACTCATTTGAAATTTTTAACCTCACCCGTAAAATATATGTTAATTGTGGAAGGCACTGTAAAGGAAGGATAAGAAGCTCATCATCTTCAAGTGTCTGGTTTCATGGACTTGCTTTTCTGTCATCAAATGGGCTTGGGAAGACCGTTGCATTTCTCGAACTTGTGCAGTTCTGATTCTATGGTTTTGGCTATCTCAGCACGCTCAGGATCAGGCTCAGGAAAACCCACGTGGAAAGATCCTTGCTTTGCGGGCTCTGCTCGTCCTTTGGTTTCAGAATGGTGCTTCACATAGTTGTATAGCTGTTGATGGAAGAGATGGTCAACAGAAAAACAATCTAAACTCTGAATGTGATTAGATGACCCAGAGCTTCCCCTTCTACAGAAATGTGGGAGTGATGTGAAGTCCATAATCTACAAGAACACCACAAGATTCAGAAAAAAAAAAAAACACTTTGCATTTCACAGTAAGCGACCATAACAAGGCAAATGCATATACCTTGAGTAATTCATCCTTCCCGCAACCGGATAACACATGAACTTTTTGCCTTGTCCTCTCTTGTAGTAGAGGTTTTACAACCTAATAAGAGGAAGAGGAATCCAATGTTTGAGGAAGAAGTATGCATGGAGCTAAGCAGCGAGTACAAACAAAAGATTACCTTCCAACAAGCGGAGAATATATAAGGAGCGTTCACAACATAGTATGTGTTTGTCTTCTCTGGATAGTTGAGATCATCGATGGTCGATATAATAGTCACTAACTGCATCAAACACAAAGTATGAAAATGTAATCAACAACTTTGTCCGCAGACAATGGACTGTATATATCATTACCTTAATTTGGCTCAGTGCTGAAAGTTTCAACCCTGTCATGTCTAGAACCTTGACGCAGGTGGTGATGGGCCGCCCATTCTTCTTAGACATTGAAGGCTGTAACAGCGTGTTTAAATCATTACAGCAAGAAAGAAACAAGGAAGAAGAAGAAAAGTGTAGCCATGTACCATGTACTCACCAGTAATACACGGTCTCTGTATTCATTGATTTGGATGTGGGATTGAACATAGTAGTGAACCTGTATGTGGAAGAAGCACATTCATTTTTTGTTTATCATTGTAAGACTTGCAAAAACTAGGACAAAACAAGGAAAGCATCTGTCTTACGGAAGCTTTGTCGAATGTGCTGAGACCAACGCCAATAGCAAAGACAGGCAAGCCCTAAGCAACAAGGTAAAAGCAATTCAAGAAAGAGATATGTTTTTTGATGAACAAAAGCAATGAGGAGTCAAGGGGTTACCTCTTTCGTGTAGCCTGACATTCCTATGAGCTGAGAGTCCCGTATGTCCCTGTACAACTCACTAGGGACAATTGGTTTCTGCACAAAACCAAAAACACATGATCATCTAATGTCACTAAAGCCATGACAGACCAAGGAAATTAGAAAGGAAACAACTTACGGATAAGATACTGTCAATTTCATTATCCACCCTCCAACGCAAACATTCCATCAGCTGAACAAAAACAAATCTGAGAAATCAGACAGACTGTGGAGTGTGGACTCACTCAAGCCAGATTAATCAAGTGCTTGGGAGAGAGACATACCATTGTATGAGCTTTGCTTACGTTCCAGTCTCTTGCTTTCAAGAAACGACTCAAATTCTCCCTCAGGTGTCCCTGGTGAACTCTCTGCAGATTCACAACAAATGAGAGCATGAAACCAACATCGCTCAAGCTCTTAGACATGGCAGGAATCAATTTTTAACAACTATCACAGAGAAACCAGTCATGGATTCAGACTCAGATCAACTATGTGTCAACATGAGTCGAAATTTGAGGGTAATTTTTAATGCATCTGTGATCTGCTTTCTCCAAATCAGTTGAATGGGATTTGACCAATTTCCAAGAACATACCTCAAATGTTTGCTTCAATGGCTCCTCAACTGGCAAGAATTTGACCCAATTCAGTAAATTGCTAATTAGAAAAATCCAAAGTAAACAGAGGAAAAGGTCAGACCTTGATCTACCAGCTCCTGGAATTCATCAATGGCTTCTTCTGAAACGATCCCCATTGATTTTCGCTTACTTCCTCTGCTACAAAACAGAATTGCCCAGAAGAAAGAAAAAAGGTAAGATCTCCAAGATCGACTTTTTCCCCCTTCTTTTGTCACTTTGCACCCAACTTATGAGTCCATCATTAAAGGTCAAAGAGGTAGTAGGAGAGAGACAGAAACTCCCAACAGAAATATACACATACACTTTAAAAACCAAACGTATTAACTCGTTTTTAAGAGCAGAACTACTTTGATAATGATTGGTCGTAATCGTAATCTTCAATTTTCCTTTAAGTCTAACGAAATTACAAAGCAGCTTCAAATTGCTTCTGCGTGTGATATGTTGAATATCAATCAATCCAACTCCCAAGTCCGAGTCTCTTGGTCAATGTCAATTGCACAAGGTTAAAGTCTGAATTTTTCTCAATGGATGTGTAAAAATCAACCCAACGAGAAGAAAAAAAGGGAAGACTCAAACTTTGAAATAATAAGATGAAATTCCGATTAGTATGAACTCGTAGCGGATTTGGTGAGGCTTGTCTTTTATTGGGAAAAGAAAGATGAAAAGATGGATAATGGTATTCAAAGTTTCTCTCTTTTTTTTACCTTCTTTTTGGGTCAACTATTCAAAGTTGTCTCTTTTGGAAGAGTTATTTACACTCAAAGGCATTTTTGAATTATTTTTTACATCAAAACACTTTGTGCTCTAAGGGACTTTGGAGTGTTTTAATGACCAAATAATCTTTTCCTAAAATCTGACTTCTCTTTTATTTTTACCCAACATCCACAGTTTCACCTTTCTAAAATCTGAGTTCTCTTTCCTTTCACCCAACATCCATGTTTCACCGTTGTTCATCACCGCCCCCGTTTTTCCTTTCTAAACTGCCGTTTAATTGCAAGACGCCGCCGTTCAATTCAGTTTCATTTTTTCTGGGTTTCTTTTTTAGAGTGAGAAGAAAATGAATAAAGCAGATTTCAGATTCGCTGAAGTTCGGGGTCGATGAATCTGTGTTCATTCACGATCATATCCACATCTAGATGTCCATGCAGTCGTGTCCACTTGTGATCTAGTTTTCGTAGCTTTCTCTTAAATTGTTTGTTTTGGAGATTATTATATGTGGACAAAGAAACCAAACTCCATACTAATTGTTGGATAAGTAAGCATGGACAAACAAATATTTTGTATCCAGAAACACTATAGATATACAAAGTGCACAAAGAACTCTTCAAAACTGTCTACGAATATGTTTGTATTAAAAGATAACTTGTATAATATATTTGATAAATGGATATCTATCCATGTGGATGCAGTTTCATGAACGACGGTAGCATGAACATATACATTTATTAAAGACTAGGCGATAATTTGATAAACACTCATTTAGTTGTTAATTATCTTTGTGTTCACAAAATTATGTACACGGAAACATGTCCACTCACACATCTCATTCAAACTCCAAAAATTTAATTATCCAAACATCCGATTATCTTGATCATGCAGTTGTGTCCGATATGTTGAGTTTCGGATAGACTGAGAACAAATTCAGAACCAGATTTACATATTGATATGAACATAGGTGTATATATCCACATGGATACGAAGTATGGACACATGCATATGGATACAGTTCTATGGAACAATGTAGGGAGAAATATTCACCCAGTTGTGGATAATCTTTGTGTTCACAACATCATGTACACGGAAACATGTTCACACACATCTCATTCAAACTCCAAAATTTAATTATCCAAACACCCGATTATCTTGATCATGCAGTCGTGTCCACGTGTATGTTGAGTTTTGGATAGACTGAGAACCAATTTCAGAACCATATTTACACATTGATATGAACATAGGTGTTATATATCCATATGGATACGAAGTATGGACACAAGAATATGGATATGGTTCTACGCAATAGCCTAGGCGATAAACAATAGCTCAACAAACACTCACTCAGTTGTTAATTATCTTTGTGTTCACAAAATCATGTACACGGAAACATGTTCACACACACATATTATTTAATTTCCAAAAATTTAATTATCTAAACAAAGATGTTCAGATGGGCGTATGTATACACGACTGCGTGGACATGTAGATGTGGACAAGATCGCGAGTTAACCCAGATTCATCTTCTCCAAACTTCAACGAAACTTCTCCAAACTGAAATTTTTCCAGATCCCATAGCCAACATAATTTTTTCCGACGAAATCTTCCAAATTGATTATCGAAACAGAATTCGACGATGAAATCTCATAGTGTACTTGTTTTCAGTTATGAAGACAAATCTTTTAGATCCAATAATCGTTCTTGAATTACTCCGGCGAGTTATTCCGGCGAATTCGTCGGCTGCAAATCTCAGATTCACAACCGTTCTTCTGTTATTCCGGCGAATTCATCGGTGTAAAAAACAGAAAGTTACTGCAGTGCACATGGTAAAAGAAAATCTGTAGATGTAATTACAAAAATAAAGTAAGGGCATATCTGAATTTTTGCTATCCAGTTTTTTGTGGAAAGTCACCTAGTTGCTATAAGTGCCTTTGAGTGATATTTATAAGTGTCAAAGTGCCTATAGGTGTAATTATCTCCTTTTGGAAACGTTTTAATTATTTTCTAAGTGGTTAATTACTATATAAAAATAGCAAATTTCTGGCGTATTACAAGGTTTAGGGGCCGGAGATATAGTATGAATGGATTGCTTTATGGGTTTATTCAAAGGTCAATTTCTTTGTATGGCAAAACATTTCTATCACACACAAAAAAAAGTGTTTCTTATGATTTGCAATTTAAAAGCCAAGGATAAAGATACAACAACTTTGGTCTTGGCTTTATGCATTGCTTTTTCCCATCAATCTCTCGCTACTTGGACAGACCAAAACAAATTGGGCCTAAACTAAGATCAGTACAAAATTAGCTAAACTTTCTCCCAAAACCTAAAATATGCCAGCTTTAATCTTTGGGGTATCTTCTAAGGGCTGAAACCTTGCAAGCCTAACACTAAACATGGAAGGGTTCTTGAATGTCAGGGAGAAAAGTAGCTGCTGATGTATATAAGGTTTGTTGCAATTCCTAAGAAAGTTATGTGTTTTGACTTTCTATGATTAAAATACAAAGATTCCTGCTTTGGATTCGGATATTCGACCTTGTACACATATGACATATGCATCTTTGATTGTTTATGGTTAAACAGTTGCCAATAAACAACGAGCAACCCACGTTGACCCATTTAGAGTTTCAATTTCTTGACCAAGAAAAACTAAAAAAAATTTGGATGGTACAAACTCAAGTAAAGAAATGTTTTTTTCAAACTCTTATTTTATTTCTGTACGGTGATAAACTAATAACCTTGTTCTCTTTGTGATCAAATTTGTTGTTCTTTAGAGAATTTATTGAATTATAAAATGACACATACGTGGGTGGATAAACCTTGTATATACAATATGATGGAAATCGTCATGATATGTAAAGGTTAAATGTATTGAAAATTTCAGGCTTTTTCACAAAACTCACACGCAAAAAACACAAGAATCAAGTCATAGATTCCACAAACAAATGTAAAGTTTGCGTATATATTATAGGAAAGTAAAAAAGGTTTTGATGGGGCTAGAGGGAAAAAGAAGAGCCAAAAGGTCAACGAGAAGAAAATGCAACGGAGGAGCAATGAGATAGAAGAGGAAGGGGAAGAAGAAGATGGAAGTAGAGGGCTTGAGAACGTGCGAGAGAGCCAGCTTGAAGGGAGAAGCAGTGGAACAGTGTCGATGAACGGAGAGGACAACGTGTACGTTGGGGTTGGGAAAGGAGACTCAAGCATGGAGGCATTGCGTTGGGCTCTTGACAATACAATCACTTCTTCTTCTACTCTTCTCTTCCTCATCCATGTCTTCCCTGAGACTCGCTTCATTCCTTACCCTTGTCTGTATATATCCTTATCTTCCACTTACTTATCTTTGATTAAACCAATTTCGTGTCGGAACTTAACTGTATGTGTGTATATATGATCCGTGTAGTGGGGAGGCTAACGAGGGACAAAGCGAGTCAAGAACAAGTGGAAACCTTTATGTCTCAGGAAAGAGAGAAGAGAAGAACTCTGTTGCATAAGTTCCTTCAAGCCTGCTCTGCTTCTAAGGTCCCATCTCTCTCTATTGGTGATCTTTGGATAATTATGAGTGGATCAAGATTGTAAACTAACAGATGAGAGAGGAAGTGAGAAACAGGTTAAGGTGGAGACAATACTGGTTGAGAGTGACTCGGTGGCTAAGGCTTTACAAGACCTCATTACCATTCTTAACATTAAGAAGCTTGTTCTTGGGATCGACAAGTCTAATGCAAGGTATATTACATAAACACAAGATAAACCCCACAACTCTTGATCTGTTGTCAGATGACAAGACAGCGTCTCTGTCTCTATTTCTTGTAGGAAAGCAAATTCGATAAAAGGAAGCAGTGTTCCTCAACAGATAATGAGAAGCTCCGCAGCAGCCATGTGTGATGTTAGAGTCATATGCCAAGGAAACGAGATAAAGATGGAGGAGACAATGGTGGAGAGCAGCCCCTCCAAATCCCCAACAGTGCAGCGGCCAAAGAAAGATCAACCCATTGGCCCTTTTGGTTGCATTTGCTTTATCAGTAAGCCCAAAACTAACAGTTAATCGAATGAGAGACGAAGATAAAGAAGAACAGAGACAATACATTTGTTGTTATGTTCTCTTGTGTGTTGGGTAGAGTCAAAAGAAACTATGATTTAAAACTAATAAGGTTGCAAACGAGTTACAACATTTTATAAAACTACAGCAGCTTATGCAGAGAAAAAACAAACATACAAATTCATGGCAACATATATATAAATAGCGAAACAACACTTGATCATCTTTCACCACATGGTCTTTTAAGGAAGAATAGAGTACCAAACCATATGACTAACCTTAACGCTAGAAGAAATCAAATTCCAAATAGTTATCAGACCCTTTCTGAGCATTCAGAACCAAACCGGCTGCTGTCTTCTGGCTCAAAGGCGCCTCTGCAACACTCACAGGTCCACTCTCCAGCTCTACCGGCTTTGGGATTTCCGGTGGTGTCGCACACCGAATCAAAGCCCAGTTCACACCTTCAAAGAAAGGGTGCTGCTTAACCTCAGTGGCTCCTCTTTTGAACCCTAGCCGCTGCTGCGGCTCCTTCATGAGCAGGCCCCTGATGAGGTCTCTGGCTGCAAAACTCACCACAGGAGTTTCCGGGAAACGCAGAGGCTGACCCACCACATTGAACAGTGTCTGCCGGTTTCCCGAGCCCTTGAAAGGCGTTCTCCCAAAGAGAAGCTCGTACAGGAATATCCCAAAAGTCCACCAATCCACTGCACTCCCATGCCCTTCCCCTTTGATGATCTCAGGGGCCAAGTACTCATGCGTGCCCACAAATGACATGGACCGTGCATCGGTTGGCTCAGCTACCAGCTCTGGCAATGGCCTAACTTGATTAGCGGTGTCGTTCTTGGGTTTACGGTCCTTCTTAGACTTGCTTGAGAACAAACGTGGGGAGAAGCAAGTGGTGGGGACGGTGCAAGACGGTTGGATGCAGGAAGGCTCAATGCAAGCAGGCTGCACACAGTAAACGTTTTTGCGTAATGGATCCGACTCTATAGCAGCAGATTTCACGAGCGTCGGGCTGACAAGACAGCGGAGCGAGAGGTCAAAATCAGAGAGCATTATATGTCCGTCTTCTCGCACTAGAACGTTTTCAGGCTTAAGATCACGATACACAATCCCCAGCATGTGCAGGTATTCCAAAGCTAGCAATGACTCTGCTATGTAAAATCTGCCACACGTTGCAAACAAAATTCTTTGTCCGCTAAAATCAAAGAAAAAGCTAATCTTGACAGATAAAAGAAAGGATGACTCACTTTACTGCTTGCTCGGAAAAGTGCTTCCCCGGCTGGCGTTGCCTGAGAGTATGCAAGTCTCCTCCGGGACAGAACTCCATCACCAGGCAAGAGAATTTCTCAGTCTCAAAGTGAGTGTAGAGGGTGGGAAGAAACGGGTGATCCAAAGACTGGAGAATCTCTCTTTCCGTCTGAGCACGGAGAAGCTTCTTGCGACTCGCAAGAGATGTCTTGTCCATAACCTTCATAGCAAAGTAACACTTTGTCCCGCTCAGCTCAGAGAGATAAACACTCCCGATGTCTCCACATCCCAGCCTCTTGAGAAGCCTGAAATGGCTGAGACCCAAAACCCCATCCCGAACCCTAACAGCCTGGATCGCTTCCCATCTCAAGTCGTTGGCCTTGTGGGGTTTGTTGACAGTGCTACTAAAGCTGCTGCAACTACTCTCATCGCTCACGTCACTGCTTGTGCTTCCTCTGCAGATACTGCTCTTGCCACTCTCCATGAAATCGAGGCGGCCGCTTAGCTTGGCACTCCCACTTGTCTTGCCAAGACTGCTCGTGCCATCAGAGCTGGTTTTGACGCTGCCATAGCCTGATGTCTTCTTGTCCTGGTCCTTGCTGTCAATGGTCAGTGAATCTACATGCTCAAGAACGGTGGACAGGGAGCTGAAGTCGGGTTTAGTAACAGATGGATCACCAGATCGCTTCCTAAACGACTCCGGCAAGCGTTTACTCTCCGGAACTCCTAAAGCAGTCGGATTTTTTGTTACTGATCTGTGTAGCTGCAGCGGCTCGGCTTTGGCTGACTTAGTATGATTACTATTCGAAGATGAGCGCTTCTGAGCTTCCACTTCTGCTCCATGACCACTGGGTTTTCGAATGGAAGCCATCTGACACAAAATACCTATATCGAACTGGAAAGGCACATCTTTTTCTCTTCAAACCCTAATTGGATCATGAGAATCAGTTAGAAGAAGAACAATTTTTTTTCCAGCAAAAAGCTAATTTTGAATTAATAAAAAAAAATCAGATCCCAAATGGGAGATGCGTGGTTTCAGCTCAAAGACGATGAATTAAGAGCAAAGCTAAGAAATGAGACAAGAGAGATCTGGGAAACAAGGAAAGGCAGTAACTTTAGGAGGAACCCTAGAAAGAGAGAAGGGGAAGGAAGGTGATACCTTGGGTGTGGATTGACGAAGAGAAGATTCGAAGAAGAGAGAAAAAAGCAGTTGCTTGCTTGCTGCTGCTACGAAATTACAATTACATGCACTTGATCACTTCACCTTCACCTTTCAACCTTCGTCACTGTTTTGCTCATCTCGCCGGATACGCACGACAAGAACCCGGAGAGAGGGACCAGTCACAGTGATGACTCGAAAAATTAAAAAAGAAAAGCTAAATTACGAGATAATACCTTTCGCTTTTGTTTATTTTAACAAGGGGCTTTAATTACATCAGTTTCCAATATCCGTATTTGGATACAAAAGATAAAGTAAAGGGAGTGTGACCAAAATTAGAGAGAGAAAGAATTTAATGGCCGAAAGAAAGAAAAAGAAAGTTGAATGATCACATATATTTGTGTCGTCTACATAAATTGTTTAATTTTGTTTAATATTCAAACCATAAAAAGACAAACTTTTATGCAAAATGATGATAGATTATGTTTATATTTCACGATGCCAATTAGACCTGAACAAGGCATGCTAAAAGCAAAATGGGATTTGTACTATCTTCCCTCATTATGTTCCTCCTATACCCTTTGCAACTTGGTTTGTTGGTTACTTTGAGAAATGCAAATCATGTGAGTGAGACCATTGCTGCCCCTATTGCTACTCTTAGTTACTGGAACACAGCAGAAACAGCCAAAATAAGGATGAAGTTCATTTCCATTATCATTAGTTTAACTCTTTTTTTGCAGTAACGGGAATATTCGCTGACAGTCACATCACATGCCGTTTGGATTGGAACCTTTTCAAATCTCAAACTCCAGACTCAAGAGATCTGTGTTCCTCGATATGACCATTTACATTTTCTAGTATCGATATTCGATAGGCCTCACATGTTTTCTGGACCAACCAGACTAAAAAAGGCTACTCCCCAATAATAAATAAATAACGCTTAATGACATATGAAACCAGGCTGTGCTTTTGGAGGCAAGAGGCAGGGAGGGACCTTTAGACTTTTTTCCATGAAAACCTTATTTTCTTATTCAATCATTCAACCCTCCATCTACTTCAAAATCTTTATTAAGAAACATAACAAATTACATTCCACTCAAAGCTACCAGGCCATGTTTTCTGATGGATCACCAGATCGATTATTCACCACGAGTAAAAAAAAATCAAAAAAAATCATCCTGCCGGCCGTAGGCAATAACAGGACATAAAATTACTGTTCAGGGTAAATCAAGATTGTGATGCCCTTACTTACTAGGGGGAATCCATCAGTTTCGTGATGTCAGAGACTGAGCTTGTGTAGTAATCTGGCTCAATGTTGTTGCCCTTATCTAGTAGATTTGATTCACTTGTCACCCCTGTTTTCAAAAAAGAAAGAAAAAGAGTCAAGCCCAATCACTAAAACATTGTTCACACTGACTTGTATTGGCCTGGAAAGCTCAAAAGAGAATCAGGCAGTCAATAGTAATAACCTGAGAGGACGAGGAGAGTTTTGCAGCCAGCATTCTGACCAAACAAGATATCAGTATCTAGCCTATCACCCACCATGCACATCCTTGACGTCTCTGTCTGAAATCTGCAACGTAAGGAAATACACTTCTTTATAATATCTTGCACACTATGTAATGGGACACGTTGTGTGCTTTCATGTCCACTTACTTCTGCAGGAGAAAGTCCATCATGAAAGTAGATGGTTTCCCGACAACTATTGGTTCTCTATCAGTTGATCCACACATGGCAGAAACCATACAACCAGCACCTAGAATTACGTGAGAGTAAGAGTTTGATCATGTGACAAACAACCAATCTGCTATTTTGGGCACTGTAATGACAATACCGGGCCACTCTTGCGTGTCAGTCATATGTCCCACTGCATCACGGTTGGTCGCAATGAAAAGACATCCCGGATTCTCACGTACGCAGAGGGTCCCATACCTGCCATTTTCCGTCATTATGTTAGCCTACAACTCACAGAAACTCGATTTAGAGACAAGCAATAGTTATGCATCTTACTGAAGCTTATAGTAGTTTATGTTGGGGTCAAGTCCCACCACAACTGCTCCCACCTGGCATAGGACATCACGAAGAAACATACATGGATTAGAACCTCAGAGCAGAAGACAAAAATAAACGCATGATTCTGCAGAGAGGAGCATGCAAGTCTTTACGTTTTTATCATGTTCAAAGAGAGAGTTAGATTTCCATTCTGCCTTCTTTTCACTGTCTCCCTGCATGGAAGAAAATACTGTCTCAGATAAACAGAGGAATCCAAAAGTATACATTTTTGTGTCTAAACAGTAAATAGTCAGGCATGGTAAAAGCCTAGTATCATCTTGAGCAATGTAGCTAAAAAGTAAAAACATATCAATTCTTGAAGAAGTTGTGGGCTCTATAAAAGAAGACTACTTAGTACTTACAGGACCACCAAGACCTGTATAACCAGCAATCTGGAGCTCTTCAATCACGCCCTCTCCACCAATCACATAAATCTACAAAAGCAAGCACGAGAAGAAAACTGAGAAAGGGATCACGACCCAGATACCCAAGGGAATGTGTTAGTCGAAGTCTTACCTTCTTGTCCTTGGGGAAATTGTTGATTTTGAGGTACATAGCTGCCGCGAATGACGAAGATAAGATCTCTTCCTATCAAGCAATCCCAATTTTTTGTTTAACAGGAAATGCGAGAAGAACATAAGTCGGGTGAAATCGAAGTAGTACCTGAGTAACAGAAACGAGACCCAGAGATTTGAACTTTTCAGCGTATTGCCTCCTTGATTTCATCGAATTGTTGGTCACAAACACAACATTTTTACCCTGAAAAGCACACAATTCGAAAACATAATCAGAGAAGCAAAATGGAAGAGATTGAAAAGAATAGGAGGGAAGAAAAAAGAGAAAGCGCGCCTTAGAGCGGATTAGATCGAGAGCCTGAGAGACGCCATCGATGAGCGTATCACCCTTCCATATAACACCTGGATCATCATCATCAAAGCCACAGTCCAAGGCTAAGGATCACGATCAAAGAGATCTCGAATGAGAAGGGGAAACAAAAAAATTACCATCGCAATCAAAGAGGAAAGTGTCGACAGAGTCAAAGAGAGATTTGAAGTTGCCGGAGGAGAGAAGCTGAGGCGCCATTTGATTATCTTCTCAGGGAACTTTCCTTTCTTTCCCAGAATATTGGGAGAGACGATGATCAATGATTCTGTCGGAGCACAACTGTCACATCCTAGAAACGACACCGTTTTCAGTCCATTATCATTTGGGTGGGCTTCTCTCAGGCCCATTTGTGATGTTTCAAAATAAAACGTTTTTTATTTGTTGGAATTGCCTTGACAAGTGTACAAGTGGGACTGGGAGAGTAACTCCGAGTGACTTGGGAAGTGGATGGCAAAAGTTGTAAATAAGGAGAAAGTGGAAAGGGTGTTTTGGAGAAGAAAAGCGGAATGAGTGTGGGTTGTTGAATGAATCTGCGAATCGGAATAAAGGCTGTGCATTTGCATCTGAGGCGTGTGGTTGGTCTCTATCGTCGTATCCAAAGTACTGAGCTTTCTTTTTCCTCCTCCTCCTCCTCCTCCTCCTCTCATCATCACCTGTCAATGGCGGATCTCAAGTCAACATTTCTCAACGTTTACTCCATTCTCAAATCCGAACTCCTTCATGATCCTTCCTTCGAGTTCACCGATGAATCCCGTCTCTGGGTGGAACGGGTATCCTTTTCCTCCGATCCCCTCAGGATCTCAGATCCTATCCGATTTAATTCCTTTCTCGATTGCTGATTCTCTCTCTTTCTTTGCAGATGCTGGACTACAATGTACCTGGAGGTGAGACCTTTTTCTCACTTTCTCCCTCGCATTTCATCAATCCTAATCTCTTTTCTCCAATTGTGACACCTACTGGTTTCTCTTTTCCAGGGAAACTCAATCGGGGTCTCTCCGTCGTTGACAGCTTCAAACTTTTGAAGGAAGGCAAAGATTTGACTGAGGAGGAAGTTTTCCTCTCTTGTGCTCTCGGTTGGTGCATTGAATGGGTATGCAAATATTCCCACTTTTGAATCTTTAGATTTTTACACTCCTCTCTCTCTCTCTCTCTCTATTCATCATCTTTGCTTGCAGCTTCAAGCTTATTTCCTTGTGCTTGATGACATTATGGATAACTCTGTCACTCGCCGTGGCCAACCTTGCTGGTTCAGAGTTCCTCAGGTTTTTCTCGCACTATATTCTCTCCCACGCTGCTGAATTAGAGACCACTAGAGAGAGAGAGAGAGAGAGTCCTCTAAACTCTGAGACAAATGTTTGTTTCAGGTTGGTATGGTTGCCATCAACGACGGGATTCTACTTCGCAATCACATCCACAGGATTCTCAAAAAGCACTTCCGGGGAAAGCCTTGCTATGTCGACCTCGTTGATTTGTTTAATGAGGTAATCTGTTTTTCTACACTCTTTCCAGTTTCCAGAACCAAAGCAAATTTGGAAATATTTTCCTAGTCTATTCCTTTTGCTGTTTAGGTAGAATTGCAAACAGCTTGCGGCCAGATGATAGATCTGATCACCACCTTCGAAGGTGAAAAGGATTTGTCCAAGTATTCCTTGCCGATGTGAGTCAAGTGTGTTGGCGTTTCAAAATACTAGTAGATCGTCTCTTCCAATGGATGATGAAAGGAAAGACAGTACGTTTTCTGACTGATTGAAATGGTTTTCAACATGCAGCCACCGGCGTATTGTCCAGTACAAAACGGCTTACTACTCATTTTATCTCCCTGTAAGTATGGGATCTCTCTCTGCCTGCTCATGCTTAGGTTCACAGTAAAGAGCAATCATGTTATTTCCATCATTGCAACAATAGATAGGAAATAATATAATGAGCTGGCTGTGTGTTTACCTACACAGGTTGCTTGTGCGTTGGTGATGGCAGGTGAGGATTTGGAAAAGCATACTGATGTGAAGAATGTTCTTGTTGACATGGGAATCTACTTCCAAGTGCAGGTAGCTTACTATTCATGAAAGCTATTTGTGATAGGCTAATGTCAAGAAGTTGATATCCGTTAATTTTGGTGTAGGATGATTATCTGGATTGTTTTGCTGATCCCGAGACGCTTGGCAAGGTTTGCACTCCTGCTAACTCTTGGTTTTTCAAGCTGATCTGCATGTAGTAATGTGCTAACTTGAGGCAGCATATTGGGACGGTATTATAATGCAGATAGGAACAGATATAGAAGATTTCAAATGCTCCTGGTTGGTGGTGAAAGCATTGGAACGCTGCAACGAAGAACAAACTAAGATATTATATGTAAGAATCATATATTTTCTTTCAAAAATATATGTTTGAATTACGTTGTGTGGAATCTGAAAGAAGTTTTGTTCTGATATTATAGGCGAACTATGGTAAACCTGACCCATCAAACGTTGCTAAAGTGAAGGAGCTCTACAAAGAGCTTGATCTTGAGGTTTGATATTAGAGGAACCTCAGAGATATGATCTAATATACAACTAACATATGCTGTGCTCTGTTTGCTAATTGGATCTGGTTTGATTGTGTTAACATGATAGGGAGTGTTTAAGGAGTATGAGAGCAAAAGCTACGAGAAGCTGACGGGAGTGATTGAAGCTCACCAAAGTAAAGCAATCCAAGCAGTGCTAAAATCCTTCTTGGCTAAGATCTACCAGAGGCAGAAGTAGTCCAAGCCCTCGAAATTTTCTGTTATTATGTCTTTGATTCTTCCTCGCTTGTGATTTGTGTAATTCTGTTTCAACTGCTCCGATTTCAGGGGGAATAAACCTGCATCATTCTCATGCTATTATATTTGTTTCATCACTCTCTTCTTCTTTCCAGATACTTTATATAAATGAGTTTGAGATTCTTGTTGATGCTGTGACTCTACTATTTTTGCCCAACAGATGATCCTCGTTTCGCAATCCATGAATAAATTTGAAGATCCAATATTAGTCTGAAGACAATTGTAAATATTATCAGTGGAATCCCATGTTGAATGAGAATGTAGAGGTGTAGTAACAAATTAAGAAATTACGGGACATGTTTGGGAAAATACATTAACTGTAGGGACTGAATTTGCAAATTTATATTACCTGAGTAGATCTTTCGTCTTTGGGACAGGAGAAAGAGAAGCCCCCCTACTCTGAAGAATCAAGTGGTTTTGGGGGATTGAAGGAGGGAACAAAGTCTTGGTTTTGATTTCGAGTTGCAGAGAGCAATGTATGGAAGATCAGGGCTTGACAGGTTTAGGAAATCTCAAACTTCGGAACCCTTCTCAGTGACGGCAAATCCTCCAGCGAAGCCAGTGGTTCAACACTTATCTCCGGAGGCGGGGCAAACTCAGATTGGAGCGAGTCAGTCAAGTTGGCATCCGCCTGACTGGGCGATAGAGCCTCGCGCCGGTGTCTACTCTCTGGAGGTTGTGAAAGACGGCCAGATCCTTGATCGGATTCATCTAGATAGACGGAGACACATCTTCGGGAGGCAACATCAGACTTGTGATTTCGTGCTTGATCATCAGTCTGTTTCCCGCCAGCACGCCGCCGTCGTTCCCCACAAGAATGGCAGGTTTGTGATTGGCTTTTTCATCTACTTGGGTCTGCTCTTTTTGTATCTGAACATTGTAAAGAAGTCTTGTTTTTCTCGTGCAGCATCTTTGTGATTGATTTGGGATCAGCTCATGGTACGTTTGTTGCGAATGAGAGATTGACGAAAGATAGTCCTGTAGAGCTTGAAGTGGGGCAGTCCTTACGATTCGCTGCCTCCACAAGAATCTACGTTCTGAGGAAGAACAGTGAGGCTCTCTTCACTCGCCCTCCACCTCCAGACGAGATCAAGCTTCCTCCGCTTCCTGATGCTTCTGACGAGGAGGCTGTTGTTGCTTACAATACGTTGCTCAATCGATATGGTTTAAGCAATGGAGGAGAATCAGGTTGTGTGTTAGGTAAAAGGAAAGACAAGGATGGGTCAGAAGTGGGTGTGGGTAAGAGGATGAAGAAACTACGAGTGACCTTTAAAGATCAACTAGGAGGAGAGCTTGCTGAGGTTGTTGGGACATCAGATGGAGCAGACGTTGAAACAGAGCCTGGTCCCATTGGTGTCACAGAAGGTAGCCTTGTTGGGAAATATGAGTCGCTGGTGCAGGTGACTTTGATACCCAAAGGCAAAGAGAAGGAAGAGAAAGCTTTTACAGGAACAAGAGGTGTGACTGTGACAGATAGACTCCAGGAAGCAATGAATTTGGTTAAAGGGGGTCCAAAAGGAGGGATATATGATGATCTTTACGGTGGTGACTCGCTTACCAAGGCCGTTGGTAAGTCTTGGGCTTCTGCGAGTGAACCACCAGCTAAAGATAAAGACGAAAGTAAACGCAGAGGGGTTGATGAAGAAGATGATAACGACGATCTGTTTGGTGACTGACTGATTTTAAACTACTCTTCTTCTTCTCTAATGTATACATCCCATTCCAGGGCATTGGTAATGTTGTTTTCCTCTTTTGTTAGCAAGTACATAGAGCTCTTAGCCCAGGCCCATTGTCGTGTGTTATAAGTTAAGAACCTCGAAATTTTGGTATGAGCCTGAGCCTAGTCATGCTAGTTGGGTCTTAACAAGAGATTGGGAGTCATTGCAAATAGTGTTGCTAGTTAGAGAGTAGGGCCATTGCAAATGGAGTGCATTGGATTTGACCATTGATGTAATTATCTCCTCAAGGCAGACCAATTCCATCAGAAGAGGACATTTCTACTCGAATACATCTCCTCCCATTCTTTTTTTCACTTTTTGCCTTTTTGCATTATTAAAATAGCACACTAATGATGTGGGTTGACTTCCCCCCTACCCTACAACAACAGAGATTCCATGACAAGAAGTAAAACGCTTGTCCGAATAGTAATCTGGCTTCTGATGCTTTAAAGTTGTGGTCTGAAGAGGGAAGAAGGTATCGTCTGGGTATCCATGCATGTTTGCTTTGGGATTTGCTTTATGACAGATGATAATATAAAGAAAGAAGGTAAACGTGCTGCAGCCAAGTGCTCTTCGATTAAGACTCACTTTTAAGTTAAGGCTATCTCCAACTGTGACTCCTCCTCTCTAGGGTGGTCCATTTTGTCTTTATAATATGAGTAAACTCACTTGTAATTTAATTGTAGTAGAGACCCACTTTTGTTTTTTTTTTTCTCACTTTCTCTCGGTTTGGTGAGAAGTTGTTTTCCTTATGCAAAAGATGGAATGCATGAAGGACACTTGTGTCTCTTCTTTCTTGATACACTTGCCCACCTCTCTACTCTTTAAACAATCTACCTCCATTCGTTTTCTCTCTTAATTTTCATCACCGTAGAGTCACAAACTCCAACTTATAACTACCAGCTGTATAGCTATGTTAATGTATCTGTGCCAGCTTATCTGGTTTCCGTTTTCAAACCAAAATAAGTATGAAGGAAATAGATATCAGACACCATTTGGAGACTGAGTGTATGCGGGGAGCAACAAGTGACGAGGCCGGGACCCTTGTTTACCATTCAACTCTCTCTCTCTCTCTTGGGATTTATATCTCACTCACACTTTATACAAATTTGATCATTACCACTTTCACATACTTTTCTCTCTTCTCCTTCGTCTTCCTCCTCTCACATATCAACCTTTGAGCACACCAGATTTATGGTAAATCAATCATCCTCTTACTTTATCTTTTTGTTCTCTTTTGGTTTTTCAGAATTGTAGCATAATCAATAGGTGCGATTTTTCTCAAATAGCAATACAGATGAATTTAAATTACGGCTTCAATATTTAATTATCCTCCTTTTTACCTAAAGTTTTGATCACTTTTCTCATCATATGTTCCTCTTGAACGCAGAGAACTCTAAGATGAAGTTCATGAAAATCGGGACAAAGCCTGACACTTTGTACACTCAAGAGTCTTCAAGGTTTTTCCTCGCATCTCTCTGCTTTTAAATTCCCCAACTCGCATCTCTCTGATGTAATATTTACACTGCAGGATTTTGGTAACCGACACACCCAACGATCTGGTCATAAGAATCAACAACACCACTTATCATCTCCACAGAGTATGTTTCGATTGACTTTGTTCTCCTAGCAACACATACAAATATTATGTATCATATATGTTATATAGTGGTTTCCATCTTTGTCTGCAGTCTTGTCTTGTTCCAAAATGTGGGCTGTTGCGAAGGCTTTGCACTGATTCAGCAGAGGAGTCCGATAGTGTTACTATAGAGCTAAATGACATACCTGGAGGAGCCGATGCGTTTGAGCTGTGTGCTAAGTTCTGCTACGACATCACCATCAACCTCTGCGCTCATAACATTGTGAATGCCCTCTGCGCCTCCAAGTTTCTTAGGATGTCTGATTCTGTTGAGAAGGGAAATCTGTTCCCAAAGCTTGAATCATTTTTCCACTCATGCGTTCTCCAAGGCTGGAAGGACTCCATCATCACTTTGCAGACCACTGCCAAATTGCCAGAATGGTGTGAGAATCTTGGAATCATCAGAAAGTGTATAGACTCGACTGTGGAGAAGATCCTCACTCCCACTGCAGAGGTCTGTTCTTTTTGTCAACTTGTGAGTCCAGATGATGTTCTTGCACATCAATTTAGTTCCTTCTTTTTCGTTTTTCAGGTCTCTTGGTCTCATACATACACCAGACCAGGCTACCAAAAGAAGCATCACCACTCTGTTCCAAGAGACTGGTGGACGGAGGACATATCAGACCTTGACTTGGACTTATTCCGCTGTGTCATCACAGCAGCGAGGTCAACTTTCACGCTGCCGCCTCAGCTCATCGGCGAAGCCTTGCACGTATACACCTGCCGCTGGTTACCATACTTCAAATCAAAAAGCTCTTCAGGTTTCTCAGTTAAAGAAAACGAAGCAACACTGGAAAGACATCGGCGTGTTGTTAACACGGTTGTGAATATGATTCCTGCAGATAAAGGGTCGGTTTCAGAGGGTTTTTTGCTGAGACTTGTTAGCATAGCGAGTTATGTGGGAGCTTCTCTCACCACAAAGACCGAGTTGATTAGGAAAGCTGGCCTGCAACTAGAGGAGGCAACTCTTGCAGACCTCCTGTTGCCTTCACGCTCATCCTCTCATCTCCATCGCTATGATACTGACTTGGTTGCTGCAGTTCTTGAGAGTTTTTTAATGCTCTGGAGAAGACAGTCTTCTGCTCATCATTCTAGTACCAGTCAGTTGCTGCATTCAATTAGAAAGGTGTCAAAGCTTATTGACTCCTATCTCCAGGTAGTCGCAGAAGATGTCAATATGTCAGTTTCCAAATTCGTGTCTTTTGCAGAGGCAGTGCCGGACATTGCTCGGGAGAGCCATGACAGACTTTACAAAGCTATCAACATCTATCTCAAGGTATTAGATGATCTGGCCTGGAGAAGGGATGCGTACTAGCTATGTTTCAGAGTCACACCAGTCTAATTTGAGCAATCATCCATTTTACATTGCAGGTGCATCCCGAGATAAGCAAAGACGAGAAAAAACGACTATGCAGAAGTCTTGACTGCCAGAAGCTGTCTGCAGAGGTACGTGCACACGCTGTGAAAAATGAGAGGATGCCATTAAGAACGGTAGTCCAGGCCCTCTTCTTCGACCAAGAGAGCAGTTACAAGGGAACATCAGGTCTATTAGAGAGCCACGGTCTCGTCTCAAGAAGTAAAGAGACGTCCACAGGTGAACACATCATGATGCACAAGCTTCATCTAGGTCCAACTGAAGCAGCTTCTATTAGGAGAACTAATAGTGTACTTGAGGAAGGAAGCAAAAGAGGAGAAGACAGAATCAGATCCAGTACCCCCAAGAAGATAGTGCGGGAAGGAAGAGGATCAGAGCATAAGCATCATATAAGCAAAGACAGGTAGTGGACCAGATTTCTGGTTCACAAAATCAGTCTCTTGTTTGCATTCACCAGATTTCTGGTTCTTTTTCCTTCTTTCTTAAAAGAGTTGATGATGATTGTAGATGGTCAAGTGACTTTATATGTATTAATACAGTGCAGAGCTAAGCTCTGCTCAACCATTCTTCTTCAGCTTATTATATGCTCAAGATAGCGATAGAGATAGATACCACTGGATCATGCAAAAAAGCATTGTCTTGATAGATGCATTGTTTGATCATAAACATGAGATTATTACTAGCTTGCAAGATCTTCGCTTTACTCTCTCATTCTTCCTACCATCTAAGGGTCTCACACTGTTTCTCCAATAAAATCAGGCTGGTTCGTGACTGAGCGCACCCAAGCCCATTTGTGGTCACTCGTGTTCACTTCATTCTTAGTCTGTGCCACCTCCTCTAAGGGGATATAAGCATAATTCCCATTGATCGGGCCAGACACGAACCCTGTGTAACCAGCCATGACTCCATGGATAGCCGAGTGAGCCAAGAGCGTACAATACAAGTTATCTATAGCATTCGCAGGCACAGCTCTTATCATGTAAGTGGGATCGATATACTTCACGGTGAAGAGCTTCCCTGGATGCTCTCTCTCCCACCATTCCTTCAACGCAGACTTCAACCAAACTCCCACATCCAAGAAAACTAAGTTTCCAGACTCATCCGTCTCTTGTCTCTGCGCTTCATTTCTTGGGATTATCTCTTGTCCAGCCCCTTCGGCGACAACAAGTACGGCATGTCCATGATTTTTCAGTCTCTGCTCAAGAAACTCAAACAGCCCTCCTTTGCCTTCAAGATAGAAGCTCATCTCCGGGATCAAACAACAGTCCACATCACGGCTGCTAAGAGTGGCGTGTAGGGCAATGTGACCTGTACTTCTCCCCATCAGCTTCACTAGCCCAATGCCATTGACTGCGCTCTCAGCCTCCACGTGAGCAGCGGATATAGCCTCCTGAGCCATCTCTACCGCCGTTTGAAACCCGAATGATCTATCAATGATGCCGACGTCGTTGTCCACTGTTTTTGGAATACCTGTGATTCCCACCTCCAACTTCCTGCGGCTGACTTCCTTGAATATCTCCACCGCCCCACGCATTGTGCCGTCTCCTCCGATTATATACACCTGATGAGGCCATTGGTTGCATTAACTGAAGCCGGAGCACAATTCAAATAAATCGGAAACTGCAAAATGGGATCAAATAGTGAAACGGACCTGGTTGTAACCGTTGTGTTGGATGGCATTGACGATTTTCTGGAGATCGAAGCCGCCACGGGAGGTGGCGAGGACGGTGCCGCCTTTCTTGTGCCAGTTATGAACCAGCTTGGGGTTTAATTCGACGGCTTCCATGGAGTAAAAGCCTCTGTAACCAGCCGGAATTCCATAGATCTGTCTCACTCCGTAGAGTTCCCACAGACCAACAACAAGCTCTCTAATGACGGTGTTCATGCCCGGGCACAACCCTCCGCAAGTCACAATCGCCGCCTTGACAGTCGATGGCTCATAGAGGATATCTCGGCGGGGACCAGCCCTGAGATAGGAAACGCGTGGCTGGGAGTCGGAAGAGAGGTCGTAGACGACCTGGGAGAGGATGACGTCCGAAGGAGAGATGTAGAAGCCATGGGAAGGGTGAAAGAAGGGATTATCTTCCAGTGGGTTCCGGCGCTGATGGAGGCCGGTGAGATGTGGGAGATTCATGACGGTGGTTGCGTCGGCCATTTGAAGTTAGCGAGAAGAGAGAAGTCTCGTGTTATCATCGAAATTTAAGAAAATCGTATCGGAACGTCAGAAATTACACGGCGGAGACGTGGCAAGCGTAGCCGTGCAGACCTCGACACGTCGCTTGAGGGACACCGCTTGTATTGAATTAAAAATATTGTATGGGCTTGGTAGGTCTTGGAGTTTTAAGATCCATAGTAGGTTTTTGACCCGCACACGCGTCTGTTCTAATGAAATTTTAAACTGTTATATTTAAAATTACAAACGCTTCACATTTTTTATTTTTTTCTTTTTTTTTATAAACTTTTCTTTGTAATATACTTTTTAATTATTTTTTTACTTAACCAATTTAATTATTTTATAATTAGTCATAATAAGTAAGGTACTTTTTAAAAACATATTTTCTGTAAAAAATATACAACAATCCTATCCTCACATTTCTTAAATTAATCCCTTAATTTTACTATTCATTAGACACTTTTTAATTTTTTATATCCATTAAAGGTCATCCGGCAAGCTTTTGTACAATCCAATATTAGTCTAATACATATTTTAGTTGTTAATTTCCTTTTTAATTTTATTTATTAGTTTAGCTTTTCCAGCTCTGAGTTTATGATTTATACTTAATTTATTTATATATATTTTTAGTTTAATTATTTTGCATTCAATTCCATTTAATAAATTCATCTCTTTATTTTTAAATCACTGTTTTGATAGTTAAAAAGTCTCATATATTCCAAACTTTTCTTTTTCATATCCTGTTTAATTCTCGGTTCCATTGTTTTGGTTTTTTACGGTTCGGTTTTGCTATCACATTGAAATTAGAAATGATTTTGTTTTTCTTCATTTGCCGACAACAAAATCGAACAATGTTTCTACCTTATTCCCACCGGAACATTGTTAATCTCATCATCGAGATCCCTCTTCTTTGTTTCTCATCTTGGTTATTTGCCTTAATCCCTCTGAGCGATTGAGACCTGTCAAAACTAATTTGATCAATTGATTGAGGGAACAGTTTCTGCTTTAATCCCTCTTCCGAGACTTTATTTCTCTGTTTCTTCTACTGATTCTCTCAAGCTAATCACTTCGTGAAAGGTTTGAATTTTCCCTATTTTGAAGCCAGTTTTGTTGATGTTGAGATTATGTGTTTAGCGTTTAATCTATTTCTTCCGATCCAAATTTGTGATAAATCTATAACTCTAGGTGATGCCAACTGCTCCGCCAAGTTCCAGAGACTCAGAGATGTCTAATTTTTCAAAATTGTCGCCTTTCGATGGACGTTACTGGGGTAAAGCTAATGACTTTGCCTCTTCCATGAGCGAGTTTTCTTTTATCAATTTCCGAGTACTTGTTTCTCACCCAAGTGAATGTTTATTATCTAATTTATGATTTTGTTCTTTTCATTTTTGTGTTGACTAAGTATTTGCGAGTTCTTTAGTTGTCTAATGCTCTTGTTTTTTTTTTAATATATTTGGTAGATTAAATTGCCTCTGTATCTTTCAAAAGTCCCTCAAGTCACCGAAGTTCCATGCTTTTCAAAAGATGGTGATGTCTACTTGCAATTCATATTCGATGTGTTTAGCATTGATGATACGTTGGAAGTTAATAAGGTCGAGAGAGTAGCATATGATGATGTGAAAGCTGTGGAGTATTTCTTGAAACAAAAGTTTGAATCACAGCCAGAGATTGTCAAGGTTGGTAAACTTTCTCTCTGTTCCACCAAGTACTTAGCAACATTAGATAATAGTCTTTAGATAAAAAGTAAAAGGATAAGCATTAGATAATAGTCTTTTAATCGAACATTAGATCTAGTCTATCTATTATAGCACGGCATGTCTTTGAACTCAGCTATTGATCGTCCATGCTGGTTCATAAGTTTCTCTATCTCCATCAAAGTGTATTGCTTTAGCTGATTTTCATATAGACGTAGGCTTGGGAAGTTGAAAGTCTTGCGTTTTCTGTGAAGCATGTCTTCACCTAGTGATTTCCAATAGCGATTCCACAAATTTAGAGGACTCCCAACTTGACAATATATCAGCAAGCAAACAAATAGTCTTCGTAGTTGATAAGGTGTAGACCATTGAGTTGCTCCATCATGCCACTCAGTCTGAATCTAGGAGACCTCTATCATAGGATACTGATTTGTAATCATCATATTTCGTGTCCCCAGCACTTTGAATCTCTTCAAAACTTTCCACTTTTGACCATAGACTTCTATCGTTGTTCCATGTAATTTTTTTCAGAAATTCCGAATAAGTTATCTGATGAGCCTCTTCTGATTCTTCGTTTCTCTCCATCCATCGTCTAAACATACTTTTCTCAATGTCTTCCTTTGATTGAACTCTACTCATAATGAAAGAGTTATTACCATAAAGGTCCTCGTTCTTGTCAACAGATTCATTAAACTCGGCGTTGGAACGAATCCCAAAGTTTTGACCCTCAATAGTGTAGTCATCATGGTCTGCTTGCACCATTGTTGTTTCCGGAATGAATTGGATGAGAAATCTGTGTGAGGAGAACTTGTAGCTCGTTTTGTTGATGATGACCAAAAAACTACCAATGTTGTAGACTTCTCCCGCCTTTTTGTTGTTGATGACCAGAAAGCTATTAAACTTGTAAACTTCACCAGCCTTTAATTTTTCCTCATAGTCTCCTAGTCGATAAGCTGGTATGAATGCTTGGATTGTAGTTCCCTGTATTAAATATGGTAGAAAAGAGTATTATAAGTTGATGATGATTTAACTTTCTATTGGTAATTGGTAAATAATGTTGGTGTCGTTACCTTTTGATCGATTAGAAGCAGTTCATATCCCATAAGCAGACCTCCTTTTTTAGGATTCCTTGTGAAACAACAACACTTTTTTTTAATAATTAAATATTAAACAATTCTAGCGAAGGTTTTTAAAATAAATTAAATAAATAAAATATAATAACAACTAAATCAGTTCAGCGGAAGCAAATAATAATTAAACAAGTCTAGCAAAACAATGCAAAATAAATAAAAGCAATAAACATCCTATCATCCCTTTCTTCAGCCTTGATTCCGTGTTCACACAAATATTTTACCTGCAACACATTGTAATGGAGTTACGTAAGTATTTAATAAATACTAATTGAGGCAATCACTCTGCCTACAGGCCAATTACGCAATTTACTAGATATTTAATAATATTTATAAACTCTAATAATTATTAAATACTATTTTCCAATTATTAGATAATTATTAATAATTAAAACTTCATTTCTCAATTATTAAATAATTCTCATAATTAAATAATAATTTTCCATATTTTAAAATGATTTAAATAATTATTTTAAGCCTCTTAATTAATTAAATACATTTAATTAATTAAATCCGAATTAAACCAATTAACCAGATTTTAACTAGAAATCACTTAATTTAAACCAAAAATCAATTTCCAATTGAACCAGACTGAACCGGCTGCGTCGACAGACACAAGCTTTGCGTCGACCGACGCAAGCTTTGCGTTGCCCGACGCATGTCCGTCAGGTGTACAGAAATATCAACAAAACACGCAGAAACACCGAATTAACACAGATCAACCAAACATCATCACATAAACCTCATATCATAAGAACACCTCAAGAACAACATTCAAGCAATCCAGATCTAGTGATTTGCGGACCTAGAGTCATGCACTCACGTTGATTTGGATTGAAACAGAGGAAAAGGAGAAGAAGCACTGAAAAACAGCCACAAATCACCACATATCACCACATATCACCTCTCTTCTTCTTCTCTCAAGTTTTTGAGCCGCCAAACAACCAAAAGAAGGCTGCTCCACGACTTTTAACTCAAAAATATGGTTTCCAGACCCAAACCATGTTAAACGGACCCAATTGACTTAAATTGAACTGGATCTGATTTCGAAAACCTTGTGTCGACCGACGCAACTCTTGCGTCGCCCGACGCAACTTTTAAAACTCTACAAAATGGGCTATGGATGTTACACCTTGCCTCCCAAAAGTGGATGACTATAGCAAATAGCTCTTTTTTCACAAAAACCTTTAGTGAGTTCATTGAAAACAAAAGGACGCCATAACTGATCAGAAACAGAAGAGCTGGAAGAAGACATAACTATTTTAATAAACACTCTCTCTCTCTCTCTAAGAATATGGTTGTCTTTAGAACTCTTGTATGTGTATTCTAAAGTTTAGAGGACCACTTATAGCCAATGCCAAACATTAAAATAGCAAAATTGTTAATTTTCTTTTTTTATTATAATTAGTTAGTTTAGCTTTTCCAATAATATATTTTTTTGTTAGTTTAACTCTTTTTATGTTGAATTTCCAATAAACTATTTAAAATAATGGGTTAAGGTAATTAGTGTCGTAATGTAAGTATTAAAATTCAAAATAGTACAATTTTCATTCTTTAATACAATAATGTATTTTTTCTCAAAAAAATTATTTAATTTTCGATTTTAAAATTAAAATGCTGATTTGGCGAAATTTAATTGGTTTCTTAAAAGCTGATGTGGACGCTCTTAGAGGCTATAACCTCAACTTTTATATAGTATAGACTATGATTTTCACCCGCGCACGCGCGGGTCTGTATCTTAAATCGGTTTAAAATATATTTTTAAAGAATATTTTTTTAACTGCAAAAATCAACAATTAAAATTTAATAATATTTCAATACCAAAATTCTCTGGAAAACAAAAGTTTTTAGATATATAATATCGTGTTGAGATCAAATCTTGACATACAAAAATATTGTTTAGATCATATCCCGGTAACAAAAATGTTTGTGTATGTCTAATGACCAAAACTTACTTGAAGATATTCAAATCATTATATATATATATTGTAAAATGTAATGTTAATTTATGAACTATTGTGACTTGTTAATCATTTTCTAAACATAAATATATTTTTAAATATGTATAGTGAAATTCTTAAAATTAGATGTCAATAGTATTTGTATGTAACATAATGTTTATTTAAAATAACTTCAATTCGTTATGTTAGAACTTAAAATGCTATAAACAACATATAATTTATTTTTCAGTACATTTAACTTACACATCGTGTTATTAGTTTATAAATTTGATCATAATAGTATATATTTAGCTTTTATATAATATAAATTATGTATATTCTTTTTTTATGGCTTAAAGAAAATCTTAAATCATTATTGTTCAATGTTGATTTTTTGTTAGTAATTTTGTCACGTTTTTTATGCCTTATGTATACATTTCTTTTTAAAAGTAGTTTTATATTAATGTTTACTTGAATATTTCCGCCTTAAATCTTAGGGAGAATTTGCTCAATATTCATATTGGAGAACAATATTAAGAATATAACCATTGTGAGTTTGATAATAAGAAACTAACAAAGAGAAATTATTGTGGACAGAACTGTCCTTCTAGCTAGCTAACTTCTGTTTTGTTCTATATAGGAAAACAGAATAGACCACCGTATAATTTCTGCAATCTCCTGAAGAGTAAACAACCATGAAAGAATGTGTTCCATAGATCAAAGCATAGTAGAGAACAACACAAATTGAATTTGCTATCAAGATTAAAGGAACATAACTAACTGATTGCAAACCCTTTACAAAACAAATAAAAGTTAAGATGCAACAAATTTAAACTAGATTAAACAAAATGATGAGAAGAAAGACCCAATCTCTTCAATCACAGATCCGCTTTGGTGTCGAATTCGATTGCAATGACTCGATTCTTCATCGACTGAGAGGAATTGAGGAGACCCGAGTAACATCTATGACCTGTCATCTTCTTCCTCTTCGTCGCTGCTGCGTGGGATCCGGGCGAGTATAAATTCGCAAGTTAGGGCTCGGCAAGCCACATAATTTGGTGAGGGAAGAAGAAATAAAGAGATAGTGGCCATGGAAGAAGAAATCATAGAGATCCTAAACCCAAAAAGGAAAAAAGTCACAGAGCGCGAGAGAGGAGAAGAAGAAGATACATGGAAAGAAAAAAAAAAAAAAACACGTGAGTTGTTTGATTTTTTATCAAAAGGGTATTTTCGGTAATAATACATATTACACACAAAATACTCTAATCATTCATTTGTTATGATCATATCCTTAATTTTGGGTTTTTTTATGGTTATTGGGTGCTATTTCCCTAAATCTTATTCAAAAAAATTATTAGTTACATATTTGTTTAGGATATGCAAAATTCAGTTAGTGTTTATTTAATTGCAGAAATGGTTATTAACTCACATCATATCATGTTTCTAATCAAATCAAGTAATCATATTCGGCAAGTTTATACTACACCAAAAATGAAATATTTCCTCTTGCATTAGATGGCAAAACTTTTGTCTTAACCGATCAAACTCTGGCTGCTCATGGAATTGATACACCTAATGCAATCATTGTGATCATCAAAGAGACAGTCTCTATATCTTCTTCATATGTATTTCTATAGTATGAGTCTTGGATCAAACCATACTTCTCAATAATTTTAGGGCAAACTCACACATTTTTAAGGAACTTTTTGAAGATGTAGAAAAACTGATTATTCTACTCCAAATATGTTTATTGTTTATATCTCTTTATCCTTATATATTTGGCCATTTTTGGAAGGTTCATGATTTTCTCTTTTTGAAAATCGTTATTTACATGGAGATGAAATCTTTTAAAGGGTGTGGAGGATGTCAGACATCAACCTCTTCTCTCCCTCTCCGTCTAACCTCCATAATCCTCCCGAATATGAACCCTTATTTTGTTGATGTAGGGTGGAATGCTTTCTCGAAAATTTGTTGTATGGGTTACACTATTAAATCTCCTTTGAATTTCTCTGCTCCATAGTAATCCAAACAAACTATTTACCTTTTCGACCATTTTTTTTGAAGCTACGATGAACTAAATATTATATAGTATGCTATTGTTTTCTTGATTTTTTTGTTTTAGCTTCTATTGCTTGATCTCTCTCATCACCTAAAAAAACTGCAAATGAATTCATATGTCTTCTATACTACATTACACATTTTTGTTTCCATCTCCAGTTTTTTATTCGTAGATTATGTAATGTTGAGATCGAGTCTTTTGCTATACTGGCTTTGTTTGCTTAGAACAATTCTTCAGTTAATTATGTAAATATTTATATGGACCAATAAGATACGGTTTTATTATCTTTGTGGACACTCTTAAATGCGTTTAGCCTCAAATTTTTATATTAAAAACATATTTATTAAAAAATATTAATTTAATCACTTTAGACTTATGAAGTTTCTAATTTAAACACATTATACTAATTAATAATCTTGAAACATAAGAAAGAAATTAACTAATTTAACAAACATAGCTAATTTTATATGATGATATAGATTAATACTATTGGTTGTTTAAAATTTGGAAAATTTCTTAATTTTATATGATTATGTGGACCAATGCTATTGGTTATCTAAAATTTGGAAACTTTCTTAATCTTGAAGATGTTTATGTGGACCAATAAAAACGCGTTTTAAAATTCTATGTAGACACTCTCAGAGGCTTATAGCCTCAACTTTTATATAGTATAGATTGTGTAAGAGCATGTACATTTCAGATACATACTCATATGGGTTTCTTCCCACATTTAATATATTAAACAAATATTATTTTAGTTAAAGAGATTTGAGAAGAAACTTGATAATTATACCACAACATTGCACATCTTCATATGAGTTTCTTTATTTATTTATTTTTTTTTTGAATTTTTTTAAAGTATTTATAAAATTGAGAAAAATAATATTATATATATAACATATATTATATATAACATATAGTACATTATTAAATATACATTATATAACATTATATATAACATATAATAATAACTAGAGTACGTTATTAAATAGACAAATACAACATTTATTACATATAAAACGGAAAAAAATTGTATACCAAGAAAAAACAAAGATAAACATACATGTTCTAAACCATATGAAAACATGATTAAGAACCAAATTTGTTCCAAATATGCTCAACCAAATCAGCTTTTAATTGGTGATGCTTTTGTTGATCACGAATATCAGCTCGATTAGCCATAATATTGTGGACATTCGATGGCAAGTGGTCAGAGGGATGGACTTGTGCAAGACCCGCTTCCGTCTGCTCCTCCTTGTTGAAATTCGTTTCGTTATACTGAGTTTCAGCGCTCTTTCATCTTCCACAATCATATTGTGTAATACATGCCTTCATTATATTCCCTATCTTCTCTTATCCATTGTAAGAGACGGGTTTTAACAATTGCAAACCGAGCTTGTAAGACTCCAAAAGCATGCTCAACTTCTTTTCGGGCAAACGATTGATGGGCACAAAATAATTTTGCTTTCGGTTCTCCTGGCTGAGGAATTGGTTTGACGAAAGTCGACCATTCCGGATATATACCATCTGTGAGATAGTAAGCCATATTGTATCGGTGTCCATTAACAGAGAACGACACCTTAGGAGCTCGACCTTCTAATATATCATCAAACACGGGTGAGCGGTGGAGAACATTAATGTCGGATTTAAAGTACCTGGAGGTCCGAAAAATGCGTGCCAAATCCACATATCATACGACGCCACAGCCTCTAAAACGATTGTTGGTTTTCATGCCCCGTGCATATTGTCCTTTCCATTCCGTGGGACAATTTTTCCACTCCCAATGCATACAGTCAATGCTTCCTATTGAGCCGGGAAATCCACGCCTCTCTCCGAACTTGAGTAATCGTTTGAGATCTGCTGGTGTAGGCCTTCTGAGGTAGTCCTCCTCGTAAAATAAGATGATTGCGTTGAAAAATTTATGCAAGCATTTTAGCGCAGTGCTCGCTCCTAGTCTGAGGTATTCATCGATGCATCAGCTGCATTGCCATATGCGAGCATACGAATGGCGGCCGTGCACTTTTGTAAGCCGGTCAGACCCATCTTCCCCGTACCATCCGGTATGTGCTGAAAGAAGTAACTCGGATAGCTTGTTAACTATGCGCATGAACAATGGTCGGTTCATCCGAAAGCGACGTCGGAATATGGCCTCGGGATAGATAGTATTCTCACTGAAATAATCATTGAACAAGCGGATGTTTCCTTCTTCACGTCTTCGATCATGACCGCTCGTTTCTTTCTTCTCTTCTCTGGCTCAAGAACTTCATTTATATCAACTAAACACTCTTCCATGCAGCTTTCAAACTCATCATCCATTGCTTGTTCAAACCCATCATCGAAATGAAAAAGGATGGTGGAAGATGATGCCATTTTTGTTTTCCTTTGTAATTTTGATAAGATGATTTGGTGTTTTAATGAATGGAATGAGAAGTTGAAGAGAGGTGCAATGGAGAATTTGAAGTTAGGTGCAATGGAGTGTGTGAGGAGGAGAGTTTGTGATGAGAGATATGCAAAGAGATTGAAGCAAGAGTAGGTTTTATAGTTGCCGAGAGGTAATTGTTTTCTGGCCGAGACAATTGTACTTTAAAAAATATGTGGCCGAAAGTTGTTTGTTGAGTGGTCGATACTTGGTCGAGACAATTTTTTACTTTACAAAGTTTGTGGCATATCATTCCATATCATTTCATATCATCTTTCACACCGCAAAATCTTATCATCAAATAGGCACTAGAAACAGTCCAAGCAGACGAGAAAGCACAAGAGATTATGTCAGATACTGATCGCGGGATCAGTCTTCCCTTTTCCTATCCCTGATTCTGCAAGTGCACAGGTCAGAAGTAGTAAACGGGTATCGAACACAAGGACCAGATTGCACACTACAAACTATAAGATTGAGATCGAGCTAGGGCAAACAGTATGGATTGGTTGAGTGCAGTGAAAGTAAAGGCATGTAAGTAAATAAAAGATTGAAATCAATAGGAGAGAAGGGCTAAGCAATAGGATAGTCTTAAGATAAGCAATTCAAGAAGCAAGGATCAATCAATTAGGGTTATTGTAATTAGGTGCCATCTAGAACTCGAAACACTATGGTATGATCTTTCCACTTTCGTGGCTCCGACCCCTTTGTTAATCCCCTAGTCGCTAAACTTTTGGTATGTCCCTAGGTGATTAAATCAAGCATTAGTTCGAATAAGTTCAATTGTTCACAACCTACAAGTAAATCAACTTTCGCAGTCTAAAAGAGGTTGCCCACCAAATACTAGTTCAGGCGAATGATACAACACTTTCGAGGCTCAAGTCAACCTAGATCATATGCTAATTGGCCAGATTAACAACAAGCATTAAGTATAAGCAAAGATGAAATTATAAGTAAAACCCTAATTCATGTGATCGATCATCAAGCAATCATGAATGCTATCCTTTGACTTCCTATCACTTAACAAGTAAACTACTCAGACATAGAGAAGGAAACGAATTCATATTCATAAGAACAGAGATCCGAATCCTCTCTTGAAAGAGAACAAGCAAGAACAAAGTAAAAGCAAACAAAACTTTATTAAAGATGTAAGGTAAATCATGGTCTCTCTCCTTCTTGAGTTACAAGGCTAAAAAGATGTATTTATAATGCTCTAAGTGTGGAAGATCGGCTAGACCTAATCTAGTAAGTCGGTAATGGAGTTGGGCTTGAAACGTGTGAAACGGGCTTCAAAAACGGCTTCGGGTCGACCGGACCGTTCGGACGGTCGGGTCGATCGTGGCCGAGGCATTATTCGTTCGTTCGTCGGGTTCGGCCGGACGGATGATATTGGTCGAAGGATTCGGCCGGACGCGGGACGAGGCCTTCCTGGTCGGACGGTGCGGTCGTGCGCGTGATACGGGTCGTGTCGCATGGTCGTGAGGCGATGCCTCCCTGTTTGCACGGTGGGGTCGTGCGCGGCATTCGGTCGCGTGATTTAGATTGGTCGACCGCGGGAAGATGCTTCCCGGGTCGGTATGTGAGCTCGGAAGATACAAAAGAAATATACAAAAGCTCTAAGATCACAAGGAAAATAAGTAAGTATGAGGAATGCATACTTTTGTACCTTCATGTCGTATGGAATACCTTATACACAAGGAGGAAGCTCAATGCCAATCCATGTATCCCACCAAGAGAAATCTTAAGGGAAGGAGGATCGATACAAAAAATAAAATGATACCCTAGAAAAGTAGGGAAAAATTGATTCTTCAATGATAAGAGAGAAGGGGAGAGGTTTGGTGCTGAATGAGCCAGAAAGACTATCTTGGCAAACACTTGGATGGGTAAGAATCAATGCTCTGTGATCAATACTCCCTTGATAAAGACCACACGCTGTAAATACTGCAAGGAGTTAGCAATAGAGAGTTTGGAATACTGGATAATATTTGTTGGGTTCGGTATGGTTCGCTAAGCTTAAGGTCAGTACGTGATAGCCAGTTTCAAAGTTGGTTTGTCCCAAAGAGAGCAGAGCAATGGGAGATACAAGTTCCAAAAGATAAGTGAGTTTTCGTGTTTTCAAAACCTCTTCACTAGTTTAGATTTGATTTGCTTAGGGACAAGCAAAGATCTAAGTCTGGGGGAGTTGATATACCTCTATTTTACAAGCTGTTATACTATTTTACTATGGTTTTCTAATAGTTTTCTAGTGGATTCTTGTCTTAAAATGTAGTTTTTATGGATTTATACTGCAAAGAGTCATTTTAGGTCAAAAGGTGCATTATGGAGCAAAACAGAGGATTTTATACTGATCAATAGACTTCTGTTCATGGACATCAAGTACCTCCGCAAAACCACTTACCTCCGAGGTCAGCCGATCAGCGGACACCACAACTATCAGTTCGCCTACCGCCAGTTCGAATATGGGTTGGCGAGCTTCTTCTTGCCCAACAAGCCGTTGACTTACCTCATTGCACGGGAAAATGTGGACTTCGATCCACCTATCGAGTCCATCCTCCAGCAAGGTCAAGAGGAAGATGAGTATGGCCATCCGAGAGCCGCTGAGCCTGATGAAGAGAGTTCAGGAGATGATGAGGTCCCTGAGGAGTAAAAAAATTGGAGGTTCCTACTTCGGAGATCACGAGATCAAAGGGAGGAAGTCCGCGGCTAATACAGCCCTTGAGAGCATCAATACGCTCAAGGCCTGAAACCAATTCTAGGACAAAGCAATCAAATCCCTCCTTAAGACCGTGAAGAAGATGGGAAAGCGCATCAAGCAGCTCACTCGCTCCAAGAGCACATCTCCTAACCATACTCCCATCCGTACTCCCCCAGCCCCTCCCAGCCCCGGTCACGACGACAACGATCACAACGACGAAGGCGCTTCCAAGTTCCAAACACAGAGACCTCCAGAAGGAAGAGGAAAGCCTCAAAGTCGCCTCCGTCAAGCTCAAAGGGTGAAGCCACATCATCCTCCTCGTCCACCTTTTAAGAGGTATAATCCCCAACCTGTAAATAGCATGCATTCTTCTTTTCGTTTTCACTTATCTTTTGCTTTGATTCTCTCTTCCGCCTTTTTTTCACACAAGGGACCGTGTGAACTAAGTGTGGGGGAGAGGGTCAATGCTATTTGACCAAATGTTTTGTGTTCCTATTTTCTATTTAGCATCCTTGAGTCTCATGCATTTGCATTACTCGAAAATCATGTAAAATTTTCATTTTTGCATATATATATATAAAGAAAAAAGAAAAAAAAAAAATCCAAAAACAGAGCATATAGTTAGGTTCATTTCATTTCATGTCACATCGGAGCAATGGTTGAGTTGATTGATTGAGTTGCGGAATTGTTTCATTGCCCTAGTTCTAAGCTGTTTGGCGCATTTGATAGTTCTTGAAGTTAATATAGAACCGCATCATTGAAAAGCATCATGACTACCTTAGCGAAACCGAATGTATTGCTATGATTTAACTTGCTATATTGCGGAAACTAGTATTTGGTGAGCAATAGGTCATGGCCAACGAAAGTTGAGTTGTGGGCTATTGTGAACAATTGAATCTTGAACCTTGTAATGCATGTTTACAACTTGTAATAACCAACAAAATCTGAGTCTATTAGGTTGATTAAACATAGTGGTTGGAGCCACGAAAGTGGAAAGACTATACCTTAGTGATTTGAGTTCAAGAACGACAATGAATCCCTTTCACTTGATTGTTTGCTGATAATTTGTGATGTTTTGCGATTTGCCTAATGCCTAGTACTTTTCCCTATTTTTTACATCTCTATTTCATTATTGCTTTGTTCTCTTTTGCTTGTTACACAACCTCTCATATTTTGTTCTAGCTTGAATTTCAGTCTACATAAGTTTGAAGTGAAATAACATCTCCTTGTGGTTCGACCCCGAACTATACTACTCTTTTGCTGTGCACTTGCAGTTGTGTAGGTTGGGTTAATATTATTACTTGAAGCATAAAACCCACCGCATCAAGTTTTTGGCGCCGTTGCCGGGGAGATTGTTTCATTTCCTTCAAGCTTTTTGATAGAATTCTAGTATAGTTCTTATTTTCTTGCAATTTACTTTTCTGTTTTTCAAAAACAATTAAAAAAATCATAAAAATTTGCTTACTTATTTATCTTTTCTTTCTTTTGTTTTCAGGTGGATCACAAGAAGTTCCAATAACACCAAAAAAGAGAAAGAATGGACTCGATGAGCTTTTATGCAATTCCCCCACCGGTTAGGCGGCATCAAAAGGAAGTGAACTACATTGGTGGAAACTTCGTGTGTCCTGGCCAGAACGTCTATCAAGGAGCTCAATACCAGCCTAAGCAACAAGTATATCCCAATGGAGTCTATCAGGTGGAGCATCCCTTCACTTTCCCCCAGGCTGTTGCACCGGCTCAACAAGAAGAGAAGTTAGATGTGGTCTTCAAAAGATACATGGAGGAGCAAAGGCAAACCACCCAGAGCCTCTATGAGAAGCTAGATCGTGTTTTCACTGATCTTTGCAGCAAGTTTGGGTATCTCTCCACTCATGTCCAGAATTTGGGGGTTCAAATAGTCCAAACCGCGGAAGCCGTAGAGAAACAAAATGAGGTAAACCGTACAACATTTTGTAGCATTGTCTCACCTAAGGAAGACCAGCTCGCCTATACCTACACCGTCTCAAGAAGGAGAAGAAGAAGCTGAGCCTAAGGAGAGCCAAAACCCGGAGAGGTTTCCATGGGAGTCAAAGAGAGCATACAAGAGAAGGCTTGTGAACAAGCCATTGCCAAATCTAGAAGATCCGGGGAAGTTTGTGATTCCTGTTTCTATCAATGGGTGTGAAATAAATGACTGCCTATGTGATACTGGAGCTAATGTGAGTCTCATGTCTTATGAATTACCAAGAGATTTGGGATTCAAACATTTTAAAGATCCTAAGGCAAAGATGGAGTTCGCTGGAGCATTCATGTGTGGAGCCCTATGGAGTTTTAGAGAATGTAATGCTGGAGATAGGAGGTCGCCTAGTCCCTACTGATTTCCAAATCATGGTGTAGGAAGGATCAAAGAGGAACCAGCTGCTACTTGTAGCCCTTTTCTTAGCCTCAGCCGGTGCAGTCATCGACTTCATGAGAAACCGCATGTCACTAGGAAATATCCAACAAGATGTTTTCTACCAAAGCATCAACTTCAAGACAGCACCAAGAGCGATCAAACTACCACCAGAGAAGACTTCTAACACGCCACAGAAAGGAGCAATGATGCCTAAAGACCCCAAGGAGAGTGAGCCCTATCCAAAACCAAAGGTGGCCATGAAACCATCAATGCTGAAACATAAAGATGTCTTCAAGGATGTCAACTCGGTTTTGCTCCCTACCTTGGACGAATATGGAGCTAATGAGAAGCCTTATGGAGTGCCTAATTCCCTTACGAAGATAAGAATCCTTGTCCCTAACCCAAAAGAAGATCATACCGCAAAGGAGAAGCTGAGGAACACCATAAGGCTCTTCCCGAGTGCATTTGTCTTCAAAGGTGGCATAGGAGATGATCTTGGCGTGCCCAAACCACCACGTGAGCCCGCTGAACCAGATCTTGGAGAAGCTAAAGGGATCCCAAACCTTTTAGTTGATCTTCCCCTCACCTAAAAAGAAAAAGAAGTCAAGCTAAATGACTTAAAACAAAGCGCTTTGTGGGATGCCTCCCACATGGTTTTAATTTTCATATCATTATAGCATGCATAACTATCTTATTTTATTTTTCAGAATTTTTCAAAATTATACAAAAATACAAAAAAAATGTTCTTAGGATGAAAACCCAAAAGGAGACCAAACTATGAAAGTGTCTCACCCAATGTTCCCACCCTTAAACAAAGCGACATCTCCATTTCAGGTAAGTAAATTCTTCTCAATCATTCATTAAAAACTTTCTCTGTTCTTAAAGTCATGAACAGTTGAACCATTGCACTTCATTAGCTACATTTCATTGTTTAACTTGCTTAATTATGATGGTTAATGAATGAGAATGAATCTTTACTTGTCGAACTCATCTTATGCATTGATATCACTTATATTAAACTATTTTCAGAATTTGGTATCTCTGGTCAAGAATCACAATGTTTCTATAGTTTATACCATAATATCTTAGATTGATAATTTCAAGTTGACCACTTGGGGATCTCAATCTAAGACCACATCTAACAAGTGATTTCAAGTGTCTTTCAGGAACTTAATTATTTGACAGGAAAAGATATCAAGGAGAGTTGCTGCAGCCGACCAAACCCACCATACCTATGGCGGTTTCAAGGAGGTTTCAAAAGAGATTCAAACTAGAACATAAAGAATTGAAACAATCAACATTTTTTTTTTAAAATACTAAACAATTCTAGCGAAGGTCTTTAAAATAAATTAAATAAATAATTAAAATAAAAATATCAATTCATTTCAGCGGAAGCAAATAAATAATTAAACAATTCTAACAAAAATGCAAATAAATAAATCCTATCATCCCCTCTTCAGCCTTGATTCCGCGATCACATAAACCTTTTACCTGCAACACATTGGAATGAAGTTGCATAAGTATTCAATAAATACTTAATGAGGCAAACACTCTGCCTACAAGCCATTTACGCAATTTACTACCAATTAAAATAACATAATAATTATTATTATAAACCTCAATAATTATTAAAACTTCAATTCTTAATTATTAAATAATTATCATAATTAAAACTTCACTTCTCAATTTTAGATAATTCTCATAATTAAATAATAATTTTTCATATTTTAAAATAATTTAAATAATTATTTTAAGTAACTTAATTAATTAAATCCGAATTTAAACCAATTAAATTCCATTGAGCCATTTAAATTCAATTAAACCAAGCTAAATCAATTAAATTAATTAAATTCAATTAAACCGGATTAAACCACACAAACACTCAATTCACCACAAAAACAACCAAAATACATTGAAATAACAATCAAACACATAAACTCATCAAAAACAACCATAAACCAAATCGAATCTAGCAAATCGCGAATCCACAGTCATGCACTCACCTTGACAATGGATTGAAATTGAAGGAAATAGAGAACACGATGAACAGTTCCAAATCGCGATGATGAACAGTACCGGTGAACAATGTCGATGAAAAGTAACCGATGAACAATGACGGAATCTGCTCCAAAACCTCAGAATTTCTCCTTGAAATCTCTTTTTTTTTCAGTTACTGTTCACCCATGAAAATCACAAAAAGGAGGCAGCTCCTCACTTTTATTTCACAATCTATAGCTTTCTCCACTAAACCAGCCCAAACCAAATCACTTAAACTGAACCGGAAATCAATTTTCAATTGCTTGGTTTGCGGATGTTACAAGAATAACGCGGGCACAACCTGGAAATGATTAAAGAGGGACAGGAAATAGATTTGGTCGAAGCACATCTCATTTGGCCCGAGTAGATTTGAAGATATCCCATCCGGTCCATTTCCCTCGGCCATGACGCGTGCATGGAGAACAACACTCGGCCATATCCCAAACCGTGTGTCCAACCTCCACCAAACTTCACAGGCGGCCATAAAATCAAATTTTGGTCAGCAAATCCAAAATATAGGCCGGTGCAATGTTCACAGTTCAGGAGATAGACCAAGGAGCCACATTCTGTCATTCGCGGGCAAGCACAATGGCCGACAATCCAAATCACGGCACCCCCACCGGTTGGAAACAACTTCCTTGAGCGTAAATAACACATTTATGCAGGAAGTAATGAAAAGGAACGAGCCAAACTTCAGATGGCTAAGGAAACTCCTTCCGGAGCCAAATTGCCCATCTTGTGAAGGAATTCTCAATCCACTAGTTCAAATGCTCTCAAACTTCACCAGAGGCCATGGAATACCAGGTTGGTCGATGAAATTTCAATATAGGTCATGAAATTCTTAACGGTTTGTTCTGTAGTTCATAGCACTACCCTCTTGGCCGACCGAATGTACCCATCTCGGCCAAAACACATACCGGTGTGAACCAGGGCCTGAAATTCAAAACTCACTGACCAATATTGCCTAAAGAAGTCTACAACCAACCAAACCGGACCTGATCTTCATTAAAAATTGGTCGACATTTGGTAACATCATCCTAAACCTTTTCTTTTCAATTTTTCATTTGAACTTCATGTTGTACCTCTCTTAATCTGATTTTCTTTCACCGGGACGGTGCAAGTTAAGTCTGGGGGATTACTAACTATGTTTGTTCATTTTGGCATTTTCATTTGCATTCTTTCCCTTTTATCGAGTCGTTTTATTGAGTCAAAAGTTTTGTTGAGAATCATGACCTTATCTTGGATCTAACCATGGTTGTACTAATGTTTAAGTGACCATTGAGCAGTTCTTGGCAATACATTTACCACAAGGTGCACTATGAGTGGATCGATCTACCAAAAACGCCCACATCTCTAAGGGCTTGAGAAGGATCCATCTTTGACTCCGCCCTTAATGAACTTAATCTTCTCAGCTAGGGGCTTGGTATACAAATGGCATGATCCTCATCCTCTCCATCAAATGAAAAAGTCTGTGTGAGTCCGTGCTTCCCTCTCTCTCCCCTTCAATTTAAAGAAAAAGCATCAAGGTCCAAGTAACCGGGGATTCGGTGGCAAACACCATCAATACTCGCGTCTATGGAAGACCTATGGATCCAAGTAACCGGGGATTCGGTGGCAAACACCATCAATACTCGCGTCTATGGAAGATCTATGGATCCAAGTAACCGGGGATTCGGTGGCAACCACCATCAATACTCGAGTCTATGGAAGGTGATATCACCATATTTTACATGATTTTACTATATAATTTACTATGTTTTCAAACGGTTTTTGCAAGATTCTTTGCCTTTAGAGGTAGTTTTCTTGTATTTGTGGGATTTGAAGTCTTTGTAGGTGAAATAATCAAAAAGGATGCAAAAAGGAGTAAAAGAGCCCTAAATCAAGATCCATGCAAGTTTCCAAGTCAAGAAGATCATTTTATCTCCAAGTGTTAGTTCTCGCTAGCGCGCAGAACGAAGCTTCGGAAGTTTGGCCGCGCGCGGAGGAGTTCCCGACGTCCAAAAGTTACGATCTTGATATGGAAAGATAGATACTTGAGTCATGCATCACGTCGAAGTGGAATGAAGCCATTTGGATCAACTATGAGGCCTAGACTTATTTTCTACCGAGACATGTCCGGTAAGCGAGTAAACGAAGCCCATGGAGGATTTGGAGTGTCTAATGGCCCGAGCAGCAGCGCCAAAGGCCTTGATCGAATAGAGAAGAGGCCTGGCTAATGTTTGGAGCTTTCCTTGGTACAATGTCGGCCCATACACGACGTGGAGAAGAAGGCTTTGCTCGCGGGAAACTTTCCTTTTCCGGCATGAAGAAAACCCTACGCGACTTCGCCCATATATACATGTTTTTAGCCGCTGAAGAAGAGAGAGAGTCCAGTCCGAAAATTATCAAAGAGTTACGTGTGAGAAGAGAGAGAAGAGAGAGAAGCCCTAGGAGATCGTCCAAGAAGAAGGAGGCGCCGCTCAACTCTTGTTCTTTCTTTTTCATTGTTTCCATTTCTATAAACTTGATCTTAAGAGTTTTCAAGGGAGAATCCGACTTTGTTCATCAATAGAGAAGCTTTCTTCATCCCTTTATCTCTTTTAATACTTGCATAATGTTTACAATCATGCTTTGCTTGCTTGTTTGCATCATGGCCGAGTAGATCTCTTAGTTAGGCCGAGGAGATCTATGGTGGCCGTGATGATTTGATTGTGTTGCAACTTATTGGGATTTATCTTATGGATCTTCACCTTTACTTGAGCTTAATGCATGATTACTCTACCGTACATCTAGTAATCTGATCTTAGAGAAATAGAACCACGACAGTGCTGAATCTAGATCTCAAAACTAGTATTTGGTGAGCAATAGATCATAGCCAACGAAAGCTGAGTTATGGTTTATTGTGAACAATTGAATCTTGAACCTTTAATGCATGTTTGCAATTCTAATAGCCAACGAAAGCTGAGTATATTAGGTTGTTTTAAACATAGTGGTTGGAGCCACGACAGTGGAAAGACCATACACTAGTGATTCATGTTCAAGACGGCTCTACACACATCCCATGCAACTATCTTTTCATCATTGCTCCATATGATTGTCCTTTGCCTAACTCTTGTTTTAAATTGTTTACAACCTCACTCACATTTCTTTTGTTTCTTTCATTCTAGGTCCAAAACCACCTCATATTGCGAGCTAGCTACAAACCAATCTCACAAGGTGTTAAGTGAGAACACTTCCTCCTCGTGTTCGACCCCGACTACAACACGGCTGTGCACTTGCAGCTCATTAGTTGGGTTTATAAATTGTGAAAATTTGAGGCAATCTAAACCCGCCATCAGAAGGTCCAAGCAAAACCTCTATAATAAAGAGAAGATGTTGAATACAAAAAAATACATTGCTACCCTAAAAAAAGGATGAATCAACTCTAAGAAGTGAGAAGAGAGACAGGAGGAACATGGAGTAAAAGACAAGTGCCTAAACAAGGGGATGAGTAAAGAATCTAAAAGCTGGCTGATCGATACTCCCTAGTTGAGACCACACCTTTAGAAACTAAAGGAGTCAAGGGTGGTGAAGGGTTTAGGGTTTAGGGTTTAGGGTTGGATGTTCTAAGGAGAGGTGGATTGCTTTGGGACAATCGCAAAACTCATGGTATGTACTCTTGTTCTTAATTCTAAAATTGCCATTGCTGTTTTATGTGGATTACTAAAGTAAAGGTCAACTTGGATTTCCAAACGATTTGAGAGTTCTCATGTTTTCAAACCTCTTTTCCTGCTTAGTTTGCTTGGAGACAAGCAAAAGGCTAAGTCTGGGGGAGTTGATATATCCATATTTTACACCTTTTTACTTGATATTTCCATATGTTTTTAAGTACTTTCATAAAGGTTTTATGCCTTTGGAGGTAGTTTTCTTTTATTTATTGGTTTTGGATCTTAACAGGGTAAACTATCAAAAAGATGCAAAAAGGAGCAAAAGAGCCTCAAACCATGATCCATGCAAGTTTCCAAGTCAAGAGCATCATTTTATCTCCAAGTGTTAATTCTCGCTACCGAGCAGAAACGAAGCTCCGTAAGTTTGGCCGTGAACGGAGGAGTTCCCGACGTCCAAAAGTTACAATCTTGATATGGATAGATAGATACTTGAGTCATGCATCACGTCATTAGAATTAAGCCATTTATATCAACCATCGGGCCGGAACTTATTTCCTACCGAGACATGTCCGGTTAGCGACCAAGTGAAGCGCATGGAGGATTTGGAGTGTCTAAGGGCCCGAGAAACCGCGCCCAAGGCCTTGGTTCACTAATGGAGAAGCCTAACTAATGTTTGGAGTCTTCCTTGGTTCAATTCCAGCCCATACACGACGTGAGAGAAGAGGCCCGGCTCATGGGAAACTTTCCTTTTCCGGCACTTCAATGCCCTAACCGATCTACAACCTATAAATACATGTTTTTAGCCTCAAACAAAGGAGTGTCGTGAGAGTGTAGGGTTGGCCGTCAGAGAGAAGTCAGAGGAGCTGCGCAGTCCAGGAGGAAGAGGAAGGAGGCGCTGTTCAAGAAGACCCTAGCTCACATAAAATCTTTATACTCTTTGTTCTTCTTTTCTTTTGTATTGGATCTAAGAGTTTCAAGGGAGATGCTTTCTTCATCCCTTCACCTCTTTTAAAACTTGCATAATGTCTTCAATCTTGCTTTGCTTGTTTGTTTGCATTATGGCTGAGTAGATCTATTGCTAGGCTAATGGTGAATCAATGAGTTCATGAATTATCAACTTTAATCTTTTGATCTTGTGAGTTGGGATTATATTTTTAGTTCTTCACCTTTACTTGAACATAATGCCGTTTGCTTTTCTGATCATCTAGCATCGGATCTTGGGTTAATATACTCTCCAAAAGCTTGTTATATTGCCGGAACTAGTATTTGGCGAGCAATAGGTCATGGCCAACGAAAGTTGAGTTGTGGACTATTGTGAACAATTGAATCTTGAACCTTGTAATGCATGTTTACAACTTGTAATAACCAACGAAATATGAGTCTATTAGGTTGATTAAACATAGTGGTTGGAGCCAAGAAAGTGGAAAGATTATACCTTAGTGATTTGAGTTCAAGAACGATAATGAATCCCTTTCACTTGATTGTTTGTTGATAATTTGTGATGCTTTGCGATTTGCCTAATGCCTAGTACTTTTCCCAATTGTTTACATCTCTATTTCATTATTGCTTTGTTCTCTTTTGTTACACAACCTCTCATATTTTGTTCTAGCTTGAATTTCAGTCTATATAAGTTTGAAATGAAATAACATCTCCTTGTGGTTCGACCCCGAACTATACTACTCTTTTGCTGTGCACTTGCAGTTGTGTAGGTTGGGTTAATATTATTACTTGAAGCATAATACCCACCCCATCACTTACATTACTATATTATTTTAAATGAGAGAGTTTTTTCAGAATTGTAAAAGATTGTAACAAATGGCGTGTAAGATATTTATTAGCTTGACTCTGTATCATCAAATGTAATATACATTCCAATACGCTATTTTTTTAGCTTGACTCGTACTCACTCACTATTTTTTTACATATTTATTAGCTTGACTCGTACTCACTCACTATTCTGACTCCGTTTTCTTTCTTCAGCATCCACGGCTCTTCATTATCTCCTTAAGCTTCTCAATCACATCAGTTGGATCCACTCGTGAATTCGCCAAATGCATCGCATACTCCAAACCTTTCCACTTAGCTATAAGCTTGAAATGAGGTCTTTGAAACTCGATGCTGATAATCTCAAATATCCTTGTGCTTGGTGTTGCGAGTATTCTCGATTCTTCTCGACGAAGTAGACCAGTGTAGGAGACGATTCACTTCCTTTTTCATCCATCACATACTAAGGACGGAGAACACGAAGGCAAACAAGTTAGCACATAGTGCACAAATCTCCTTCATGATGTGTATTACATAAATTTTGTTCCGCCAGTTTGGATCTCCGGACTATTCTAGGAACATAGCATGTCAACAAAAATAATAATAATAAAACCACATATAGCTTTTTTTGTTAATGTTTTTTTAGTCCACTAAAAACTACTGATTAGTCAAAAAGTTTCCATACATTAATAAGATACAAAAAAGCACAGGGAAAAATAAAATTTCTAATGTAGATTGATGGCGGGTTTAGATTGCCTCAAATTTTCACAATTTATAAACCCAACTAATGAGCTGCAAGTGCACAGCCGTGTTGTAGTCGGGGTCGAACACGAGGAGGAAGTGTTCTCGCTTAACACCTTGTGAGATTGGTTTGTAGCTAGCTCGCAATATGAGATGGTTTTGGACCTAGAATGAGAAAACAAAACAAAAGAAATGTGAGTGAGGTTGTAAACAATTTAAAACAAGAGTTAGGCAAAGGACAATCATATGGAGCAATGATGAAAAGATAGTTGCATGGGATGTGTGTAGAGCCGTCTTGAACATGAATCACTAGTGTATGGTCTTTCCACTGTCGTGGCTCCAACCACTATGTTTAAAACAACCTAATATACTCAGCTTTCGTTGGCTATTAGAATTGCAAACATGCATTAAAGGTGATCAAGATTCAATTGTTCACAATAAACCATAACTCAGCTTTCGTTGGCTATGATCTATTGCTCACCAAATACTAGTTTTGAGATCTAGATTCAGCACTGTCGTGGTTCTATTTCTCTAAGATCAGATTACTAGATGTACGGTAGAGTAATCATGCATTAAGCTCAAGTAAAGGTGAAGATCCATAAGATAAATCCCAATAAGTTGCAACACAATCAAATCATCACGGCCACCATAGATCTCCTCGGCCTAACTAAGAGATCTACTCGGCCATGATGCAAACAAGCAAGCAAAGCATGATTGTAAACATTATGCAAGTATTAAAAGAGATAAAGGGATGAAGAAAGCTTCTCTATTGATGAACAAAGTCGGATTCTCCCTTGAAAACTCTTAAGATCAAGTTTATAGAAATGGAAACAATGAAAAAGAAAGAACAAGAGTTGAGCGGCGCCTCCTTCTTCTTGGACGATCTCCTAGGGCTTCTCTCTCCTCTCTTCTCTGAACTCTCTTCTCACAAACTCACACGCTCGATTCTCTTCTTCAGCGGCTAAAAACATGTATATATGGGCGAAGTCGCGTAGGGTTTTCTTCATGCCGGAAAAGGAAAGTTTCCCATGAGCAAAGCCTTCTTCTCCACGTCGTGTATGGGCCGACATTGTACCAAGGAAAGC